CACCATATAAGCGTGCACACTCTGCTTGGAATGTCTTCTCACCCAGGCTGACTAACTTGCCTCTAGACATCTTAGTTACCCATTTCCATCCCACACGCCTAACTAGGGGTCAGGCCTGACTGCTGACTCGCCCAACCCTTCCACAGACTCTGCGGACCTTCGCTAAGAACTCAGACACCATGACTAAGTACCCGACATGGTATCGAACCCTCATGCGCCGAGCCAAAGAGGAGGAGATGAAGAGGTTTTGCAAGGCGCAGGTGAGCCCCAGAGCCCCAGGCTGCCAGGGCTCTTGTGGGCTCAGAGTTGTCTGAGCGCAGATCACCTCCAGTGCTCCGTTCTTGAGCAATCTGGGGCATCCCATCTTAAACCCGCAGGCCATCCAGCGAAGACTACATGAGATTGAGGCTGCTGTGCAGGAGCTGGAGACCCAAGGCAGGGAGCTGGAGCTGGCCTTGAGGAGACAGAGCAGTGAGTAAAGGCAGCAGAGAGGGTTGCTGGTGTAGACATCTCTCTAGCTCCCGGCACTGTGTTCAGCCCTCGGCAATCCCTGGATCCGGTCACCCCATGACCTCTTCCATGCCTTCCTTCTCATCAGGCTCTCCAGAACAGCAAAAGAAACTCTGGCTAGAGCAGCTGCTACAGCTCATTCAGAAGAAAAACAGCCTAGTGTCTGAAGAGGCTGAGCTCATGATTACGTAAGGCTGGGGGTGGTGACACGTTATGTGAGGCCTGTCCTTCCTGTCCCTGTGAGTAACCTGCATAGCTGCGCTTCTGCAATCTCTGGCCTCTACAGGGTTCAGGAGCTGGATCTGGAGGAGAAGCAGTGGCAATTGGACCGGGAGCTGCGAGGCTACATGAATCGGCAAGGTCCGTGGGCTATCTCATGACCTCGGGTACTGAGTCCGTGGGCTATCTCATGTCCTCGGGTACTGAGCTTGTGGGCTATCTCATGCCCTCGGGTACTGAGCCCGTGGGCTATCTCATGACCTCGGGTACTGAGCCCGTGGGCTATCTCATGACCTCGGGTACTGAGCCTGTGGGCTATCTCATGCCCTCGGGTACTGAGCCTGTGGGCTATCTCATGCCCTCGGGTACTGAGCCCATGGGCTATCTCATGCCCTCGGGTACTGAGCCTGTGGGCTATCTCATACCCTCGGGTACTGACCAAGCACACAGTCCTTCCTCTGGCCTGCTGAGACGATGGAGGAGGGAACCAAAGAATATGATCACCAAGCCTCCACTCCCCCTGCCTTTCTGCAGTCAGGAGGGCTGGCGCTGAGGACACCTAGGAGACCAGCCCTGGGGCAAAGCTAAGTTTGAAGTCTCAACACACAAGGCCTGGGTTGTAGAAGCCACGCATGCAGGCTGAGCTAGCTCGATCCTCCTTCAGGCTCCTGCCTGTTCCAATGCTCCTCTTTCCCCTCCAGAAACCCTGAAGACAGAGGCCGACCGGCAGTGTGAGGAGCAGGTGCTGAGGAAGCTGGTGGATGTGGTGAATCAGCGGGACGCCCTCATCCGCTTCCAGGAGGAGCGAAGGCTCAGTGAGGTGGCTTCAGAGCCGGGGGCCCAGGGGTAGAAGGTGCTTAGCTATGTGCCTGCCTCCCTGCCCTGCAAGCACACATCATCTAAGGGCGTCCTCTGCCACTGGACTGCCTAGCAGGGGCTTGGCTGTTTAAGATTAAAGTGTTATGACCATGAACAGGGTTTGTGCTGTGTTCAGGGGAGGGGAGGGAATGTACAAGGAGAGCAGGTGATGAGCCAGCGCTCTCAAGTGACATAGTGACAGCCCGCCGACCTCAGCTCCCATCACCGCCCCTGCAAGGAACAAGGCACTACAGTGTGTCAAGTTTTATTGTCCTTCAGCTCTGTTCACTTGCGGCATCCAGTGGGGCTCGGTGAGGCTCTGCGTCTAGGTCCTGGGTTTCCCTTTCCCTCCTCAGAGCATGTTGGAGTTCAGCCTGGGCCTGGTGTAGGCCTTTGGCCTCCTGCATGTGGAAGATGTAAACTGCGCCCGCCCCCAGCACCAGCCCCACACTGGGTGTCCAGAGCAGTATGGCTACTTCCCTGGCCCCTTCTCCTGCAGCCAGGACACACAGCAACACCAGGAGGAACAGCCCCAAGACAATCACATAGCCCGTGAACGAAGCCCACCATCGAGCTTGAGCTACGCCCAGCCCCAGCTCTGTCCACGCCTCCCTTAGCACACTGGTCAGTGCAGACCTTTGGGGTGGTCCTAGAACAAGAACGAGGGGGGGGGGGTCAGAGTGGAGGCTGGGGCTGCCGGCAAGTGGAAAGCGGCAAGGGGAAAGCTGGCTTACCGTGGGCAGGACAGGCGTCTTCCTGAGGGGGGCTGTGCTTCACGTACAAAGTGGCCATGAGGGCCTCATGATCGGAGAGGGGGGTGCCATTTTGGGGGTCACAGCCTGTAGTGGTTTTCAGAGTCTTACAGTAGATGCAGAACCCAGAAACTGCCTAGAGCAAGGAGAGACGCATATACTCTCGCAGAGAACCAGCTGACGGGATCGGTCCTATTCGCCAGCCCAAGACTCCATCACTGAACAAATGATCAGCAGGTTGTGGGGGGGGGGTGACAGGAAGAGAACAGAGAAGGGCACGCTGGGGTAAGAGCCTGACCTTGTAAAGCACATAGTCAATGCGGATGCCAAGCGGAAATGGACCCAGGTCCTGCTGGCTGACGTAGCAGTTCCTGGGCACCATGGTACAACCATCTTCAGAGCCCTAGGGAAACAGGTGGTTAGGGCGCTGCGAGTGTGGAAGACAGTGCGGTGGGAAGCGATCAGACGGGGTCTCCACCTGAAAGTCCTGAGTCTCCACATAGGCGTCCCGAAGCCCTGTCCACTCCCTCAGCAGGCAGCAGCCCAGGTCCCTGGGGTGCATGTTGAGGTCCCCACACAGCAGAACCACATCTGCACTCTTGGATGTGTGGCTGGGGGCAGGAGGGGACAGTGAGGAGGGGAGTATTCCCTGCCTGCCCCCTGCCCGCCCCCTGGGTGACACTAGGCACCTCGCCCCGCCCCCCAGTCCCCACCCCACTTCCCCTGTCAAAGCCCGGCTCACACACTGGATGAACTGGGCCAGTTCCCAAGCCTGCGCCACCCGCTGCGCTCGGTAGATGTCCTTCTGTCTGCTGTACTCCGCATGTAGCTAGAGTCAGATGGGTGAGATTTACAGGTGAGGTCCGGGGCCCCAAAGGTTGTCTAGAGCAGACCGGCATCTGTCACTTGGCACGGAATGGGCGAACCTTGCCCTCCGGTCCCATGCCTCATCCCAGGTAGCAGAGCTAGTGGAGCCTCAGCCTGGCTAGCTGTACTCACGTGGGTCACGTAGGCATTGAGCACCAGCCCGTTCAGATGGAGCACTAGCAGTCCCACGGCCTTCCCACAGAACCAGTCTCCATGATAGACCTGCAGGACAAACACAGAAACTCAGAGCGCCGGCACCCTCCTTCTGCCCAGACCCTGGAAGGGCTGCACCCAGCTTGTGTTAGCTGGGGTGAGGGGACACCCTTACCATGTAGGGGTAGCCATTGAGAGTGTAGACGTGCTGGATAATTTCCTGGATTGGGTGTCTGGAGAACACACAGAGGCCGCTGCCAATGATCCCACTGAAAGTCAAGTCTTGCTTAATAACGGGAGAAGCAAGGAGGGAAAATAACCAGGCCTCTTCCCTCCCCTTGTCTCCCAGCTCTGATCGGCAACTTTTCTCTCTCCTGCTAAGACCAGCCCCCCAAACAAAGTTTAAGACAGCAGCCCTTGCGAGAGGGTGCAGGGACAGCCTGAGAGGAAGAGGGTGAGGTGTGTGTGCACGCAAGAACTCGGGAGAGCGAAGAGCTTCCTGGCCTGAGAACAGGCAGCAGCCACAGACTTCACCTTCGGAAGTAGTGTGCATCTGGGTAGGTGAGCGATAGTTTTTGCCTGAGGTACTGGAAGTCCTGCTCACTCCACACCTGAGGACAAAGGTGAGGATGCTTGCTTGGACTCCACCCCAGAGAGACGACTTCCCCTGCGCCCCCTGCTGCCCTTTCCCAGCCTAGCCCGAGTACAACCTCACCTCCTCCAGTAGAGCCAGGTCGAAGCTTTCCAAGTTCAGAAAGTCTCCCAAGCGCTTCATGCGGTCGGCCCTATGCTTGCTTAGGTAGGGGATGTCCCTAAAGAGAGAGAGAAGAGCTGGGGGGGGGGGCGCCCAAGAGCTGGCTCGGCAGTTAAGAGCACTGGCGGTTCTTCCAGGGGACCTGGGTCCAGTTCCTGGCACCAACATGACAGTTCGCAACTCTCTGTAACTCCCGTTCCAGGGGATCTGGCATCCTCACACAGACATACACGCGGGCAAAACAGCAATGCACATCAAATAAAAATAAATTTTCTTTAGAGAGGGAGAGACGTGGAGAGAGAGAAAGGCCAGGTTCGGGGAGACGGACTGCTGCCACCTCCCGGGCTCTGGGCTGCGGACGATGTGGACTTTGGCGGCGGCCGGTCCTTTGCCAGGCACGAGCGGGCGGGGACAGGAAGGAGTGCCTGGGCGCACGCACTCACCAGCAGTTGAGGTTGAAAACCTTCAGCCGGAGAGAGAAGTTGGGCTTCATGGCCGGGGTGCCTCGGGCGGCGGCGGCGAGGCTGGCGGAGCGGAGCGCACAGGTGGCGGCCCCGGCCCGGCCCGGCGCGCGCGCGCACAGAGCCCCACGAACGCGGGCCGGGGACCGGGCGGCAACCCGGAAAGGAGGTCCGCTGCACACCGGGGCGGGCTGCGCGAGGCCGCCGGCGGTCCCGGGGGCGCGATCCAGGCTCTCCGGCCCCTCTGCCGCTCCCCGGCGCCGCGGCCTACGGGTCCCCGGCTCGGCCCGGGCCCGGCTCCACCAGCTCGGCAGCAACAGGCTCCGGGCTGCTGCGAGGCCCCGCCCACGCCAGCCGCCAGGCCCCGCCCCTCGCGGGCGTCGGGGGCGGAGCCGCGCGGTTGCCGTGGCGACCCGCACTGTTTGTGCTCCGCGCGGTGGGCTGGCGCTGCCATGGCCACGCCGCAGCCGCCGCCGCAGCGGCAACCGTGCCGGCCGAAGCCCCCCGCTTGCCGCACGCTGCTGCAGCCCGAGCCGCCGCTGCGGGTGAAGGTGGTGGGGCTCTTCAAAAGCTCCAGCTTCCAGGTGTCCAAGACCATCGCCGAGGTAACCCCTCCCCGCAGGCTCACCCTGCGAGCGCCGCAGCCCCGGCCGCGCTCCACCCCCGGGCTGGGGCTGGGGGGTGGGGGTGGAGCGCAAACGCAGGTCTCCAGCAAGGGCGACCCCGAAAGAGACAAGCGATCGCTCAGAGCCGCGTGGTTTTCATCCAGTCGCGGATTTGCAAAACTCAAGTATTGCCGCATAAGTAGCTGACTTAAAAAAAAAAAAAAAAAAAAACTCCTTGTGGTTTTTGGTAATTGGTAATTTCATTCTGGAAGGACCTTTCCTTTATAGTTTCTGTAGGCGTTTGTGCGTTCTAACAGAACCAGATGTTTCTCAGATTCTTTAAGATGGCCCAGACGGTGCTTTGAAAAACCCAACTTCGTCTCTGTAAATACGCAGAACGATGTAAAAACACTCGAAGAAACAAACAAATCTAGCCAGGTCAGCCCTGCTACAGCCATCTGCAACCTGAGCAGGGGAAACGTGGGAGGGCGATGCTGAAACACACAGCCCAGCCCTCACCACCTACCCGCCCCTTCCCTTCCCTTCGTGCTTGTATTTCCAGATTGCCCACACGGGCGCAAGGGCAGCCAAGTAGGATTCACCTTCAGAAACCCCTGCCTCTTGCTTGATCCAGCGTCCGCAGAGAAATGGGCTGTTTGGGGTGTGTAGGAGGATAAAGAAAGGTTTCTTGGTTCTGTTTGTTTCATTTTTATTGCTGTTTTGCACCAGGGTTTTATGGCTAAAGTGATATTTCAGAGTTTGAGGGATTCTTTCGTAGTTGATGCTCTTCTGTTTCCTGTGGAGTCCGAGTAGAAATACGTTAGGTATTCCGGGACAGGGTCTCAGACTTACTTTGTGAAAGCAACGTGCCAGATAACAGGTCTGTAGTCCCCCGCACCGCACCCAAGAGACCAAGACAGGAAGACAGTTGAAGTTCGTCCTGGGCTACATAGCAGCTCATCTCTACAGCAAAGCAAGGAGCAGCCACAGGATGTAGGTCGTGTTCCAATAAGACTTTGTTGTAGATGTTGTGTTGAACATTATATGTATATTATATATATATAATTTTTATGTAACACAAAATATGATTCATCTGTTGATTGTTTTCCGCCATTAAAAGATGTGAAAGTTTCTCGGCTGTCAGCTCTTTCAAAACATTACAGGGGTCAACATCTGCTATAGAGAAAGTGTCTTTACTATTCTAACAATGTCTTTTTTCCTTAAGTTTTTTTGCCTCTTGGGACTATATTCAAATGTGAAAATGTATCAGTGTAAATTCAGTTAGTCTTAGAATAATCAAAGATAATTGATTATATTCCCAGTATATTTGTGAGTAACCCGGGGGTGGGGGGGGACCTGATTAATAGACAGATGTAGCATTATAAAATGTAAGGATAAATATTAGCATATATTTTAATTTGGATGAGGTCCATTCTACAGCAAATGCTGTTATTATGAACAAATTAAGGGGGTCTAATTTTAAAACTGCTGGTCTTGTTACTTATTCTAGATAGTTCTTCACTTAGAAACAGTGGTCATCCTTTGGTGGTCTGAAACTGAATGCAGACTGTGGAACTGAGAAAAAGCTCTGATGTTTGGGTTGTGTTGCTATTTTGCTCCACCCTAGAATAAGATATACTCAGACTTCCTCCTGAAATGGTCACACCTGAGGGAGCATGCCAGGCCTGAGCTTTTTCAGACCATGGCAGAGCCTCCAAGCATCATCCTCGGCAATAGAGATTTGGCTACCAGCAACGGTCTGCCAGCTTTCAACCGCTGATAACTAACTCCAGCTCCAGGCACCCAGACGGCCTCTTCTGCTCTCCGTAGTCACCCACATGGACATTAACCACATCCTTACCCAAACCTAAAACACACACAGGTTTTTAAGAGTAATTTTTTTTCCTGAGCCACATGAAAACGTTTCGCTAAAGCACAGTCAATACTAAAACTTATCTATAAGCCGAAACTTACTTAGCATTTGCTCCTCCTTTTCCTGAGTGGCATAACCACAACAGTGTCCTTTTGGTCAATCTCCTTACATCAATAAATTAAGACAATAATATTTACAATTTTTTTCTACTAATCAAGTACCTGTAGATCTACTGAGACTTGGCAATTTAATCTAGGGGAAAAATAGTTCTAGAAGAACGAAACAGATCCCTGAACCATTGGCATAAACTCATTTATTGAGTTATGTGTCAATGGCTTACTGTACAGCAGATGTAGTAGCAATATAGGAAGATTAAGACATACCTTCACCCTCTAGATCATGTTCCCTAAAGGGAAGGGCGGAATGACTTGGCAGGGCCCCTGAGAACAGGCCAGGCAGGGCCGGCTGCGTATGCTGTATGAAACTGCCTGAGGAGTCCACAAAACTCTGGACAAGAGGCCAGGCGTTGGTGGCACACGCCTTTAATCTTAGCATTCGGAGGCAGAGGCAGGTGGATCTCTGTGAGTTTGAGGCCAGCCTGGTCTTAAGAGGAGTTCCAGCACAGGCCCCAAAGCCACACAGAGAAACCCTGATTTGAAAAACCAAAAAAGAAAAACAGAAACTGTGGAGGAATGATTTTGACTTTCCGAGGAGAACTTAGGGGCCGAGGTTATGGCGCAGAGAGTCTCCACTTTCTGTGCAGGCATGAGAACCCGAGTTCAGAGTCCTGGTCGCCGTGTGAAGGCCAGCTCAGTGGGCTGCTCCTGTAAGCCTAAGCCAGCCAGCATAGCTGAAACAGCTCCAAGGTCAACCAAAGACCTGTCTCAGCAAGTAAGCTGGAGAGGAGAAAGGGAAGATCTCTGGTCCCCATGTGTGCGCACACGGCCCTATGCCCTGCCTCGTTCCAATGCATGTGTGGCTGTGAGCCCTGCACCCCAGATAATGCATTAATACATGAATGAGAACTTAAACTATTCTATCTTGCAACCTAGACTCTGAAAAACAATTACCCATCCAAATTTGAAGATCCTGTGATAATTCCTCTTCAAGAATTTGCTTGGGATCAGTATCTACAGGAGAAAAAGCGGGTAAGGGACATGTCAGCATGGGAGTATCAACAAGTCCACGCCTGTGTGAATTATATGAGCAGTTTTGGGAAAATGACAAACTGCAGTATAATTACTTCTCTTAATTATGCACCTTCCTTTCCTCTTTCTCCCATCTTCACGCCCATGCTCGCCACCTTAACTTTTTAGTGTGATCCTTGTCGTGTTCAGTGTAGGGTTACCTAGCCCATTTGGTCCCAGTGAGTCAGGTTCATTAGGGTTTAGCTGGCCGGCCGTATGTGTCCGCAGAATGTAAGGCTCTCTGTGGGTGCAGCTTCAGGGTCCACGGGAAGGTCTGTCTCTCCAAAAGAAAAAAGAAAAAAAAAAAAAGACAGCATCATTAGTGGCTGTCAGAACCAGACGGCTACCTTGAGGCATGCCGGGGAGTCTCCCGATGCTCAGGAGACATGTGTCTTCTATGGCATCCCTCTACCTCAGAGAACAAAATGTCCACAGTTACATTTCCTCCTCCTGCTATAGGTTCGGATCTTGTGAAATACAACACCAGGAAATGTGAACACCCCAGGACTGATTGGCCTTTATCAGTGATTCGCCACTGAGCATGAACGAGTTTGCCCTCTAGAATGAGAAGCTGGAAACAGGTTTTGAGAAAGGCACACGAAGCAACTTGGCAGATATCAAAGCTCCTCAGGGGAGCTGGTGATAGGGCCAGGTGGAGGCAGATTGCCGCTCAAACCAGTGCTGCCCCAATGCAGTCTTGAGACCAGCAGACTGCAGGGGGGGGGGGGGAGACACAGACCTCAATGTCATATTCAAAGGGCACGTTCTCATTACTTCATGTTACAGAGAGGAATCTGGACACAGCTCAGCGTGTGCGTGCATGCGTGCGTGCGTGTGTGTGTGTGTGTGTGTGTGTGTGTGTGTGCATACACTGCTGGCCTGCTTGTCTGCTAACTCATCCTAGATGATGTCTAGAGAGTACCCAAGTCTCCCTAAAAGAGAGTGACAGTAAATAATGAGGGGAAAGTTTGGGAGGGGATACGGAGAGGGGCACCGATACCATGACGACAAAGGGCGGCGGACTTGAGGTTCTGGTCCTGTCTTCTAAATGGTTAATTATCTGAATAAAGCACAACTTAAAGACTCAGGTCTTGTCCCCCTGCTCACTGGGGTTTGTGGTGACGGGCAACATGCACTCCAATATTTTGGTCACAGAACTGACACTTTCCTGGGTACCACTATAAATACAGATGCTCCACCAGGTCTCAACTTCAGCCAGACCAATCGTATGGGCTCACAAACCAGATTCTACTAAAACCAAGACCCTCATGGTTTGCCAGGGCTGGTACTGGAAACCAATGTTCAGGCCACACTGGGGATTTAGAAAGTTGATGACTGCCTTGCATGAATGAAAACACTAATGTACTTCGTTTTAAGTAGCTTAGGTTAGGAGTATTGGGGATGCTGGGCAGTGATGGCACACACCTTTAATCCCAGCACTCAGGAGGCAGAGGCAGGAAGGTCTCTGTGAGTTCAAGGCCAGCCAGTCTACTGAGCAAGTTCAAGGACAGCTAGAGCTACACAGTGAAACCCTGTCTTGAAAAACAAAACAAATAAAAAAAGCAAAAGTGTTGGGTAAAGGTGAGTTTTCTTCTTTGTTCCTAACCATGTATGGAAACTGAGGCTGGCAGTTCCCAAAGATATTGTCTATCTAGAATAATCACTGTCTCCTGCCTGGGTCGAGTGCCTTGATTGCACGCACACACACCTCTGCTCTGAAAAGCATACCTTACTCAGACCCTCTTCCAAGAATGCAAAGTGTAAAGTACCTCGTAAATGGGGACAGAGACTGCAAGGAACTCAAATTATTGGAACAAGTGCACTATGTAGATATTACTGAATTTCATCTACCTATCATCGCAATAGCTTAAAGATTGCTTTCTAAGTTGTTCTCTGTTCATCATTATGTTAAGAGTCTCAAAAATGTTAAATTCTCTTTGACAGCAGACTTCTGAAAGATGGTTTAAAAAAAAAAACAACTTTAATCCTGTAGTTGGCAAATCAGACTGTAGAGTTAATCTCAAGATCTGGTTTGTGGTTTTAGCATTGGTTTTTTTGTTTGTTTGTTTGTTTGTTTTCTGTCTTCCCCACCTAACCCCCCGTTTCTCTGTAGGAACTGAAGGGTGAGACCTGGGTCTATCCCTCCTTCGTGATGTGTTTCATTAATGATCAACTCCTGGGTAATGCAGTTGACCTGAAGAAATGGGCCAAGAAGGTGTGGGATGTGGTTGATGTCCGCCCCCCCACGCTGTATGAGGCTCTTACTTTGGATTATTCCACCAAGTTCTTAAAAGACACCAAGGCAAGCTACATAGATTTTTTAATAGAATTTTTTCACCATTTGTATTAATTCAGCATTAATTGTTGATGTATCTCACAAAGCAGACTCACCAGGAGATTAAGATGTAAGCCCCTAGTGACCTTACTAAAAACCACTTGCAAAAGAATTAGTTCAGGGTTTGGCCAAGCAACATGTAAAGCAGATGTATGTAGCACGGTAGACCCGTGTGTCTTCACCCTTAGACCTATGTGCATGAATTACTCCTATTAGAACCTAAACACCCTTGGATAGGCACCCATGCCTCAGCTTCTGGGGAAACTGAGGCAGGGAGATCATTTGCGCCCTTTATTCTAAGGCCAGCTGGGCAGTATAGCAAGCACCTGTCTCTAAGCAAAGCAGGGACAGGTGACTGTTATTAATGGGAGGGTATGTGTGCCATGGCAGGCTTGGAGTTGTTTCTCTCCACTGTTATGTGAGTTCTGGGGATTGAACTTGGGCCATCAGCTTCTTAGTGAGGGTATTCAACTCTCCTGAGCTAAAGTTAAAGGCATCTGTGAGCCCCTGGATGTGGGTGCTGAGAACTGAACTTGTGTGGAGGAGCATTAAGTGTGGTTAACGCTAGCCTACTCTCCGTCTCTGGCCCTGAAATACTTTAATAGTCTACTGCCATGAGATTAAAAGTCTGAAAAGATGAACTAAGCTTAACCATCAGCCCCCGATCTGATCTACAGGATGAGGACTCTCTTAACGGTTCCTATTGCTTTGAGGAGACACCATGACTAAAGGAACTCCTATGGAGGCAAACATTTAATTGAGGCTGGCTTACAGTTTCAGAGGTTCAGTGCAGACAGACTTGGTGCAGGGGGAGGAGCTGAGAGCTCTACATCTGGATGAACTTTCCTGCACAGCCCAGGCCCACCTGTCCAGAATGGCACTGCCCACATTGGGTGGGGCCTCCTCCATCAATTAGCAATTAAGAAAATTTCCCACAAGCTGGGTGTGGTGACGCATATCTTTAATCCCAGGGGAGGCAGAGGCAGGCAGATCTCTGAGTTCGAGGCCAGCCAGGGCTACGCAGAGTGATCCAGTACTGTGAGCTGTGCAGAGGCAAAGGCTTTGTCTCATGACCCTGGTTTAACCATAGCCTTGAATAGGAGCTAAGCTCAGTAAGTACCCATAGTAAATGAGGGGCTGAATAAACAGTGCACTTGTAAAATGCTGAAAACTCTGAGGTATGGAGAATGTATTGTTCGTGGTTACATCCCAGAGGGACAGGAGTCCGGAGGCAACGGTGTTCCCCAAAAGTACCAGTGGCAACAAGGAAGGCAGAAATAGTAGTCAGTCAGGCTGAGACAATGAGTCCTGGTGCCAGCGTCTGAAGTTCCTGTGATGAACTTAGGAAACAAAGATGTGGAGCTGGAGAGATGGTGCAGTGGTTAAGAGCACTGAATGCTCTTCTGGAGGACCCAGGTTCAAATCCCAGCACCCACATGGCAGCTAACAACTGTCAAACTGTCTATAACTCCAAGATCTTGACACCCTCACACAGACATACATTCAGGCAAAACACCAATGCAAATAAAATAAATAATCTTTACAAAGAAACAAAGGTGTTGCAATGGTGCCGATCCCCCGAGTTCACAGGAAATCTGGGAAGATGGCTTTAGAAACCAGGTAAGAGCAAGGAAGGCCACATACGAGGAGGAGAAACTGCCAGACCCATGCCAGAGGAATGTGTGGCCAGCATGTGTGGCCATGTTCATCAACCACGAGCTCTGGGGTCATGCTGCCCCCTCTTCATGGAGAGCAGTTTCCCAACGTCTTTCATGTCTTACAGTACTTCCTGAGCCCTAGGGCCCCAGGAGTATGTGCCCAGCAAATCTAGGCCACATGTCCACAACCTGCTCATTCCAGGGTCGGGGGAGGGAGAATCTGGCCTCTGCATGTTCTAACAATGCTTGTGAAACCCAATGGGATATTGCACAGGAAGGTCAGGTGTAGGATGGGAGAATTCAGCAGATCCTAGAGAAAACAGATGATTTGCTGTCCACCCTGAAGCATGGAGGTCTTGTCCAGAAGGAACACAGGCCAGCAGAGCTTTTCGTAGACTACGGCGAAATCCTCTTTGCCTTTGGGAATGGTGGTTGGAGCTGTGCCAAAGTAAGCTGGTGGCAGGGTAGGGGTTTGGAAAGCGCTGTGGTGACATATGCCAGAAATAATGAAATCGTTACTTAACGGGTGGCGATTCCTGAGAAAAGACTAAGTGTCTTTACAGCCAGCAGAGTCTCTTGCAGAGCCGAGCCGACAATGTTGTTCATTCCCAGGTTGGAGTACCCTGCTAGACAAGTGTGTTTGTGTGTCTGTCTCCTGGTGACTGAATGTTACTTTGTGTCACATTCATTTGTCTCCCATCCAGAGCATTTTCAGAATTATCTTTGCTTTTTCCTTCCAGTTGTTATTTTTGAAATAGGGACTATATGTAGCCCAGGCTAGCCGAAAACTAGGGATCTCTCTGCCTTTCTACACCTGAGATTAGAAGTATGCTCTGCTATGCACATCCAGAATTATCTGCTCCTGACAGGCCTATAAAGATAATGATTAATGCACAGGGAGGTTAAGTATGCCCAAATAGACTTTAATTTATTTCCTCAGTCAATTGGAATTTATGACACAGCCCCTTGTCCTCCTAAGCCTGTGAGGGTTATTATGTCTCCTATTCCTTTTTGTTTGGTTGGTTGTTTTAGTTTTTTAAGACAGGTTCTCTCTCTGTAACAGCCCTGGCTGTCGTGGAACTCACTTTTTAGACCAGGCTGGTCTCGAACTCACAGACAACCATCTGCCTCTGCTTCCCAAGTGCTGGGATGAAAGGCATGGCGTGCACCACCACCCAGCAAGCCTCAAGTTCTTTTTTGTTTGTTTGTTTGTTTGTTTGTTTGTTTTTGTTTTTGCTTTTTTGAGACAGGGTTTCCCCGTGTAGCTTTGGAGGCTGTCCGGGAACTTGCTCTGTAGACCAGGCTGATCTTCTCCAGTTCTTTAGCCATAGAATTTTCTTATGGTTTACAAATTGTAGTACAGTAGCTGAGAGGCTCAAACAAATTAATTATAATTAGTTAACACATGGTAATCCTTTATTATTGCCTGTAAGCCCGGCTCGCATGGAAGCTGAGACAGGAAGATTTCAGTGAGTTCAAGGTCAGCCTGGGATATGGCTATGAAATGAGTTCCAGACCAACCTGAAAAAACAACAGAATTTTAGTTACACTTAGTATATTTGCAATACTTCCTTGCTAGATGCCGGGTAGCACAGATAGTATTTCAGTCTTTTAACTAAAAAACTTAAAAATTTAGAGCAACATAACAGTACAACATATTTAAAGAAGTGCCACACATTTGTTTTCCAGTTTTTTTGAGGAAGAAGTGAGGGCAAGCTACTTTAAGAGTTGGTGTGCTATATTCTGTGTCTTAGACAGTGATATCCCAGATCTGAAACACACACATTAGATGTACGGAAGTCCCTGAGAGCTAACAGGATGAAGACTATCATACTCTTTTTGGATGCCTTTCTGGTTTGTTTTGTTTTCGTTTTGACAAGGCCTTAGAAGCCTGCCTAGGCTGGCCTTGAACTCACAGCAGTCTGTCTGCCTTAGCCTCACAAGTGTTGGGGTTACACACAGGAACCGCCATGCGCAACTGTGGGTGCCCTTTTTTACGGCTGTGCAAAGTCTCAAAAGCAATCATCTCTCCTGGGAGGTACAGCAGCTGGTACCTGAAGGGGGGGGTGAAGGTAACCGGGAAGCCCCCCCCTTCCGGGCCCTTGGTGGGTAGTGAAGGTAACCGGGAAGCCCCCCCCTTCCAGGCCCTTGGTGCCAAACTACAGTGGGAACAGTGGCCGGATTCCCCAGTTGGAAGGGGTGTGGTTTGGCCTGCTCAGCCTCCTCTGCTTCTGAAAATCCAGGCCACACAGTCCACAGCTCAGCACTCACTTGGCTCTTGTCCCAAAGCTACTCAGAAAAGCAGCTTGGTGAAGAGTCCCTGGTCTGTTTCTGTCCCCAGGGGAACAGCCCCTTGTTCCTTTCCACCCTGAGCCCTGGAATCGGTGAGTTTCTAGGTCATTTATTCCCAGCACTGCACGATAAGTTAACACTGTTCAAGGATTCACTCCCGAGAGTTCTATAAACCATTGTGTAATGTAGATTATAAAGACTTGGTAAAATAAATTTGAAAGTTCCTTTAGGCCATTGGCATTGTGGCTTAGAAAGTATTTGCTGTTATCTATCTGTCCGTGTTGTGGTTAAAATCTTATCACTGAAAACAAATGCTTTGGTGTTTTGTTTTGGTTTACATTTCTGAACTTTACAGAACACTGACCTGCATTTTTTTCTCGATAATTTTGATAGCATGATTTTGTGTACTTGGACATTTGTATTGATCTTTCTCCCATTGGAAGACTGATTTTTGAGGTAAGACATTTTTGCCATTTTTTTTTTCAATTAAGTTTTGAGGAGTTTGTTATTGATAAAATACTGAGTAACCTTTGAACCCTTTCATCTTTATTTTGTAGCTATATTGTGATACATGTCCCAAAACATGTAAAAATTTTCAGGTCTTGTGCACAGGAGCGGCAGGGTTTTCTGAGAGAGGCATAAAACTCCATTACAAAGATTCAATTTTTCACCGAGTAGTCCAGAATGGCTGGATACAAGGAGGAGGTGAGCTGCAAAGTTTAAATACGTCAAAGCAGAAAGCCCTAGTACCCATCCCTTTACGTTTATAAAATTATAAAGAATCAGGGCTGCCCTCCAATTCACAGAGACCTGAGTGCTGGGGTTAAAGGTGCGCACTACCTCCTGGCTTGGATAGAGCTTGGATAGCCTCTGTGTGTTGGAGGTGAGGCGTAGTGTATGTAGCTGTGCATGGGTTCAAGCCTAGGGCGTCACTCAGGCTCTACCAACCTCATGGTTTTTGAGACAGAATTTCTTACTGCCAGCAACCTTGGATTTTAGGGATGATAAAGAGTATGCCTTTCAGGCAAAAGCTGGGGTTCTGGAGGGAAAGCCTTCAGACCTGCTAAACAAATCCAGTGTCCTTTTTTTTTTTTTTTTTTTTTTTTTTATTGTTTTATATTTTCAAGATGTCTATGTAGCCCAGGCTGTCCTGGATCTCACTCTGTAGACCAGGCTGGCCTCAAACTCATAGGGATCCACCTGCCTCTGCATTCCGAGTTTGGGGATTAAAGCCATGGGCTGCACCAAGCTATTGATCTGGCTTCTTTTAGGTGGGTTCTGGAATCCAACCCAGGTACCTGAGCTCACATAGAAAACACTTCACTGGGCCATCTCCAGCCCAAGAATTAGATATTGATAATAACAAATGTATTATAACCTAAAGGATGTTTTATATGGTCAAGTGATTCATTAACATGTTTGTATTTTCAGTCCCTAATTTAAATTCTATTTCCAGGAACATTGCAAATTAAAAAGTGACAGAGTAACATGACTTTTTTTTTTTTAAAAATCATAGGGTACTTTAGTTGAACTACCAAATACATAAAAATACCTAGAAACACACTAAGGGTGGGGATTTGAAAACAGAACAAGACTGGGGCCACACCTTTAACCCCAGCACTCGGGAGGCAGAGGCCAGCCTGGTCTACAGAGTGAGATCCAGGGCAGTCTGGGCTGCATAGAGAGATCCTATGTCAAAAAACAACAGCAACAAGGAAGGAAGGGAAGAAGGAAGGAGAGATTCCATCCCTGAGATCCACACACGCGGAAGGCTAGAACTGTGCACGCGCACACACACACACACGCCCACACAGATGTAGGCAGAGTTTTTCTGTGTCTCAGCAGTCACTCCCAAATAATCACCCGGAGACTTATTATTAATTATAAATGCTTGGCCATAGCTGAGGCTCACTACTCACTAGCTCTTAAATTTTAAATTCACCCATATTTCCATTTCCCCTGTCATGTGGTGGCTCCTTCCTTCAGCACAGCACGCTCATCTTGCTCCTTTTTGCATCTCTGCCAACTCCCCAGACCTCGCCCTCCCCCACCCCTCTTCCTTCCCAGTGTCCAGCTATTAGCCCGTCAGATTTTTTATTAACCAATGAGAGGAATACATATTTACAGTGTACGAAGTTTGTTCCACGGCATTTCACCCTTTTTGCCTAATTAAAAAGGAAGGTTTTAACTTTAACATAGTAAAACTATGTAATAAAAACAGTCATTAAGAATTACAGTTACAATGTTCAGTCCATTTGTATTTGGCAAATCTAGAGAAAATACTCTATTATTTATCTTATCTTGGTGAGGTCTAAAGTTTTATACTGTAATTTACCTTTTTATCATAAGGAAAACTGTAACTATCTAGTCTTTCAGCTCCAATCGAGACCTCAGTAGGGTCAAATGTTACCTAATGACAGGGACATCTGGCTGTCTGGACAATCACCCAAAGTCTCCCTGTAACATTGGGGCATCCATCTTTGGCCTACAGGCCTAGTACATCTGACAGACTTTCCCTGAGAAGCAGGGAATTTTCACGTATTGTCCTACCTTGTTTTGGGAAAGTTTGACAGTCTCTCTATTATGTCCTGCTGGTCCAGTTTGGACAGTATGCTGTCAGCAATCTGAGGTAAGGATAGTTTCTTTGCCCAAATGGATAGCTTTTGCCATAAAGAAAACAAACCCCACACAGATGTTCTTCAATGCCTTAATTTTCATTTGAAGTAAACTGGTGTTGTCAGGGGCAGGCATGTCTCACTGTCATGAAAAGCCTTAGGTCATTAGACATATTAAATACCATATCTGAAGTGTTTGAAGACCATCTATTATCTAAATGCATCTGCGTATTAGCTTGAAAACATACCTAACATGACTATAAATTTGACTATTATAGATGACTATTAGTCTGTATTTCTTAATTATACATTACATTTTAAAATGAGCTGTATAGACACATTACCCCCAAAAGGAGTAGAAACATACATACAGGATAACAAAATTAACTTTAAATTTTTATCAATAAACCAAAGTGCATGCCATGTAAAATATTTTGAGATTAATGGATTTTTTTGGATTAAAGTAGATTCGCCCTTTCCCCCTATCATTCCAGCAGCTGTCCAGTCTCAGGGACTAGGTTTAAGTTGCTACATTTTGCTTCTCAGTTTCCTTAGAACAAGACTTGGGGAAAGTCAGGCATAGTATCTGTTGAAGTTTCTTTTCTGTATAGGATTTGCAGAGGGCAAAGTGTGCAGGTGCTGGATCATGTTTCAGACAGTGAGACAATACTAAGACAAGAATACACTGTATCTTGGGCCAGCCCTAACCCCCTACACAGCCATTTCCTTACTCACCTCCATGTTAGACCTACCATCCTGTGATTAACAAATTTAAACCTTTCAGGATTTATTAGCTCAGCAGACCACTGGCTTCCACCAACCCCAAAGCTGAGAAGGTCATCAGATAGTATCTGAGGCCTAGAGGAGAATTTCCCCCATCTTGCCATAACCGCCTTGCTGATGTTTCCACCAATGTACTTTTTTTTTTAAACACCTTGATGTGTAACTCTTTCTTCTGTTACTATAAGATTTCTTGAAACTGCTTCAGTGTTGGAACAGGGAACCTGAGATAGCCTAGCTTTGTATGTGGATGCTGGGGATCAAACTCAGGTCCTGATGGTTGCACAGCAAACACTGTACCATTTGACCTCCCTCCCTAACACTTAGAGCATCGGTTTTCAGTCACGTTCAAAAAGAACCTTTTCCATTCCGTCTGCTTAGTTTACTCTTTCCACTTCTCTGAAAAGCAAAGTGAAATATGGAATTTCTTAGGGTTTCTGTTGCTGCAAAGATGCACTACCATCAAGGCAACTCTTGTAAAGGAAAGTGTTTAATTGCCTGGCTTAGTTTCACAGGTTCAGTCCATTATCATCATGGTGGCACGCAGGCAGACGTGGTGCTGGGAAAGGAGCTGAGAGTAGAGGATCTACATGATCAGCAGGCACAGGAAGTGGTCTGAGACACTGGGCATGGCTTGAGCATAATATGAGACTTCAAAGCCTGCCGCACAGTGACACATTTCCTCCAACAAAGCCACACCTCCTTACAGTGCCAATTACATTCAAACTACCACACGAATAGCCTATGACGTAAATGATTTGTGAGCATCTTCTTTAATTGTGGCCATGATGATAACATTCTTCAAAGGTTTTTACATTATAATTTGCTATCCCGGGAAGTAAAAATGAATGTGTAAAAGTAAAATGATTAAATGATAAAGTGAAGTGATCATAGTAATATTTTCAATTGGGCAACTTCCTCTAGATTTGGTTAAGATGTAAACAGGATCAGAATTAAAGGTGCCTTCTTCTCTTTGTCATCACTGTGTTCTGATCTGGTTGTTATCATTTCTCAGATATAGTAGAGGGAAAAGGAGATAACGGGGAGTCTATTTATGGACCAACATTTGAAGGTAGGTGTCTTTCAAATTTGTCAGTCATATAGTAACTGATTATTCAAATTTAAAAGGATTCAAATGAGACAGTTTGTGATAATATTTAGTAGAAATGAAAGTTTAAAATGGTGTTACTCTTCAAACTGCAGATTTTTTTTTTTAAAGTGGAGGTTTGCCCTTACTTGGTTAAAGATTGAGTGGCATTCTAAAACAAATCAAAACAAAACTAGGATTGGAGATATAATTCAGTTGGTAGAGTGCTTCCTTGCCTAGCATGCATGAGATCTCTCAGACCACTGCATGTGGTGGGTCATGTTTGTAACTCCATTCAAGGTTGCCCTCAGATATGTGGTGAGTTTGAGGCCAACCTGGGTTACATGAGACATCTCAAGCAACCTGCCTCTTGTTTCAGTCCACAGCAACTCTGTACACACTTTTACTTGCCTACTTCCTTAGGATAAATCCGAGGGTATTAATTAGCTTCCTCTTGTTCTATAAGATGGCAGAAATGCTAGTAAAGATTACAAATATCATGGCAAAATGCCAACATAACCGGTTTGAAGAAGCTGTCACTGACCAAAGATGTGGGAATTTGACCTCCATTAAAATAGTAATCCCAGTGGGTTGGAAGTCAACCTATATTTAACCCACAAGTTCATAACGACACTTTGTTATAAAACAAAGTCTAACCTGTACCCTTTGGAGAAATGATAGAAAAAGAATTCATTATCTCAGGGCTGGAGAGATGGCTCAGTGTTTAAAAATGCATGCTGCTTTTAGCAAGGACCTGGGTTTGGTTCCCAGCACCCACGTCAGGCAGCTCACAACCACCTGTAACCCCAGCTCCAGGGACCCGGTGCCTCTTCTGGACTGCATGGACACCTGCACACGTATGCACATAAACACCTAACTACGGAAATGAAAATAAATCCTTTTAAAAACCTGTTGTCTTGATAGCCGAGGTGATCAAACAGCATTTAATTGGGAGTTTTCTTGCAGTGTTCGTCCATCATCATCATGGTGGGAACACAGTGGCAGGCAGACATGGTGCTGGAGAAGCAGCTGAGAGCTCCACCCTGATCTGGGCCGGACACAGGCTTTTAAGACCTCAAAGCCCACTCCTAGCAATACACCGACTCCTACGAGGCCACACCAACTAATCTTTCCAGTCTACCAACTGATGACTGAGCATCTAACTAAATGAGCCCATGCATGGGGCAATTCTTACTCAAACCTCCACGGTCTTTTGCAAGCACGCGCACAGGTTTGGGCACCTGCACTTGTCACCTGCACATGTGTGTACATACCACATTCACAAGCACACATACACACCCATCCAGTTAATAAATGAAAAGGAGATAATACTGGAGGGTAGCAACTACTCCTGACCACAGCAAACACAGACGGCGACTCTTGTTACATCAGCCCCTCTTAACATCTCAGAGACAGACAGCAGAGGTCCTGTGCCTCTGTTGAGTAGTAGGAAAGCCTCAGTCAGTTCCATCCCAGGGTGATGTATTCCAAAGTGATCTCCTTATCGGGGCTGCTGCGATGGCCTGGCAGTAATAATGCCAGAACCCAGGATAGAAAAGAGAACCAACTCTAAAACAGCGTCCTCTGACCTTCACATGCATGTGCCACACACACACACACACACACACACACACACACACACACACACACCACTAATAAATGCTTTAAATCCTTTTACAGAAAGTACCGGGGTGGAGACAGATGGTTCAGTGCCTGAGAGCACCTGATGCTCTTACAGACAACCTGGATTTGCATCCCAGCACTCAGGTTGAACAATTCACAACTGCCTGGATCTCAAGCCCTCTTCTGGCTTTTGTGAAACCAGGCATGCACCTGCGAATACATACATATAAATAAAAGTAAATGAGTCTTTAAAAAATACAAAGCAGCTAGGCTGTGGTAGCACACGCCTTTAATCCCAGCACTTGGGAGGCAGAGGCAGGCAGATTTCTGAGTTTGAGGCCAGCCTGGTCCACAGAGCCAGTTCCAGGACAGCCAAGGCTACACAGAGAAACCCTGTGTCCGAATATTTAGGAGCACAGCTGAGCCAGTTAAGATGATAGGAGTCCTAGGAGTACAGCCATCTAACAAGAGCCCTACTCATACACAGGACAGGAAACACCATGAAACTGTATAGACCAATGACTCCACGGTTTATGAGAACTATGGCAGCTCGATGTAAGATGCTTCGGGGGAGGGCCAGACCCATGAAAGAACTGAGGAAGATGTTTACAATGCTTACATAGGTTGTCTGAATGAAGGTCCACTGCAAATAGCATGAGGAAGCCTGCTGTCCTTTACTGTAAGAAACGAATGCACTGAGAACACTTGTTTTTAGCTACAGTAAAGACAAATGAGCTCATGCTCAAGTAGTTCTAGTAAGATTCTGCAACTTCAAAAGTGCTTGTTTAAATATCTGAAAATAATTCACACTAATGGGAATGTTTACAGTTTGGAGTATATCGGTAAGTGCTATGAAGTATTTCCGCGTTCCCTTCGCTCCTTACATGTTGTAACTGTTGGAAACAATACAGGTACTTCAGTGACCTATGGTTATTCTTTCCTAGATGAAAACTTTTCAGTCCCTCATAATAAAAGAGGCGTTCTTGGAATGGTGAACAAAGGTCGTCATACCAACGCATCACAGTTCTATGTCACACTACAAGCAGCTCCCTATCTGGATAAAAAATATGTGGCTTTTGGGTATGTATATTACAGATTTCTCTGCGTAGTATTCACACACATAAGATGTTTCTCAAAAAGTAGTTCACACGATTATCGTACCTAGTCGGATTACCCCAAAACAGAGCTGAGTAATACAAAATAATATAGACACATCTGGCAGTAAATAGTTACATCAGACTTGTTATTCATAAAATATAGGAATTATGGCTGGCAAAATGGTCTAGTGGGTAAAGGTGCATGTTGCACAGTCCTGTTGAGTTCAATCCCTGGAACCCACATAAAGTGGAAGAAGGCTGAACCCCATAAAAAGAATTAATAACTTTACCTCCTCTTGGACCATTTGAATGTCCTCTGACATCTTGCTGACAGTCTATACCCCGTCTACCAATGCCCTGTTGGTCGTTGATGGCCTGTACCTCATTAAAGCCACCTTTCTCAGACACAAAGGTGACTGCTGTGATTCTGCATAGCCGCATCACCAGTGCCCTTGCCCCGCCCCCTGCCCCGCCCCTGCCCCGCCCCTGCACTGCCCCTGCCCCGCCCCTGCAGACACACACACACACAGCACAGGCCAGGGACGAATTCTGCACCTCTCCCTCTCCCGCCATACACGATTTTCCAGCCATCAAGTTTGCTATTGTCTTGTTTAATGGACACTTGACATCCACCATTACTGATGTGCCTGCTCTTTAGACACCTTAGATCCCACCAAAACCAAAGAGGCCAACAGAAAGCAGAGCCTGGGAAGGGCACCCCAGCTCCTTGAGTAAAAGCAAACTCATTCCCGGGAAGTCTGTTTAGACCGGTCCTTGGGGAAATCTCATCTTTGTTGTCATCCCCACTCTGGCCTCAGGGGGGCAGTGTATCCCTTTTATTATTTCAGTTTATCCCTGAACATGGCAGTTTCAGTCAGGTTGGGATATCTAAACAGAACCCAGCAGAACTCTGAGCGAGCTGGAGACAGGTAATAGCAAAATAGACAGCCCGTACAGCTAGGGTAGAAGTAACACCTTCCTGCCCAGGTGCAGCTGCTGTTTCCTGGGCCTCCCTCCCAGCATTTCAGCTTCTGGAAGCCCATGTGTGATTAGCAAGGCCTGGAGACACACAAGTGTCCTGCCTGTCTGGGGCGAGCCCTCAAGTTCTAGTTTCTAAGATAGGTGATGCTAGGAATGCCTATCCACACAGACTGAAGCAAACCACAGGAGGGCCTTGCCCAGTGTTCCTCATGGGAAAAGAATAAAAACAAAGCAAACAAAAACAAAACAAAAAGCAAGCTTGTGCCAGTGGTCTTGGTGATGCACACCTTTAATCCCAGCACTCCAGAGGAAGAGGCGCAGTCTGAGGTCAGCCTGGTCTTTACACTGAGTTCCAGGACAGCCGGACCTACACAGAGAAACCATGTCTCAAACAAACAAACAAAAGAACCTTTGGGCTGGAGTGATGGCTCGGTGGTCAAGAGCACTGGCTGCCCTTCCAGAGGACCCAGGTTCAATTCCCAGCACCCTCATGTCAGCTCACAGCAGTCTGTAACTCCAGTTCCAGGGGATCTGACACTCTCTCACAGACATTTTAAAAATAAGTAAATATTTTTTTTAATGCAAGCTTGTAAGATTGCTGCCCATGCATACACATAGGAGAAGTGTAGTGGAATATGCACTGGGGATAGTGGTAGGAGAATTTCACTTTCAGGGAGTCTTAAGGTGGGAAGGAACTGTGGAGGGCTTTTCGAGAATGTGAACTAGGTAGGTAAAGTAAAGTAGAAGTTAGCCGGAGAGAGGAAGGGGAAATATCAGTTAATCAAACCCGCTTTCTAAAGCATAAGGCACTCTTACGATGCCCTAAGGAATGAGGAATGAGAGACCTCAGCTGGTCTAGCTGGAGTGCGAAGTCCAAGGAGAAGCGAGGTAGGATGGAGAAAGGAGATGGACTAGAACCTCTGTGCCATAGGTGCCAAGCATGGCTCAGCCTGTGGGCTTCTTCCAAAGGTGATGAGGAGCTACGGAAGAATTTTAAATTGTAAGCAACTTGAACCGCTCGCTGGGAACGCTTTCTGTAGAAGTCAAGAGTAAACTGGAAAAGAATTAAGAAGTATAGCGTCCAGTTAGGAAGGCCTAGTCATAACAGGTACAGATGAAGTTCTGTTTACAGCAGCAGGGTGGGCAAGCTGGGAGGGAGTGGGCAGATGTTAATGACATTCAAGTGACATTCATGGAGCTCAGTGAGGCTATAGTCTCCAGTGTCCTACACAGCAGGAGCCACCAGACACCCCTGGCCATCGAACACTTAAAATGTGACCAAGCAACTAAGGAAACATTCTTAATCTGCTTCTGAAAGTTTCAGTGTGTGTGTGTGTGTGTGTGTGTGTGTGTGTGTGTGTGTGTATGTATGTGTGTGCGTGCATGCGTGTATCTACTCAGGCCAGAAAAGGACACTGGATCCTTGGAGCTGGAGTTAGAAGGCCATCCAGTGAGGGCACTGAACCCTGGTTTTGTGGAAGAGCAAGTGCTTTGAACTAGTGAATCGTCTTTTATTGGTTCTAAATACATTTAAGCACCCACCTATTGTTAGTGGCCTGTATAGTAACGCCCCGGGTTTGAGAACTGGATAAGTGGTTGGTACCATTCACTGAGAAAGACCACTGAAGGAGGATTTACAAGAGATCATTTGAGGCTGGCTAAGCTGCATTTTACATTGATACCTATGGGGCAGTCCTGGGGAAATCAGAGAGGAGATATTCAAGCAGGTCAGGTCTGGATGTAATTTAGAGCAATCTGATTGGTAGCTGAGCTAAAGCCAGACCCCAGTACTGCCTCGAACAGTCTGTGGCCTTTGCTTACCTTGTTCCTTTCTGTCTCCCTTCATTCCAATGAAATCCTGGTTAAATCTAGACCCTAGATTCCCATCGATCACGTCTCGGTCCTCTTTGGCACATTGTGAACAACTTAGAGCAGGGACTGGTCTTGCATATCTTGTACCCTAACACTCCACAACAGAGAGGCACGCACAGGAAGTACTTGTTCAATATGTGTGAGGCCTGTTTGGAAAAGGGCCCTCTGCCTCACTAGACACAGGCCGGTCTGTGCTGATCTGCTCACATGCCCCCATGTTGTGTCCATCTCCTCCGCTGTCACAACTCCACAGCCTGGGTAATTCATAGGCGTTTATTTGGGGGCTAAGTGGTCAAGAGCATGGTGCTGGCTGTCTGGTGAAGGCCTGCAAGGTTGTGTCATAATGCAGAGATAACCAACTCACTTCTGTGAAAACCATGGGCCATTCATGAGGGCAGATCCCCAACAACCAATCACCTGTGAAAGCCCCCCAATACCACCACAGTGATGGTTCAGCATGAGCTTTGGGGAGAGCATTTAAACAGCACCCTGCGTCAGGGCTCCTGATTGGGATAGAGCCCAGAAGCAGATGAAGAGGAGATGCATGTGGTCCCTGTTGGTACTGGCCACACCCTGTCAAGGTTCATGCACTAGAAATTGCCCGCCTACTCTCAGCTGCTAACTTAACCCAAACCTTGGCAGAAGACACTACTCTGTGTCTAGGCCCGTCTCTCTGCCATTGTCTTAGGTAGGGTTACCATTGCTGTGAAGAGACACCACCGCCAGGCCAACTCCTATAAAGGAGACATTCAATTGTGGCAGCAGCTTACAGTTTCAGGGGTTCAGTCCATCATGGCCTAGAGCATGTTGGCGGGGACAGATGCAGCGCTGAGGCTACTACTACATCCTGCAGGCAACAGGAAGTCAACTGGCACACTAGGTGGTGTCTTGAGCATAGGAGACCTCAAAGCCCGCCCCCACAGCGCGCACTTCCTCTAACAAGGCCACGCCCACTCCAACAAAGCCACACCTCCTAGTACTAGCAGTCCCTATGCAATTATGGGATAATGGGATTACGGGGCCCAATTACATTCAAACTGCCACAGACATATTCTGATGTGATTGTTTGGTTTTGTTTCTTTGTCTTTGTGCGTGTATTATGTGTATGCTTATGCAGGTGTGTGACCATGTGTGTGCTGATGTGCAATGCATGGACACGTGTGTGAACAAGCACGTGGAAGCCAGTGGTCAAAGGTGTCTTCCTCTGTCTCTCTCCACTGCATTTGTTTTAACTTTTACTAAATGAGATAAATATTCCGCCAATAGGTAATGAGCTTCCGAACCAACCACATGCTTCCTATGGGAAACTCACTTTAAGTGTGGCGATGTTGGTAGTTTAAAAGGTAATGTAATTTGAGACTGGAGAGGCAGCTCAGTGGTTAAGGCTGTACTGCTCTTGCAGAGGACCAAAGGTCTACAGACTCTGACTCTAGCTGGAGAGACAATGCTCTGGCCTCCAAGGGCTCCTGCACTCACACATACTCACACAGGCAACTAAAGGTAATAAAAAGGAAGTTGGGTGACTTGGATTTGGCAGGGTTTCTGAGATCTGACCCCAAAGACATGAACAATGTAAGAAAACGTAGGTAAACGGGAATGTCAACAAAACAAAAAACTTGTGCATCAAAGGGCATCATCAAGAAAGTAAAAAAGAACCTCCACCAACAGCATGGGAATAAGTAAAAACTAAATCCATATCAGGCGTGGGAAAATAGCCTAGCTGGTAGAGTGCTTGCCTTCTGCGCATGGGGTGGGGCTCATCTCCAGCACCCCAGCACAACCCTCTGAAATAGACCTAGGTGTGATATGTGCACCTTAGTTTTTGAGACACCATACTCATTGAACCTGGAGCTCATCGGTTTGGTTAGGCTAGCTGGTCAAAGAGCTGCAGGGATCTGTCCGTCTCTCCCTGATCACCAGCCCCATGCCGGGGTTCCTAGCTAACCCCTAGGTCTGTGTGCAGACAGTTCACCAACTGAAGGGTCTGGAGCAGGGGGTGACCTCAGGTGGAGGGGGGGTGACCTCAGGTGGAGGGGGGGTGACCTCAGGTGGAGGGGGGGTGACCTCAGGTGGAGGGGGGGTGACCTCAGGTGGAGGGGGGGTGACCTCAGGTTTGCTCTTCTCACTGTAATGAGGACAAGCAGGATAGATGCCCGAGCAAATGAAACTATGCTGGCTAAAAGCTGCAGCGGCTAGCGCTGCAAGGCAGGAAGGATCACTGCCCGAATCGTGGCGCTGGGCATGCATACGGGCAGCAAAGTGGGCACATTCCAGATGATTGCAGTCCACGTGTAATACCCTTCGCCGTAGTTGACTAGGGCTTCCTTTGTGAATGTAAGCTGAGTGTGGAAATTCAAGGCTGATCACATTTTCCTTCCCTCCTATGCAGGCAACTAATTGAAGGAACCGAAGTTCTCAGACAGCTAGAATTAGTTCCGACCGAGAACGAAAGGCCCCTGCTCCTGTGCAGCATTGCAGACAGTGGGATTATTTACACCTGATTCTCACAGCAGTCAGATGTCCTGTGATGGCTTATTACTATGCATTTGATCAGCTGTTTTCTATATTTAATTAAATGGTGCTTGATAACATTTGATTCGAAGGCCGTGCAGACACAATTGGTTGGTTCATCCAACAGTCATTCCCTTTTTCCTCCACTACAGAGACTATTAAAATACTCAATTTCCCAGGCTCCTTTACAACTGGAAAGGCCATTTGAGAGCTCTGTGGCTAGTGGGTCACTGGAATGCCAGTGACCTTGTTCCTGCCCCTTCCCTTCGTCATGTCTCCGATACACATAGGCTGGGAACCAAGAGAATGCTTAGCTGTCAACCTCGCCTCACCACGCCCTCTTTCTGGAATCTTTACTACACACGGCGCATAGACCTCTGACTTCTATTCCTGGTTCTATTACTATTATTTTTTCCTTGTGGCCCTGAGCATTATGAACCTACCAATGTACCTAGTCAGTTTTTAGTCTAAAGTGTTTGTAAATGAATTATGCTGTTTGTAACTACATTCCTATCATGATACTCTTGCTAGAAAAAAAATCAGTGTCAAGTTACTTTGCTTATGCCTAACAGGCAGGAAGGACACATGGATTTGGATGTCATGGAGCCATTCCAGCCACAATGGGCTGATCTTGTGGTTGACTCCAGTGACAAGGCCAGAGCTCTGTTTTATCAGCTACTCCATCTGGAGGTCCTGAAGGCTGCCTCACTTGTAGAAGAAGGCTTTTAAAATGTAGACCAGCAGGCCCTATCCTCGACCTCCTGAGTCACAGTCTGTAAGAGAGAGGATCTCAAGATGGAGACAGGAGACTACTTTAGTTCTTTCTGACTTGGACAGCCGAGCATCAGCCACTGGGACCCGCAAGACAGAATTACCCGACCTCAGCGCTGACACTCGCTGGTGACAGTCCCCTTGTGTGCCCCACTTTTCTGGTCTTTCTAACCCTCCTCCAAAGGTGGCTTGTCTTCCAAGGACGATATCCCCTTACACCAACTCTGAAAGAGACAGGCTGTAAATTGATGGGGGGGGGTTGCCAGACACAGGCACATTATTTATTGGATGATAGCAGATTCACAGGAAGTTGCAAAAACAGTACAGAGAAGTCGAGCGTACCCTTCATCCAGTTCCCTCAGGGCTTGCTTCCTCTGTAACTATGGCACAGAATCAAAACACCACTAACACAGCTGCAAGGGCGGGATGCCATTTCATCGTGTGACACTCTGTGTCACAGGTAATGAAGATCCACCGCCCAAAGATCACCCTCACTTACCCTTTACTACCATCCTGTCTTATTGCTGTGTCATACATACACCAACACAAAGCTCAGTGTAGATGAGAAATAAAACTGTCCATCCACATTGTGGACTGACTCAGAGATGGCAGTGTTAAGAACCTGTGCTCTAGAGCCAGACCGACAGGGCTGGAAAGCAGGCCCTGCCCTTTCCTACCTGAACCAACTTAGGCAAGAACCTCTCTGGACCTTTGTTTTCTAATGTAAAAAGCAGGTGTTGTTATCCTCAAGGTTGTTGTCCAAGTTCAGCAAGTAATAATTTGTATAAAGAACCTAAAAAGAGGCTTGGTATGCTGTACCTGCCCTGGTAGATGGATGCTCTATTTGATATTCAATAAACCACTCATGTATAACCTGCAGGATATGGCCTCTGAGTGTGTACCCTATAAATGTTCTCCAAAACTCATCAACAGCCACATCAGATTGAGCTCCTTCGTCTGAGAACCCAAGCTGCTCTTTATTATTTTGAAATCCTAAAATGGAACCTCACTCTGTCACCCAGGCTGGCCTTGAACTCAAAACCATGCTTCCTCAGTCTCCCAAGTACTAGGATTATAGGTATGCACTACCATATCTGAATAACTAAGCTCTGGCTTTTCTGCGAAGCCCCCAGACCCCCTCTTTGGACCTGAGCCAGTCCTCAGGTGTCACTGGTGTTATCCCAAAAGGGAACAGGGCTTGCCACCAAGACTTACCAATCTTTGAGACAACCACATTGAAGCGCCTGTGATTTCCAACTCATGACCAGCATGGGTGATGCGGAACAAAGGTCAGGCTCTGCTGGTGGCAAACTGTCAATGGCCTTACACATTTCATCTGATATTGGGAAAGGACTGGGGATTCACTGGGTACAAGAAGCTGACCCAGCTCAGGCATAGTGGTCCAGGTGGATGCAGCACATCAGCCACATGCAGCCAGGGGTGCAGTTTCCAAGTCCAGTCTCAGAGATGGCAAGTTCCTGATCACGTTGTCCACTTCTGCTCTACCCCTGGGCTACAGAAACTTTCATTTCAAATCTATATGTGCAGAGGTTCTCAGACCTCCATTTCAAAGCATATACATTGATCCTTCCATTCATTCTGGAGGATCAGAAGTTCAAGGCTATCCGTTACTACATAGTAGTTTGAGACTATCCTAGACTACCTGAGACCTTGTCTCAAAATGCTAAAATGTAAAAATATAGAAAATAATAGAAATGGCATTTGTCCCGACTATAAACAGTTACTGATTACGAGTGCTTGGTAATGAATGAAGGAATGGTCCATCAACATCAAGATTCCAGATTCTTGACTTTTTGCACTTTATGAGTAGTTTAAGTTAAACGCGTTCGTTCTAAACTCGCCTTTCCTACAACGATTTAACCTTTTGCTGATCTCACTTCTACTGATAATAGAAATAAAGCCACTGTCTACCTGCTGGCCCTAAGATTTCCATGATTCTCTGAGTAAACCTACAAAACCAACAGCAGCACACTGCTTTACTGGGGAATCCACTTTAGTTGATAAAGTAGGACTACATCTGTCTCTGTGCTTTGAGGGCTGAGAAGAGATCTCTAATGACACCTAGCATAGCAGATATGCAATAAAAACGCAGTAATATCTTCCCACAAAACCAGTTCCGTGACAATGCATAATCCTTTCAAGAGGCATTAAGAGCTTGTCATTCTGTGTTGCCACACAATACCGAATGAACTTCTCAGTCACCCAGGGAGCGAATTCAAAGGTCCCTCTCCCATGCTGACTGGTACGCTCCCCCTTAGAGAACAAAGTTATTCCCTACATTCCCAGAATGGAATCACTACTCTTTACACAGGCAGCTCTTAAGTCCCTGTCAGACCCATACATCGAACAAATACAGGTAATAAACTGAGCTACAAGTGATGTACAACATAGCACAAAGCTGACCATTAGGGCTCACAGCTTCTCTTACTTTAGCATGTAACAGGGTGCTGTCCTTCTGCGTTCTAGCCGGAAATAGTTCTCCAGAATAGACCAGAGAAAGCACTGTGGACACCTCTGTACACAGGGACATCATAGCTCATGGAGACCATCAGAAAGCTTTCCAGGCTGTTACCTCAACACATGGACTATCCCTAAGGAACAAGTCAAGAACAAGTCTCCCATTTCTTAAATTGAGAGATGATGCAAAGAGCTCTAACAAACCCACAGTTAAGCAGAAGAGAAATAAACCTTGAAGCCGGATGTGTGGTCCATACCTGAAACCCCAGCATGCAGGAGAATAAGTTTCAGGCTAGCCTGGGGCATGTAAGTTCAAGACCAGCCTGCACTGTGTAGGAAAAGGAAAGAAACTATAACTACAGGTACTGGTCCCAGGGGAAGCTGTCTGGGTTCTGTGACTCTTTGAATTCCCAGATTCTTGTTGTTTCTATCACAAGCTTACATTTGTCAAAACATGTCCTACTATAGGTTCCAAGGTGAGTTACTGTCCAAACTGTGGCAATTCAGGACAGCTGAGTTCTGGCCATGTTGTAGTATAGTTCAGCCTTTTCAGACTCATAATATACATGTGTACCTATCTTCTGAGGATCTTGTGAAAATCAAGTTCTGATTCAGAGTGAGCTAAGTCTCAGTACTTCACATTCTGAACAAAATTCTAAGTCTCATAAATCCCATCTGTTTATGGACCACTCTAAAAAGCAAAAGGAAGGTGGGAGGTTTTTATCAGAGTTATAGGCTAGAAACACTGGGGAACTTCTGAAAATCTGGATACTGAGGCCTTTCAAACCCATTAGGCCAGTCCCTAGGCAACATTAAATAAATAAAAAAATTTATTAATTATACATAGTGTTCCACCTGCATGCCAGAAGATGGAACCAGAAGTGGTCTCTGGGAATTGAACTCAGGACCTTTGGAAGAGCATTTTTTTAGATGCTCCAGTGTTTAGCAAAAGTGAGAGCTCAAGCACAGTGGTCCCTCCTGAATCAAAGCCCTGGCACTAGTGTCAGTGAAATGTCTACAAAGTGGAGGGGACCAAATAAAAACATCTCTGGCGTGTTATCAGTCCTAACCATACGTACTATTAAACTGAGGTTAAAAACCTGAAAGATGATTGGCTAAGAACATTTCCTGCTATTCCAGTCTCTAGCACCTATGCTGGGTGGCTCACAACCTCCTTAACTCCAATTCCAGGGCCTCTGGGGACACCACATACACAGGCACACACACCCTCACTGCAACTCATGATTTAAAAAATTCTTTAAACATCAGGAATTATCAATCTTATTAAAAGTCTTTTGCTGTTTGTTGTTTGCCAAGGGTGGACAACTGATCCAAATGTGCTCATTTACTCAGCCTGCTTTCTTTCTTTTCTTTTTTATTTTATTTATTTTTATTTATTTATTTATTTATTGAGACAGGGTTTCTCTGAAGCTTTGGAGCCTGTCCTGGAACTCGATCTGTAGACCAGGCTGGCCTTGAACTCACAGAGATCTGCCTGCCTCTGCCTCCTGAGTGCTGGGATTAAAGGTGCAAGCCACCACTGCCTGGCTTTACCTGGCCTTTTCTAAAACATCAAAATAACTGAATGCCTTCTATAGAAGCCCAGCATTACGACTGGAATAGGGAATAATCTGATAAACACCACCTGTTTTCTGAGTCCATCATCTAGTAAGACAGACAAATCACAAATAAAAGAAGGTGCAGGCTTTGCTACAGGCAGGCGCAGGGGAGCACCTATGTTCTCGGGGACAGGAAGCAGGAGTCCACTGGGATTTTTAAGGAGAGCTTTGTAGAGGGAGTGAATCTTAGCTTGAGAGGCCTGTCAGGAGAAGTGAGAAGTGCCCAGATGCCGGAAGCCTTGAGTGGTCCAGGCACGGCATCAGGATGATCCAAATGAAAAAGAAAGCACAAGCAGCTGACACTGGCAACTCAGGAGCTCTCTCCTATAGATTCTGCTACTCGTTGATGGGAGGGCAACTCAGGAGCTCTCTCCTATAGATTCTGCTACTCGTTGATGGGAGGGCAACTCAGGAGCTCTCCTATAGCCATATCTGCTACTTGTTGACAGGAAGGGGGTTGGTAGCTATGGTGGCTTTAAATGTCAACTTCATGCAATCTGGAATTACTTAGGAAGTTTCATTGAGGTACTATGTAGACAAGGCTAGCCCCTCCCATCATGAGCAGCACCATCCATTCCCAGGACTCAGGCAGTCATTCTCTGAGTCAAGTTCCTGCCTCCTAGATTTCTCAGCAATGATGGACTGTAATGTGGAATTATAAGTTGAATAAATTATTCCTAACTTAAAGTCCTTTTTGTTGGGATATTTTATCATAGCAACAGGAAATTAAACTAAGTCATCAATGGTCAGGTTGAGAAATGTTAGGTCAGTTGGGTGCTCTCTTCCAAGAAATGTAGAAGGAAACACTGGGCAACAAATGTGGTTGGGGTCAGGCCTAGAGCTGGCAAGATCGTGTGGGATTGGGTCCTGAATGTTCTAGCAAGCCACGTTGACATGCCAAGAATTCTTCCTTTTAAGTTCAAGGTTCACGTGGCCCACAGATGTTTGGCTGCCCACCTGAAATACTGCTCTTCCCGTCCAGTGACTCACATTAACACCAGTCACTGAAGAGAGTCTGTTCCTTTCTATCAAGTAGCAGAGCCAAACGCCTGGTTCTCAAAGGCCCATTGGGCACATGTACTCTTCCAGCTTGGGCGTGGAGTGTTGGTCTGTGTGAGAGGGAGTTAGGGCTACACACCGTTTTATTGCTTTTGAGAGAACAAAGACAATCTGTAATCTTAATCGAAGACCGAGGGTATCTAAGATAAAAAAAAAAAAAAAAAAATCTTAGGGATGGCTGATCTTCCAAACAGAAACGTCTAGAACAGTGCATCTCAACTAAGCCTGGTGATTTATCTTCAGGGAACACTGAAAATGTTGGGGAGGGGTGTATATGTGTTCACACAGGGGAAGGATATTGTATTTTCTGGCTTCTCCTAGATAGAAGCCAGGCTGCCATTACACAACCTACAATGGCAGGGACAGGTAGGAGTCAACTAGCATGCGATCACAATAGTCCCAAAATTGAGAAATAAGACAATAAACAGAATTCTACTTCCTTTTGAACTGGAAATAAATGTTTCTAAAATGATGAAAGTAACTTTGGAACTAAAGTCAGATCCTTGATCTAGTACTATAGATGTCATTAAAATAAACTAAGTCAGATGTTTTCTAGTCTTGAAATTGCCCCCTTATAAAGACTAAAGGAGGGAGGGGCTGGGTTAAGAGCACTGGCTGCTCCTCCAGAGGTCCTGAGTTCTATCCCCAGCAACCACATGATGATGGCTCACGGGCATCTGTAATGAGATCTGGTGCCCTCTTCTGACATGGAGGCAGAACGCTGTATACATAATAAATAAATCTTGAAGAAAAAAAAAAAATCTGAGGGCTAGAGTTAACATTCCAATGACAAGCTGTTAATCAATGGTCCGCACAGCAGTGTGTGTTCATCTTAGGGTACAAACGAGCTCATCGATTTGGGAACAGGAAGACGATATGAAACATAACGTCTGTTCTTAATATCCCAATGTTAGGAGTTGAGCAGTGTCTCGCCAGCCAGGGTCTCACGTGGCGTTTGAGCGAACAGCAGCAGCTGCTTCTCAGAAAGCTGATGAAGACGCCTCCTAACTGACGGACCGCGCTGGTTCGATTCCAGGCGGAAATAAAGGCTTCCGATCTTAGGCTCAAGTTTTAAAAGCGCGCTCTGGGAGACCCAGCATCAGATGGCGCTCACGGCTCCGGAGAGCCTGGACCGGGTCAGGTCCGGGGCGGGGCACGCGGACTTTGCACGCGGGGACGGGTGGAGCTCGCAGTCGGTCGCATCCTCGGCGGCACGCGCTCGGCAGGCGGCCCCGCCATGGCCACGCACCCCGCAGCGCCCGGGGAAGCACCGCACTCAAGATCGCATCAGGCTTCCTGCACGAGCGCAGCCGACCGTGCGGCCACACCGAGCCGCGCCGCGCGCGGGCGCGCAGGGCACGTGAGACCCGGGCCGGCAGGGCCCCGCCCCTCACGTCACGTGGGCAGCCCCATCCTCGCCATGGCGGGGGGGGGTGGGAGAGGAAGCCTCTCTGCTGCGGATGCGCGGGAAGACCCGCCGTGTCCACGTTCACGGCCGTCCCCGGGCCCGAAAGAGCGCGTGCGGCTCGCGGGCCGCCGTCCCACCGAAGCAGGATGGGGGCGGCCGCCCGCGGCCCCGGGGCGCCGCTCCACCCTCCCCCTCCCGCGGGCTCCCTGGTGGTTCCGTCCGCCCCGCTACGCCCCGCCCAGACGCCCCGCCCCGCCCACACGCCCCGCCCCGCGCACACGCCCCGCCTCCGCCCGCCCCGCGCACACGCCCCGCCCCGCCCGCCCAGACGCCCCGCCCCGCCCACACGCCCCGCCTCCGCCCGCCCCGCGCGCACGCCCCGCCCCGCTCGCCCAGACGCCCCGCCCCGCGCACACGCCCCGCCCCGCCCGCCCAGACGCCCCGCCCCGCGCACACGCCCCGCCCCGCCGGGCTGCTCACGTGACCGCCGCGCGCTCCCGCGGGGGGCGGGCTCGTCGGGGGCGGCGCCGCAGGACACGCACGGCCGGCGCGAGCCTGGTTCGCCGCAGCTTCCTCCTGCTCGCCGCGGCTGAGGACGCGATGTCGCCCGTCTCCCGCAGGCTGCTCTGGGCCGCCACCTGCCTGGCCGCGCTCTGCGTGGCGGCGGCGCAGCAGCACAGCAGCACCGCCGCTCCCAACGTGACCGAGTCCACGAACGTGACCAGCGAGCCGACCCCGACGACGCTCACGCCCACCACGCAGCCAGGTGGGCGCCCGACACACGCCACACGACCCGGTGGGACCCGCGCAACATGGCCGCCCGGCCGGGCCCGACGGGTCGGGTCTGATCGGGTCAGGTCGGGTCCGGTCGGGTCAGGTCGGGTTCGGTGGGGTCGGGTCAGGTCGGGTTCGGTGGGGTCGGGTCCGGTCGGGTCAGGTCGAGTCCGATCGGGTCCGATCGGTTTCGGTCGGGTCCGGTCGGGTCGGGTGCGCTGCGCGGCGAAGCTGCGGGCGAGCTAGGCCGCGGGGCTCATCCCGCTCGCCCGCCGCTGCCCGCACAGGCGCCATCTCCAGGCTCGGGACGGCGACGTGGCTCGGCTCCGCGGGGCCGGGGCGGAACTTCGGGACGAACTGGCGGTCCCCGCCGCCCCCTCCCGCAACTTCGCGTCCACTTAGCAGGGCGGTGTGGGCCGAGTGCGAGCGAAGGACGCACGCTTGCGGCGGGCGCTTGCAGCCTGGGACGGGAGGTGAAACCCACGATTAACCGCCCTCCCCGGGCCCTGTGATCTGAGAGTTGTCCAGAAAGGGGCGAAATGCGGTCTAGAGACTTCTCCAAAACCCGGTCGAGGAACGGTGCCTTTTGTTGAACTCCGGGGGCTTGTTACGGTTAATGCGAATTGACGTAGGCCGTGACAAGGCGAAGGAGACAGAAGATAAATTCGCAGTAATGAGGTGAAAAGGCACGAGATGTTTAAGTTGATTGTTTTACTTGATTTGGGTAAGAAGTAACTGCGCTGCTCAACCGAAGGGTTGCCGAAGTGGAGTGATTCGACATTGGCCCTTTTCTGGTGCTAGTGCCTTCTCTACTTTTAGCATTTTATGAGATGTAATATGAATAAAACTAGGCATGTAATTCCCGATTTATTGTTAGACTCAGAAATAGGCTAAAGTTCAATTTTTTTTTAATTGACCAAAGTAAATTTCAGAACAAGTCTGGGAATTTTTATCACAGTTAAGATGATAAAGCAAAATTATTTTGTCTTCTGCTCATTTGGCAATTTACCCAGAATTGTAATGTGTGGGTTTTACATTTTGTTTTTAAAAGGAGCCTGAAAATACCAAGTTAATTGCCTTTGTGTAATTGAAATACCTGCAGAGGACTTAACTTGTATTTTCTGGAAATTATGGGATAAGCTGCAGTGTGGAAAATAGCATTCCCCATGCTACACCCATCATCAGGCATACAGGGTTGTTTATAGCATGTCTTAAGAACGGGTACTTTGTGATTGCCCGCATCCACCAGATGGGTCCTTGCTTCCAGTAAATGTAACTGTTGGGATGCAGCGATTCTGCACAAAAGAGACTATTCTAGAAAAGAAATGAAGTGAGCCCTGTTCTATAAATCCATTTCTTTGTCCAGACTTAGAGTTGTAATTGGCCATCTGAGTTCTTGTTTCTGTACTGTTTGGTTTAGAGCGGTGGAAAGTTCTCAACCTTTCCTAATGCGGTGATCCTTTAATATATAAAACTCTGTGTTGTCGTGAGCCCCAACCATTAAAATTATTTTCACTGCTACTTCATAACTGTGTTTTTGCTGCTGTTAGGAATCTATCTGACATGCAGATGATCATAGGTTGGGCCCCCTCCCCCAGGGGTTGAGAGCCATGGATTTTAGGATTTTAGAGTGTTGGCCGATGCATGTCTATACATGGGTGGGCAGTGATATACACACAAACATACATACACACCCATGAATGTGGCCCCTTACCATGGTCTCTTCCAATTATGGAGAACCCTGTAGAAAGTGAGTCATTGAAGACTGACTCTGGGAAACTAACTTGATTTTAGAATGGCTCCATCAGAGTTGAATTTTCAAATCTATACTCTTTATTACTTAAAACTTATTTTCTCTGGCATTTGGAGGCAGTGCTTTCTTTGTGTGGATGTTATGACAGTGTTTCTCTTAATGTGTTTTGAGAATCCCTGGATGTCCAGGTATCTTTCAGTCTTGGCTGATAATCACTTCCTAGTACTCAGTATGCCCTCTAGCCTGTTTTCCAAAAGTTTGCTTGCAGTTTCATAGTTGATGATTGAAATTTTAATTTGTTTTTCTTTTGAGACAGGGTCTCACTATATAGTCCTGGCTGTCACAGAACTCACTGTTTAAACCAGACTGGCCTTGAACTCACAGAGATCTGCCTATCTTCCTTCTGGGTGCTGGGATTAAAGGTGTGCAACATTAAGGCAGGCTTAAAAATAACTTTTGTATTTGTGTGTGTGCATGTACGTGAACACACTTGGCAAAGCACACCAGAGGAGGCCAGAGGATAGGACTGAGGAGTCAGTCCTCCTTCCATTGAGTGGGGCCAGGGCATTGACCCCAGGTCATCAACCTTTACTCCCTGTGCCATCGTGCTGGCCCACCGTTGAAATTTCTTAATAAACCAGCTTATAAACATAATGTTTCATGGAATTATTAAAGCTAATCTACTGCTTACTGTTCAAAAAAATGTAAAACAAACTAAATGAAACATCAATTCATTGACTTCATAATTTCCCCCTAGAAACCTGTGAGAGCCGCAACAGCTGTATTTCCTGTGTTAATGCCACAGTTAACAATACTGCCTGTCTTTGGGTCGAATGCAAAGAAGGTAAGAAACTTTGGAGTCACAGCCCTTCTGCATATTCTTGAATATTTGAAAATCCTATAGAATATTTAAGATGGTATGCAGTGTTTATTTTCCAAATCAGTACTTCCGTAAGAGTACTAGTTGCTAAAGGAAAGATTTTAGATCTTCAGAAGGATTAAAGTGTGCTAGAATTAACTGGAAAAACTGTTATTTTCCTTCGGAAGTGGGGTCATTTGTCTTGGGAGGTGAACTGTAGAGGCCTTGTGGAACCTTGTTGACTGCTTTGATCTGTATAAGAAGGGAAGAGTTGAAATGTAATATTTTTATTAGGATTATAGTATTACAATGTGGATTCCTCTGTTTTCTTAAGGTAAGCTGCTTACAGCTTTCCCTATCAGTAAAACAATCTATTAAAGAACTTTCTCCTTTTTTGGTTTTTGTTGGGATTTTTTGGCATCCCTAAAGGTACAGTTTTGTTTTTTCAGTAAGAATGGAGTTACGTGTTAAGCTCCTTTATCCAGTGAGTGTTAGTTCTGTAAGTAGCACAAGAGATGCAGAATGCTCTTTAACTTTCGGGAGTTAACCATGTGGTGCACATACGTTAAACTATAAAGTAGAACTTGATACTTGATTAACTTCAGAGAGCTGTAAGGTGGATCCTCTCCCACTGTACTCATAGGACTTGTTGAGGTTTGGAGATTACATCCTGTGTTTTAAGATTTGTTGCTGAAGGCTCTCCAGTTACCACTCCAAGTCTGTCTGTTCAGGGAAACTGTTGAGAAATTGTGCACAAGTAGAGGTGAAAGTGTAGAGCATAAGTCCTGTTCCTTCTGCAGACCCTGCTCACTGCGTCTGCTGAAGGAACTTGACCACACGTCCTTACCAGTCCTCAGAGTCCTGTGAATTTCTGTTTATGTCTTCAGTGTTCAGTGCCTTTTAGATTGTCTGTAAGACTGTAGGAAGGAGTAGCAGCTTTTATTACTCTGACCTTGAGAACCTGAAACCTTCTTCCAGAGCTCTGGGGTCAGTCACAGGTGTGTGCCAGCCACATTTGGCTTGGCTTGCTTTGGTTTTGTTGTAGTGGTGTCCTAGAGCTTAGTAGCAAAGCCAGAGATGTGAGTAATCTCAGTCTCTCAATCTCTCAATCTCTCTCTCTCTCTCTCTTATAGGTAATGAGGCGTATTGTTCAAGTGTGCCCCGGAGTAATTGTACCATGCTGAACAAGACTGAGTCCTGTTCTGGTAAGCTTGCACTGCATGTGCTGGGGATGTGACCACATGGGTGGTTAAGGAAGGTCACTGTCACACTCTGACCATGCTGACATGTAGACGTCACTGGCCTGTTATTAGAAGGGTGCTAGTCTAAATCTTAGTGTCATGATCCAGCTATGAGTCTTTGGTTTCCTGCAGTAATGTTAAGCTCCTCCCTTCAAATGTTACAAGTAAATTTCTGTATTCATCTTCTGTGTTTGAGGAATTGGATTACTCTTTGGCTTTTACTTTTTCCCCTGAAAACACCCTGGTTGGCACAGCTGACCTTCCTACGCCAGCCCTTACTCTTCCTCTCCACCTTCTGTTGTTCATTCTGGCCTTGAATGTCTATCTCAGTTCAAACCCCAGATTCTCCTGTCCCTGCCTCCCAATTACTGGCATTACAGGAGTGAGCTACCTTGCCCACCTAGCTAGTGGTTGTTTTTTCTGCTGTTACTGTAAGTTAATGGGGGAAATTAAATTCCAATTTGGCATATAGATAATTGAATATTTTTATAGAAAGTAACCATTGATGACTACTGTTGACTAATTTTGATAGGGCTTACTCCATCCCACTGAACTTGATAGGTTTGATTATTATTGGGTTAATTTTATCCCCTCTAGAATGGATAATACTGGTTAAGTCATACACAAGCAAGGAATTCAGCCTTTCCTAAAAATAGTTTAAACCTTACTGTCTAATGTTCCAGACTTCACATTGATTTTTTTTCCCCCCTGCCCACAAGAAGGAAAACAAAGCCTGTATCCACATTGTAGCCATTAGTTAAAAGCTGTGTGTGGCTAGTTAACTGTGAGAACGGTAAGAAATGTCTTAGGCGGAAGTGGGTTACCACTGAAAATTGATGGCTTCCTTTCTAAGGAAGGGGGAAATAGCGTTGGGTGTGCGTAGCTGTGTCTTCCAGGGGTGATGTCTGTGTTGTAAAACTACAGGTAGTTTCCCAGATTGGGGAACTTGCTACAAGCTTTAGAAACTAATGCGTCTGTCTTTTTCAATAGTGCCTACTACCACCGCAGTGCCGACCAGCTCTACAGGTAATACAAGACGAGACGGCCTCTCTTCTTCCCTTCTGTGGGTGTCATAAATCTCAGAAAACACAGAAGCACATGGGGAATTGTAGTTCCCTTTTATTGGGCAGTATGCCAGAATGTTTTCAGAAATTAATATCCTCTAGTCTTTTATTTTTGTTTGTTTTTTGAGACAGGGTTTCTCTGTGGCTTTGGAACCTGTCCTGGAACTAGCTCCGTAGTTCAGGCTGGCCTTGAACTCAGAGACCACCTGCCTCTGTCTTCCGAGTGCTGGGACTAAAGGTGCGCCACCGACGCCCAGCTCCTCAGGTCTTTTCTTTGTGTATAACTTAAGTGTTCTTTTTATGAAATAGGGATAATGGTTAGTGTGTTTGTGTGTCTTTTCCCTCTTACTATAACCTGATGGTATATTTCACTCCTGATACATGCAATTGGACGATTAGTTGGTATAATGAGAACTTTAAGGAAGTAGTATTACAGTCTCTTCCAGGACAAGTGCTAGGTCAGATGATGGCAGGTGTGGGCAGAGAGTAGCCCCTCGTTTTGTTGCTGTCAGGAAGATGGATGAATAAAGTCAGCATTGTTATTGGGAATTTGTAGGTGGGTGTGTGTTGAGGGACATAGAGATAGGACTGACTGACTGGACACCGGGAAAGTGGGGGGGGGGCATGCAGATGAAGCTGGGTGGTTCACACTTTTGGAGGAGATGGTTAGTATCTTATACTAGGTGACAATCAGCTTAGTAAGCTTGACAAATCAAAAGCAAAACGGAGGAACTCCTCCATATGTCCTGCTTCTGAGACTTAGATGTAGGCCTAAGATGTAGGTCCTCAGAGGAGCAGACTTGTATTTTAGTAAATGTATTACTATGGCCTGTGCAGAATAACAGACCAAAGTGGACTTGTAATCAGCTGCAGTAGAAACCCTGATACCACAGGGACCTGCACATGCTGTCAAGTTTATCTTGTGGACTGTTAGTACGAAGCTTCTGTGCTGGTTAGAGTCCATTGGCCCAGGAAGATGGTGAACCCGCGGAAGATCCCGGGGAAGATGGTGAACCCGGGATGTGGGCACACAGAACAATCTCCCCCAGTCATTGTGGCCTTGGGGTCTTCACTATTGTTAGTGTCTTTTCTACTTGCTCACTTGACACTGTGTTCATGAGCCATGTCTTATTTGTCCATTTGTGGTTCTATAAAGTGGAAGGATGCTAGGCTCGCTTTAGGAAATTAACTCTTTCTGTGCTCATACATTTCTTTCCAATGCAGTTCATTGGGTAGCCTTTCCTCGATGTAAGTAGGATCATTAACAGTGGGGTGACCAAATTATGTCAAAGTGGGAGATGTTGATGATACATTAATTGGAACACAAGGGATTAAGTATTTAGTAGAGTTTGGCTGTGATGTTACACTGGATGGTGATCTCCTTGCTGCTGATTACCAGTAGTTACAATTTAGAGGTTTTGTTTAATGAAAAGGACATAAGGTCAGGAGGTATGCCACTGAAGTAGTGCCTCATTTGGAAATATTGTCAGCATGCTGTTTCCGCACATAAAATTGCTAAAACGTTTTACCTATTAACAAAAAAGGATTAACTTTTACCATTCTTTAAAAATGTGAGCCAGGCATTGGTGGCGCATGTCTTTAATCCCACCTCTCCAGAGGCAGAAGTAGGCAGGCCTGGTCTACAGAGTGAGTTTCAGGATATGCTCCAAAGCAATACAGAGAAAACCTGTCTCGAAAACCAAAAAAAAAAAAAAAAAATAATAGCAAGTCTGTAGAGGGTTTTAAACCATAACATCAAACAAAACTAGTATTGGAGGGGGCACAGTTTCTTTATGTAGCCTTGACTGACCTGGAACTTACTCTGTAGCATAGGCTGACATCAAACTCAGTTCCACCCGCCTCTCCCATCCCTCCTGAGTGCTGGGACAAAAGGCATGTGCCACCACCACCCAGCTAAAACTAATATCTTAACATTGAAAAGAAGGTAATACTTATTTATTTACTTTGTAAAGTTCATTTTGTCATATCTCTATTGTTTGGTTACACAGGATGTATATATTATGGGACTTCCTTTGGACCACCAGCTCCCAAATAATGACACAGAGACCTTATACTAATTATGAATGCTTGGTCTTAGCTTAGGCTTGTTCCAACTAGCTCTTACAACTTAAATTAAGCCATTTATATTAATGTATATTCTGTAACAGGCTTGTTGTCTCTGCTTAGTATTATGGTGCAATACATTTCCTCCATGTCTGGCTGGCAAATCCCCCTGTCTGGCCTTCTTCCCAGAGTGTCTATCTTTTCCTGGGAGCCCCACCTCTCCTCTCCTGCTTAGCTATTGGTAGTTCAGCTCTTTGTTAAACCAATCACAAGGTGCCTTTGCAGAGACATCTTCACAGTGTACAAAAAGATTGTCTCACAATAGGTATACTTAAACTACAAAAAGAAGTGGTGAGTCTTAGGATAGGCATGCCTCCTAATGTAGGCATTGTGTCTGTTCTGTAGGGTTCAGGTGTGTGTGAGTGAGTGTGTTTCTTTTATGTATGATGATTCAGGACTGGCCAATTAGTATTAGATAACCAATTAATTAGCGGGATAACTAGGGGCTTAAGGCTGGGGAAAAGAGGTGGTGTGGGCCATATGGAGTAGAGATCAAAGGACAACTTTGGAGTTCCTTTTCTCCTTCCTCCTTTACCCAGGTTCTGGAGAGTGAACCTGGTCAGCAGGTTTGCATAGCCAAGTGCTGGACTATCTTGTTACCCTTCATGTCAGTCAGATAGACGCTTTACCATAGTCCTGTGAGAATGAGAATACCGTAGCTTCCTAGGACCCTGTTAACTTTGGGTGCCAACAATGCCTTTTGGAGAGCCCTGGCCTGTATACCTTTATTTACCCTACTGACCTTTGTCTTAAAGCCCAACGGTGGTGTCTACTGTTGAAGCTCAGAACTTTATATTTTAACTTGATATTAGAACTTGGGCACTGGCAATATGACTCAGGAGATAAAGGCACTTGCCCCAGGCCTGGTGACCTGAGTTTAACATGGCAGGAGGAGAAAGCCGGTCCCTATAGGTCGACTTCCACACTTGTGCCATGTCAGCTGTGCACGCAACCACACATACACAAACACGACAGAGTTTATAGTGTTTGCTCCTTCGTTTAAGACTACACTCAGTATATACACTGTCATAGTTCTGGTAGTCAAGAGCTTTATTTTCACAGGTCATTTTATGTTTAGATGGTACGTTAGCCTCATACACAGTAGTAGGTAGACTGTCATCCAAATAGGGCCGCTCTAGCCCTGGTGCTAATGCTGATGAATGAGGTTTTATTGGAACCCAGCCATGCTTGCTCAGATCCTTGACCTCTCTGGCATTGAAAATGTAATATCCTACTCTGCCCCTTTAAAGATGAGCAAAGCATGGTGAGTATGGTGTATTTCAGTTATATACGCAATTTATCATAGGAGCAAGAATGTTCCCTTCTTAGTCTCCATGTAGTCTGTCTAGATGTGTGTGTCTTACATATATACCTAGATTTTTATCATAAAAACAACTTTATGCTGGCTAACTCTCAGAATATATGTAAGTGCTTGTATTGGGTCATTAACTAAATTTGGCTTCTGTTGTCTAAAACAAAAGTATTGTTTTAAAAACTATACATTGGAAATTGGAAATTTAAGGTTTCTAATACGTTTTGTTTTCATTCCAGATAAACCCACAACTCGGCCTTTCCCTCCTACGCCTACTCCCCCAGTTGTTACGTCAGGTAATTGGGCTTTCTGAACGTTCAGACTCTGCTGCCAAGGTCCAGGCTTGTCATAGATCCCTATGGGCTGACTCGGCCCTGACCTAGAGAGCCAGGGTGGGGGTTGGCCTCTGCTGGGGGTCCTCTTTTAGTCTTGAGGTGGCCACATTTGACCTGGCCCTTTAGATTTCATAGGAGTATTTTCTCTAAAAACCTTTCTATAAACCTTCCATGTGAAATGGGATTTGGGGCTACTAGTTCCTTAGAAGGTGAGAGCCATCATGGTTTTGGTGAAGGTAAGAGTGTTGTTTGTAGTTGGACAAAGCTGCAAAGCCAGGGTTTGTACCTGTATTCTTCTTAAACGCTGTCCTTTCTTAGACTTGCTTGGATCTGAGGGCTCGCTCTCGTCCTGTGACTGCTGAGCCTCCCTGCCTGTGCTGCTTTGCAATGTGGTCACTGTTTCTACACACACAAATAAAAGGACAGAGGACACTGGGAGTCAGTTAAAGTTGGTCAGCTTACCAGAGCCTGCCTGTCCTCAAGAATACGTTAGGGTCTCATTTGACGGTGACGTACACTTTATTTCCATGATGTCACATAGTCCTGACCTTTTTGTTCCTCTTGAGACATTTTATTCCCTTAATAATTCTAGATTTCTTCTGACTTGCTAATACTTTTTCATAATATAGAATTGACAGAATGCAAGGATTCTTCAATGAGTATTTTGTTTGTAGAAATTCTAGTTTTCAAATTTGTTTCCTTTTTGGCTTTGTAATGTTTTCTCATAATGCAAATTAACCAGCAGTGCCCTGCTTAATATGTTTCTAACTATGTGCTGTTGCCTTTGCTGACATATAGATTGTTAGTTAATTGTGTGGGTTTTTTTGTTTGTCTCCTTTTTTTCCTTATTCTTTTTTTCTTTTTGGTTTTTCGAGACAGGGTTTCTCAGTGTAGCAGTCCTGACTGTCCTGGAACTCGCTCTGTAGGCCAGGTTGGCCTTGACTCACTGAAATCCACCTGCCTCTGCCTCCCAAGTGCTGGGATTAAAGGCGTGCGCCACCTCTGCCCCAGCCTGTTAGTTACTTTTAACTTGAAAAATAGCAACTGAATTTTTATATTCCTCATCTAGCTAGTAAAACCCAAAAGTTTTAACAAATACTTATTTTAGCAGTTAACCAAAATAGATTAACAAAGTTATTACATGTTTTAGAAGTACTTAGTAAATCATAATAGTACAGTTTATATGCCAGAAAACTGTTACCTGTTTTTATATTTGAAACCTTCTAGCAATATTGCCAATATACTATCCTGGACAGAGGGGGAAAATGTTATTTTATGATTTAAATGAGGATAAATTCTGTTATAAAACTTTGATGTGGAAAGACCTCTTGATGCCTGGGTAGGTCTGGAAACTATAAATATCATGACACTGAGGATTCTTTGTTTGTTATCATAGCAGGTACAGCCAATACCACCCTGACCCCAACCTCACAACCTGAGCGGAAGTCAACCTTCGATGCAGCCAGCTTCATTGGAGGAATTGTCCTTGTCTTGGGCGTTCAGGCTGTTATTTTCTTTCTCTATAAATTCTGCAAATCAAAAGAGCGAAACTACCACACTCTGTAGACAGACCCGTTAAATGAATGCAAACTGGCAGTTAACGTGTAACTCACTGAAACCAAAATATCTTTCATGAAATCCCACATGGAAGTCACTGTTCCAGGACCTTTACATTTCCAAAGGATGCGTACAGGATACTGTGGAGCATCACCCTTGAAGAGAAGCCTGTTAAACCATTTTGCTCAACAGGAATATTTAAAATATTCTGCATGAATCCATGTGGCTGTCATCTTTTGTTTAAAATGGCTGCTGCTGTGAGATTTTTTTTTTTTTTCTTTGACATGCCAAATGTAACTTTCTGTAAGTTGTGGGAAGTGGTATCCTGTGTAGGCAACCTCTGACTGGCAATTTAAATATGGCCACTTAAAAGCCTAAGGTCTGTTCGCTTCATCCTAACTCCAGGCGTGACTTAGTGGCCGGAGTGGAGAAGAGTACCGAATGGGCACCAGTCAGGTAGACTGAGGGCTTGACTTCAAAAGTAGACTAAACGCACCCGGTACCAAACTACCCTTAGAGGCTTGTGCTTGATGAGTCGTATTTTATACATTAGAAATAAGATGCCATGCAGGGAATCACATTCCAGATTTAGAGGAAGGGAAGGATGCAAACCATTACTGTGGAACAGGTTTTGTCGATACTCATACCGTGTTAGGAAAACAGAACCGTGCCTTAAGACAGACCGAGAACGACGGCAGGACAAAGATGCGTTCACGCTTGGGGGCTCAGGCTTGGTCTGGGAATGTAACTGTTGATGGAAACAGTAGTGAACCTTCTTGTAGGTAACACACTGTTAATATGTAATTTAAACATTGGTTTCTCCAGAGCTGAGAAATAGAAGCTAAAGAACCCTTCTGAGCTGGAAGGCTTCCTGTATCAAACCATCTAACATTTTTCATAGGGCTGTTTAATAGACATAAAATTGATTTGATTATCTTTCCCTCTGTACAGAGTATCCAAATATTACTGTACCTTAAGGATTCCTCCCAGGTTTCCCTGAAAAGTAGCTTTTACATGAGGCAAGAAGGAAGGAGTTTTCGGATTGTTTTCTAGTTCTTAAAATGAGACAATCACTTTGTTTTCTAACAGATGTGGCCAGGGTGACTTAAAACCTGAGGTTTGAGAGGCGATGGCGGTAGCTCTCTGATGATGATGCCCTGGCTGATGGCTGTTCTTGCTCTCTGCTCTTTACTCCTTTTCTTCCTTCTCGGTTTCAGTTCCCACGTGCTGTAATCATGCATACTTTCGTTTCTGTAGCTTTAGGTAAAGCATACTTCTTCTCCCTTACCTCTCACACATGGACTAGTCCAAGAGGCTCTAATTGGAAAAGGCCTTCTGGCTTCCTGTGTCATTTAAGTTTTTATGTTCTTTTTTAGAGTAGCAAAGTTTAGCGCCTGGTTTCCAGTGTTTTATAGTAGGGAATGACAGATGGCTTTGGTTTGTTTCGCAAAGTGAAACACTCTGTGCTCTGAAAATGAGGTCTCTGTTTCTTTGCCGCTTGCTGGTACAGCTAAAGTTTGTTTTACTTGCATATTTGTACATACACCTAATGTTTTCAAGTGCCTTACCTGTTTAAGATCTCTGGCTTCAAAGGTTTTTTGGGAAAGATAGGTTTACCTCACAGTTTTATTTCCATTATAATATTCTAGGTACCTCACAAAATTTATTACAGTGCGTGGCTGTTAGGTTTAAGTAAGTGCTAAAGTTCTTTTGAAAATACACAGAATTTCCATTCCTTACAAGGTGGCAAAATTGGTGTAATTGTCATTGACCTCGATGTGACCTCCTTGCCCTATATAAATGTCAGCACATGTAGCAAGTTGTGTGAGAATGTAACTTTATTTGAAGCTCCTGTGGTTTTGAGCATTGCTGTAACATTGTAGGAAATTAGTGACATTTTGCAAGTCTCTCCATAAGCTCTGCTACAGAATTCACAGCTGTCCTCACTCTCCCCGTCTTTGTTTAGCAAGGTAGTATTCTGAGCCATTAATAATTTGGGTTGTTTTTTTATTTAGAAGGTATATAGAAACATTTTCAGAGTTCTCATCTGATTTGTCCTGAAGATCTGGTTCTAGCACATACTTTATTTTACCTTTCCTGTACTTGCTGCACAAGCAGGCACTGCTGCACTTAGAAATTTCTATTTGAGCTCAATAAAAACTACAAAACTAATCTCTGTGTGTACCAAGCTGATTTAAAATAAATACTTTTGTTTGAATCAGTCTCTTTATTGATCGAAATTGTCACTTTCTGATAATAAAATTTAATGCTGTTGTATTTGCCTTGTCCATTTGAAACTGGGTTGTCTACCTTTTGTGTTGTCCTGTAGGCTGGTAGGTGGAACTAAGGGTTGTGAATTAGCAGAGAGCAGAACCTTAGAAATGATAACTGGACAGAGGATGAGAGAGACACCCCAGGCTCACCTTACCGAAGAGTGAGGGCAGGACGCTCAGAGGACACCATTTATGGGGTCAGCTCCCCTTTCTCCAGGGATTGAGCCATCTTGCTTAGCCACACCCTGCCTTCACCTTCAGAGTGCATGTGAAATGAGCGGCTTCTGTTCAGGGTACCAGGCTGCATGCTGCCCTAGGATCTCCGGTTCTGTTGGGCCACGTGCAAGCATCCATACTTAATCACTTGTTACACTGAGGTTCTTCACTATGCCCCTGCAAGTCTGAATATAAAATAGATTTCAGTGAGTTGCATTAGAAATGAGGTCTTCAGTTCCATATTAGCCTTGATAATTACATAAAACTATAGCAGACATAACTTCCTAAAACATGGAGATTAAATGATGAGGATGAAATGGTTTTGTTTTTTCTCATTGCCTGTGCTTATTATAGATAGCCCTTGGGTACTAGGTTTTTAAAAATGCATTAGCACTTTTTAATGTTTTGAGTTTTTGTTAATGTAGCTGTTGATAAATCCAGCTTTTGTATATCTTGCTCGCTAATTTGTATTTTGTTTCCAAATACAAATGCAAAAGCCAATGCCTTTATTAGATGATTTGTAATAAATCGCTTACTTTGCCTTTTTTAGGAAATTTTCAGTTTTTTTTTTTTCACATACATGCCTGTTAATTTTTGGTCCATTTTCTTTTTGCTTGAAAAGGACAGCGGACACATGTCTGTTAGCATTGTTGGTTTTGTACATGTTTTCTTCTACTGGTTCTGAGCAAATTGATTGTTATGGGCTGTGTAGTTTTCCTCGTTTTTTTTTTTTTTTTTTTTTTTTTTTTTTGTGTTTGGAGATCTATTTAAGCTATTTGGCTCTGTGGTTTTCATATTTGGGAGATTTCCAACCTTTGGGGGTGGGGCCCACACCCTCTGCCTTGATGGGGATCCTAGTTTTATACAGGTTGTTAGAATTGCTTCAGGGCCCTTTGTTATACTGATTAAAGTTGCCCCTTTATCAGTTCATTAGCGTTTTCTGGTATTAATGTATGTGTAGTTTCTCTACTGAGTGGGTTGTTTTTGTGGTTGTGTGGGTTTTCTAATTAGTAATTTTTTTTTTAATGTCTGCCTAGCACTGCTAATGCTAACATTTGGGTCACTTTCCGTTGATTTTCCTACCCATGCTGTGGGTTGTGGTTTCTGGTTTTGATGCATGCTTGGTAAGTTTTCACTGGATGCCAGATGTAAGTTGGGAGATACAGGATGTTTCTATAATTGTTCTTGTGCAGCATGTTGGGTTTAACCCCAGCTCTCTGGTCCACCACCATGGGAACTTAAGACACTTTCCTTCCTGTCCTAATTTCCATCTCTGCCTCTTCAACTCTGCAAGCCCTCTGATTTCTGCCCAGGCTCCCCAGAATTAAGGACAGGAGGTTGGATCTTGTTTTGTTACTACCTAGAGTATGCAAATGCCACAGCTGTCATCTTGATGGATACATCAGAGTGGTGGTTTCTGTGAGGCAGAGGGAGCTTTTCTATAGGCCCAAGGTGCTGTCTGATGACATTCTTAGCTTTGGGGTTGGTGGAAGCTAGTGGTCTGATAAGTTTGTAGATACCTATATAAGCCACAGAATTTTCTGACATGACTGCGCTCAGAATGGCTGTTCCAGAGGATTAAAGTTGGCCCGAGGTAGGTAATTGGCCTCTGGACCTGCATTGCTCTGGTCTCCACGGTATTCAGTCACACAGACAGGGTTAGTTCTCTTTTTTCTGTGAGTAGTCTCATTTTGATGAAAGGTAAAAGTTCAAGATAGAGCCACATGTTGTTCCCTTATCTGACCACTCAGGAGGTAGAGGTAGGTCAGGATTTCAAGCCACCTTCTCTACAGTGACTTGAGTAGCTTGGACTACGTGAGATCCTGCCTCGAAAATACTATGTTTTGACTCAGCTGTTCAGGCAATAAATACATAAATGCAGGCGTATTAATTTTCTTATTGCTGTAAACAAATAACCGACAAAAGCAACTTGAAAGTTTGTTCTGGTTCACACCTTGGGATAGTGACAACAGACGGGACAGTTATCAGTAGCCCAGAGAGTAGCCTGATGATCTATCTGTGTGGCTCACACCTTGGGATGGTAGAGTAAGTATGGCAGCAGGAACTGCTACCAGTAGATCAGACAGCAGAGGAGGGAATGTGGTGACACAGATTTTTCCTCCTTTCGGGAGTGGTAGGAGGGTGGCTGGGTCGAGACAGGATCTTACTTTGTAGATGTGGCGTGAAACTCAGATCTTCTGCCTCTCAAGCACCGGGATTAAATGATGGCGTGTACCCACTGTTCCTGGCTCATGCTCCTTCTTCAAAATACTTTTAAGTACATCTCTCCTCCTTAATGTCTTTGGAACCTCCTTATGTCTCTTATGCAATGCCCAGATATTTCGTCTTAGGTAATTCTGAAATCCAGTCAGGTTGACAAAATTAACCATCACAAGCTACTTGTCAATAAAACATCATATCCCACGCCTGACCTCGTTAAAGCTCATGAGTGTTCCACGAAGTAAGATGAATTCAGTCCAACTTCAAATGTCCTATGGTCTTTAACAGTATGACCACTTCTATTTTATAGTCTGTTCTCTGACTCAAGACAGTCTTTGGTCAAAACACATCCATCTAATGTACGCGGGCACAGTAAACCCTTGCGTTCCAATAGGGAGGAATGAGGGGAGCAAGGGTAGACTTGAGCAAAGCCAGACGAACAGCATCTGGAGCTTCTGATAACATCTGGGCTCCACAGGGCGTGAGTGGCTATGCCTCTGGTTCTGGCAACTTCAGTGCACAAAGCCTCCTTTGTCCCAACTCCACCCCGTCCCTGTAGCTTTTCTTTGGTGCATGCCTTGGCATCTTGTGCAGTGAGATTTCCCCGGGAGATGTGAACAGTATTTTCACCCCAGATGGCGTTGGTTATGTCGAAGTTCAGCTCGGAGAAGCTATGAATTTGGGAGTTTTTTACAGGAGATTTGGTAATGGGTTACTAGGAGACCATAGATGACTCAAGAGGCTGCTCCACTGAACGTCACTGAATGGTTCACTCCAGCTTAGGTTCTGACTCACAAAAGCTACCATCCTAGAGCCCTGTGTGGTGTGCAGACAGTCGACAGGTTGGAGAGCCTTCTCAACAGGCTACTGCTTACAACCCTGGGTAGGGGTCAAGTGATGTGGGTGAATCCTGTAAGTTTCAGGGACTCAGGCTTGAGTTATTTCCTGTTTCCTGGGAGCGTCCCTCTTAGACAGTGGTTCTCAACCTTCCTAATGCTGTGACCCTTTAATACAGTTCCTCATGTTGTGGTGACCCCCAACCACTGAAATTATTTTTGTTGGTACGTCATAACTAATTTAGCTACTGTTATTAATTGTAAATATCTGATATTCAGAATATCTGATATGCAACCTCTGTGAAAGGATTTTTTGACTTCCAAAGGGGTCATGACACACAGGTTGAGAACCAATGCTCTATAAAACAGATCAAGCACCATGGAATGTTTTAATTTAGGAAATTACTGGGTATTTCCAATATCATGGAGTCTTGTGCTACTTGGCATTAACTGTCAACTTCACACAATCTAGAGTCAGCTGGGCGGGAGGTCTAATTGAGAATTGTCCAGGTCAGATTGGCCTGTAGGCATATCTGTGGGAGATCATCTTGTTAGCTGATGTAGGAGGGCCTGGCCCACTGTGAGATGGTCCTGGCTGTGTAAGCTATAAGCATGCACCTGTGAGCAAGCCAACAAGAAATACTCTCCCATGGTTTATATGCCAGGTTCACGCCTAGACTTTTCTTACTGTGACCTGAAGGCGGAGGTCAAACCCTCTCCTCCAAGCTGCTTTTGGTCGGTATTTCATTACAATGTCAGGAAACTAAAACGGGTCTCCGTTGCAACTTAACCTTCATCTTCATAGCTTCGCGCAAAGGCTCCTTGGTCGCCTTGCTGGTAATCTAACCTTCACAGGCATTGTCTGGCCTTAGCAGCTTCCTTGAACATGGGTGAGGGCTTTCATGTATCACATAACCTGCATTTTACTTGTCATTAAAGCCATTGTTATGTGAACAGTGCTGATAAGTTCTGCACAAATCTGAGATGTGGTCTGGCCCCTTTCTACCACAGCTGTAATGATCCCAACCTAGGTTGCTTTCCGGCAGGGAACTCCTACAACATTCTCATATGGAGTTCTCTCCTTTCAAATGAATCTGCATTTTCACAAAATTGGAGGGGGGAGGTGGTCTTGCTTTTAGAGCCCCGTTCCTATGGTCCCAATGCAGAACACAAGCTTTATCTTTTATTGTGCTAATATCTTGAGTAATTACAACCATTCTCTCTGTACCAAACTTGAATCTTTACATTGGTCACACCCTTTTCTCTGACAAACTATTTTTCCCTTTGACAGCCTGGGTGTTAAGCTAAGCAGCTATGGTGGTCTGAATGAGAATGGCCCTCTGAGCCTCATACATTTGAATGTTTGGTTACCAATAGGTTGACCGTTTAGGAATGAGTAGGAGGTGTGGCCTTGTTGGAGGAGCTGTGTCATTGGGGGTGGGCACTGAGGTTTCAATAAGCCTAAGGTCATGCCCGGGATGCTTCCCTTTCTCTGCCTGCTGCTTGTGAATCAGATGTGAGGTCTCAGCTACTGCTCCAGCACCACACCTGCTCCGCCCATGATGCTCATAAACTCACTCTCTGAAACTGCAAGCCATCCCATAACTAAATGCTTTCTTTTATGAGTTGCCTTGGTCATGGAGTGCCTTTGTAGCAATAGAACAAAAACTAAGATAATTGCTTAGCCCATTACTTTTGAATTCAGCCTCATTTAATCATCCAGGACATGGGCAGAATACAGTCTGACTCTATGCCAGAGCGGTAAAATGAATGACTTCTAGCGTAGTTCCCAAAAACAGTCCTCGTTCCCTTCAGAGGCCTCACGAGCCCAGACATTACTGTTTTCCTTTCCATTTATACGCTGGTCTCCCACCCCCCCCCGCCAGAATTCACCCCTTAAGCTGTGCTGACAGCTTTCTGGGCTTCTGTAGCCCACAGCTGCAAACTTCAACATTCCTCCCACACACACACAGTTCAAGGCTCAAGAATCACAGTCAGGTTTCTTAAAGCAACAACCCCACTTTTGGGACCAGTTTCTGTACTAGGTACATTTGTGTTGTTGCTGTAACCAGTGTTATCAGTCACTGAGGGTGAAAGCCTGGACCCCCGCAGCTCCAATAAGCTGGAGTTAGCCACGTGTCTTTAAGCGAGTTGAGCAAACAGTAGTAGAAACAGAGTTATTCATTGTGGCCACAGTGGGAAGAAGAACAGAGATGCAGTGGTACCTTCCCCCAAAGTGCATCCTTGGGGGCTTGGTGTGAGGTTCAGGTTTAAGTAGTGAGCAAGAGTTATGCATAGCTAAGCAGTCCCAATCAATTCCCAACCAAGGTGTGGTCTGGTCCATCTTTGACACATGTGACTCGCCTGCAAGTTTCTCCCCTCTCCATCCCCCATTTCACTGTAGAAATGGAATTACACCGTGCACTAGTGCACCTGGCTTTATGTCCATTCTGATGATTCGAACTCAGGCCTTCACGCTTTCATGGTAAACATTTTGCCCACGGTACCATCTTCCCAACTCACTCGAAGTTTTGAGGCAGAGTCTCCCATCTGCCTGGAGTTTACCAAGTTGGTATCAACTCCACGGGAAGTTGTTTTGATTTCATTAAGAAGGGGCCAGGGTTTTATCCTCACTAACATAGGTACATACTCTAGATAAGAATAATGCTTGGGCCAGCACTGCCAAGTACCCGTGATTGTTTTATTCATCACTGTGGTGGTTGGGATGGCAGTGGCTCCCATAGGCTCCTAGATTTGGATGCTTGGTTGTAGCGAGATATTCACCTTGTCTGCACCTGTGGCATAGACCACGCCCATTGGGGTGGAGTCAGGGCGGGGCGTGACCTGGGGGGACTAAGGCTGAGGAGGGGGCTCTGGGAGCACAGGGACAGGAGAGCATCCGGAGACATCCTTGGGACCAGGAACCTGCTGGTGTTCATCTGTCTATGCTGTGAGTTGTTTCTCCCTGAATAAACATCTATTCGGCCTAATTGTTTCTCCTGGTCCTTATTAAACATCATTACCTGGTCACCGTGGAGTGACACTATTGAAAAGGATCAGGAGATGCGGCCTTGTTGGAGGCGGTGAGTCACAGGGGATGGATGGGCTTTGAGGTTTCAGAAGCTCATGCCAAGCCCAGAGTCTCCCTCCTCCTATGGATCTGGATGTAGATTTGTTTGTTGGTTTTGCTTTTGAGACAGGGTTTGTAACTTTGGAGGCTGTCCTGCAACTAGCTCTGAGGGCCAGGCTGGCCTTGAACTCACAGAGATCCGCCTGCCTCTGCCTCCCGAGTGCTGTGAATGTAGAATTCTTAGCTACTCTCCAGCACCACATGCTTCAATGCTCCCTGCCAAGATGACAATGGACTAAATCCTTGAAACTATAAGTAAGCCCCAATTAAATGTCTTCGTTTATAAAGGCTGCCATGGTCATGATGTCTCTTCATAACGCTCCTATAGTACTGCTTCCCGCTCTCTCTCTCTCTCTGTGTGTGTGTGTGCGTGTGCGCGTGTGCGTGCGCGTGCGTGTGTGCGCGCACATGCACATATGCGTGTTTGTGTGTATTTGTGGAGATGGGTTTTTTGTTTTTTTGTTTTTCAAGACAGGGTTTCTCCGTATTGCTCTGGAGCCTGTCCTGGAGCTTGCTCTGTAGACCAGGCTGGCCTTGAACTCACAGAGATCCGCCTGCCTCTGCCTCCCGAGTGCTGGCGCCACTACTGCCTGGCAGAGATGTCTTTTTCAATTGTTCTCCACCACATTTTTTGGCACAGGCTCTCGCCAAGCTCGGACCTTCACTGATTGGCTGGACTGGCTGACCAGTGAGTCCCTGGGGTCCTCCTGTCCCCTCCTCCTCCTGGAACTGGGATTACAGGTGTGCACTGCTCAAGAGTAAGCATGAAGACCTAATTTAGATCCCTACCACACACATAGAAACGACATGTAAATGCTTAGTCAGCCTTGCCAATGTCTTAGTCAGAGCTCCATTGCTGGGCAGAGAGGCTATGGCCATGCTAACTCTTATAAAGGAAAGCATTTAATTGGGGCTGGCTTATCGTTCAGAGGCTCAGTCTGTTATCATCAAGGCTGGGAGCATGGGGTCCTGCTTCACCTAACCCTAATCCTACCAAAGTGTTTGGCTCCCTGGTGACAAAGCATTCCCGTATATGACTGGCCACGTATCTTCTATTTATTGATCCTAATCTCTTCAGCAACTGCATCTGTAAAGAGTAAGGGTTTTCTGCCCGCCGCTGGTCTGGTACCGCTGCCTCGCCTGCCCCAAATTAACACACCGAGACTCTGTATTTGATACAATGCTGTTGGCTCTGTCTTAAGTATTAACCCATTTCTGTTAAATATAAGCACTTCCACACGCTCTAATCTTACCGGGGAATGGGGCAGGCGTCTCGTCTCCCCGGTCTCTCCATCTTGACTCCTCCTTACTACTTCCTTTTTCCTCCTTGTCCCCTAGTCCCGCCTGTCTTGCTTTCCTATTGGCCAACAGTGTTTTATTCATTAACCAGTATGAGAAACATATTTACAGAATGACATCTCCCATCATGCACCCATCTTTGAAGTTACCTAAAATGGACCCTTGTGGGCACACTGCTGCAGGCTGTCTGAACTTTTCCTCTGTTACCCTTTGCTCCATCAAAGTCAGTACAAATTAGTCAATTTTAATTTTATTTATTTTTTTGACAGAGTAGAATATGGGTAGCCTTCATCTCAATTCCCTGGAGAGTGGCCACCTTAGTTTGCCTCTCTGTTACATTGCTAAAACACTAAAATAACTTGGGGGAGGGGACCATCTATTTGGTTTACAGGTTACAGAGCATCCTTGAGGGCAGCCAAGGCAGGAGCTTAGAGCAGAGGGAAATCGTGTACTGGATAGCTTTCCATGGCTTGCTCAGCCTGCTTTTAATACAGTCCATCCACCTCCTCGGGGTGGTGCTGCTCACAGGGGGCTGGAATCCCCCACATCAATCATTAATCGCGAAAATGCCCTCGAGAGATGCCTGCCTATAGGCTAATCTATTGGTGGCATTTCTTCAATAGCTTGTCCCTTGTCCCAGGTGACTCTGGCATGAGTCAACCCACAAAAATCTTTTCAGCACAGTGGCCCATTGGGAGACATTTGAGATCCAACTATTGCAATGTACACATTTACGTGTGTAAATATGATTTTTTTTGATCCATCTTTTTTTTTTTTTTAACCCAAGATAAATTCTCCAGTCCAAACAAGAAAAGGAATTGGATTACGACTTTACTAATGTGTACTGGAGAGCTGGTTCAGGGGTTAAGACTTTTCTGGCACCTGGCATAAATGTGGTACTTATACACACACCCATGCAAAACACTCACATACATAAAACAAAATAAAATTTTTAAAGACTTAATAAAGTAAAAGAGTTTTAGCACTTGCAGGAAAAAATTAAAAAGCTTAAGAAAGGATGATACATTTAAATAAAATAAAAAATGTTTGAGATTTGTTTGGATGAATCTTTATTGAAATATAGCGGTTTTTTAACAACATGTTTTTGTAAAGATTTATTTTTATTTTATGTGAATGTTTGCCTACACGTATGTATGTGTACCACATGCATGCCCAGTACCCACAGAGGTCGGAAGAGGGCATCAGATCCTCTGAAGCTAGGGTTACAGATAATAGTGAGCTGCCATGTAGGAGCACTATTAACCAATGAGCCAGCACCAGGCCAGCATCCTTCACTTCTCAGTAAGGATGGCTCAGCTTCAAGGCCCTCTGACTTGGACCACTCTGCCTACTTTGTTACTCAGGACTCAAATGGAGGGGCTGCTAGGTAGCCAGGAGCCAGAGAGAACTTGTAGAATGCAAACCAGTGCTTGAATGCTTTCTGGGAGCAAATGTAGCTTCCCCTGGACACCGACGGATTCATCTCAGTTCTTCAATGCTGTCTGCCACACGCTGAGAAGAAAAGCTAGATGAAAAGTTTAATAGAGCTGGAGTCATCTTTATCCATCTGAATGCACGCAGAAATAAAACAGACACACACACAAAGATTACCTATGCGGTCTGAGGGAAACCCTGGATGGCGCTGTTTGGACTTGGGAAGTCCTAAGTTGAATGTTTTCTGCCACATTGGGTAGAAAACCATCAGCAACCTTTTTTTTGTGCTTAAATGGTACCTGTAACATCAAGTTGATAAGGATACATTTTAAAGGTGGCAAAGGAGTTTTTGTTTTGTCTTTTTTTTTTTTTTTTTTTTTTTTTTTTTTGAGACAGGGTTTCTCTGTGTAACAACTCCAGCTATCCTGGAACTTGCTCTGTAAGCCAAGCTGGCCTAGAACTCACAGAGATCCTCCTGCCTCTACCCCCCCCATCCCCAGTGCTGGTAGTAAAGGCATGTGCCACCACTGCCAGGCTGGCGAAGGATTCTCATGACCTAGCAAGAGGTTTTGTTGCCGCGGAGACCAACATCACTGGTTCTGCCTGTCATAAGGGAGCTAGTCAAGAATGAATCCATCAGTGGAAAGACATTCCAGGTGAGGAAGGAAAGACTTGCCGGCCTGGAACAACCTAAGCTCTTTAGTATTCTACATTTGTGTCAATACTGAACTCGGGGTTTAGAACATTGTTTGCGAATGTATCACAGCCACGTGCATTCCCATCTGTCAACAGTGTTCTGTCTTATCTCCCACTCCTTACTTAGGAAATCACACCATAATAGGCTTGGAGAGGCTCAAGCGCATGCGGCCTGATGCCTGGACTTCATATTCTGCTTAGGGATCCCGGCTGCACCCATGCTCATGGAACCACAAGATACTTGGTTGTAGGGTTTATTTCAGTTTATTCAGTGGTTTATTTTAGCATCTTAGTAGGGGTTGTCTGGAAATAACCAACAAGCAATTAGCCCTAGCCTATTAACCTGCCAGGCTTCTCATAGGCAGTGTGTTTCCATCCATGCATTTAGCCTCTTCAACCATAAGGGTTATGACCGGCAACACCCCCAAAGTACTCAGAGCTTTCAGAAGTGGCATGAAGATGGGCTGAATCGTGAGATGTCTCATTTCCTCCACATGCAGTGGTCTTCTCTTTTGTAAAAGGCCTTTACAAAAGCAAATACACTGGTTTTTCTCCATGCCGTATTCATGAACCCAACCAACCACAGACCAGAAATATTTGAAAAAGGTCACATTTGTACTCATGCACAGACTTCTTTCTGTCAACACTCCCTAAATGATATAACAATTGTTTACATTGTTTAAATATTATAAGTAGTCAAGAGGAGATTTTAAGTGTACAGGACATGGCGTGTAGATCCCAATGCAAATGCTGCACTATTTTGTGGATTTTAAGCACCTGTGGATTTGGGTACCCACTGGGGTCCTGGAACCAGCTCCTCATGAGCACTGAAGGACTTTACTAGAATTTCACATCTTAGGGAAAGATGATTGCACAGACTAAGGAGTGGAACGAGAAGGTAGCCATAGCAACACGGCCCTGATTCAGTAAGGCCTCATTGACTCCCATCTTCCTACCCTTTCCTAACTGTATATTTTAAACTCCGCAATGAACTTCCACCTAGAACTAGACTGCCAGTTGCAGATCAAAACAACAGAAGGAAAGTTTGGGGTCCATGAGATGGCTCAACAGGTAAAGGGGTTGTGCTGCCAAGCCTGATGGCCTGAGTTCAATCCCCAGAACCAATATGGTAGAAAGAGAGAACTCATTCCTTCAGTCTGTCCCCTGACCTCCATACAGACATGCTGGAGCATGCACGGGGTTTGTATATACATACAATATCAAATCAATCAACTAATCAATAAAAGGTGGAAACGGGAAATTCAGATAAGGGGCCTGATACTAATAATTATCGTAGCTGATTAAAGAAGAAGCTCAGGAATTATACAGTAAGGCTCAACACTTGAACTGTGTAAAACAGCTCCAAACTACCTAGCTAATATTCGGATGTATGATTCTTCTAATGTAAGTTTTAAATCACCCTAGACTTTTAACACCAGGTATAAATGCGTTCATTGTTTCCTATGTATAAGCAAGCTTAGCATCACTCACAGTCTTTGGTCTTTGACTCCTTGTCATTTGATTGCCAGGAAGACTGGTCTTTGGGAAACGTTGGTGACAGCATCTGGGTAATGCTGAAGCAGGGTGTAGGGGGCAGTGGGTCTGGGATATAAACCCTGTAAAGAAAAAAGAGAATAAAGTAGATTTCTGGTTGTAATGCGCACGCCCAGACTTAGCTTGTAAACTTTGAGAGCTTAAACTAATCATGGGAGATTTTCTCTGAGGGCAGATGACTAGGACTGCCCCACACAGCAGGCAGAGAGGGCAGAGGGGAAGCGTGAGATTGTCTGTCTCAATCACTGCTGAGGGAGGTGCTGCGGACTTAGTGCCCATTCACCCAGAGACACAGGACGCTGACCCTGGTGAGGCCAGCGGCGAAGAGATGGGGATGAAAAAGCAGGTGGGGTGCTTGGCGACAAGGCGGGTCCTGTACTTGGTCCCTAATGCCACCCTTCCTTTTCTCCCTTAGTAACGGAGCCCCGACTTTTTGTCAGACGATAAAAGCCACACGCCCCAGTCTTCTGGGCTAAATGTCGGCTGACGAGATATACTCCAGAGGGCCCCAGGTAACTTCTAGAAAGTTCCCTTTGCGAGAGCAGTGAACGCCTCTCGCTTCCTCACTTCCTGTTGGCTGGAAAGCTTAGGCAGCCATTTTGACCCAGGAAGTAGAAGTCGCACATTGAGAGTGGCAAGTCATGGTACGTGTGGAGTCTACGGTAGAAGACTCGCAGCAGTCAGTCAGAAAGCGTCTCTGGACTGCATTTCCCCTGTGTGTGCGCCTCTCTGCTCCCTCTCCCTGATGGATGGGGATGGAGTGAGCCAGGTGAAGTGAATTAACAGACGTTACTCTCTTACAGAAGCTTGGCTGTGAGCAGGACAGGGTTGGCTAGCAGCAGCAGAAATGTCTGGTCCTGAGGGGTGGGGTTTTTCCAGTTTGTTTGGCTGTTGTTTTTGTATAGCTCAGACAGGCCTGGTATCACACTCTCCCTGCCCGAGCACTGGGGATACAGGCCAGGATTACAGGCGAGAGCCATCAAGCCTACTTCAGTGAAGGCTTCTGTTTCCGTAGGTTTTATGATCTGACACATACATGGTCGATGCATAACTGTTAGTTGCAAGATCCCTTCTCGGTGAACATCCTAGGGAACTGTCATCTAGGACAGGGAATGTGAGTGTGGGGAAAGGAAAGGTAAAGGATTGTCAAGAGAAGAGCAGAAGAGACCCTGTCCCCTAGGATGGCCCAGGAAGGAAGAGGGACGCTGTGATTAGTCTAGTTTGCATGGCTATAATGAAATAAAGGCAAGCTGACACTGTAAAGCAAACAGGTTGATTTGGTTCATAGCTCTGGAGGATCAAAGTTGGTAATCAGGAGCTGGGGAAGGGTGGGTGAGGTGGGGAGGGGTGGGTGAGCTGGGGTGGGTGAGGTGGGGAGGGGTGGGTGAGGTGGAGAGGGTGAGCTGGGGAGGGGGTGGGTGAGGTGGGGTGGGTGAGGTGGGGAGGGGTGGGTGAGCTGGGGAGGGGTGGGTGAGCTGGGGTGGGTGAGGTGGAGAGGGTGAGCTGGGGAGGGGTGGGTGAGGTGAGGTGGGGTGGGTGAGGTGGGGAGGGGTGGGTGAGCTGGGCAGGGGTGGGTGAGCTGGGCAGGGGTGGGTGAGCTGGGTGGGCGCCCATCTGGCCCAGCCTTGCTGGATGAGCACTCAAGGGAGGAAAAGCGGCTGAAGGCGGAGAGTGAGCCCAGGTCCAGGCCTGCTCTTCTGTGGCTTGGCAGCAGGAGCCCTGAGGCGGCAGTCGTCAGTCTAGCCTGTCCTTGATCTAAGTCACCACGTGAAAAGGTGATAGCTCGGCTTTGCTGGGCCCCTATTAGAAGAACACACACCCCATCCCCCACCGCCCCGCGGGGGTTCCCCCCCCCAGTCAAAACAATAAGACCCGAGCTCTTCCTCTCCTGGTGGCTGGAGAAATGACATTCTAAACCACCCCAAATCATGTGCCCCATGTCTTTCCCCCTGAGAATTCATGTTAAGGGGTCTCAGCCAACTGGCTGAAGATGGACGTGCAAAGTACACAGAAGGGATGCTTACCTCCTTAGGAAGAAGCATCCCTCCCCTCCCCGAGCAGGCGCTTACACATCCGCACGCCAACACACACTCACACTCACACACACAGGTGTGCAGGCGCTTACACATCCGCACGCCAACACACACTCACACTCACACACACAGGTGTGCAGAAGGGACTACAGAGACATTGGTGGGAGAGAAGTAAGGCAAGGGAGAGAAAGGAAAACTGCATAGCAAAAGGCATGTACATTGCTTGGCAGCAGGGCTCACAACAGGACCCGTCTTAGGGCTGGCATAGCAGGGTGAGCCAGCTTGGGGCAGGGACACCAAAGTGAGCACAGAGTCAGGGGAGCAGGGCCCGTGGGTCTCAGGCACAGGTCCAGTGTGTCCTTAGTAAGCCTCACCTCCCCCGACTTTGTCTGCTTCTGAAAGAGTGTATTTCGTCAGCTCATTTGTGGTGGCAAGCAGCCAAAAGGAAGCACCGATAAGGAACTAAACACATGTATGAAGCTGTAGAACCCATCTCGTACAATTGCTGACAAAAGATCACCCTGCGTGTCACATGGGTGTTCTTCCCTTTAATGCGCAGAACAAGGCTTAGGGGTAGACATTCACACTGCGCTGTGTGGGGAGAGAGGTCCATTAACCCCGCTTCAAGTCACACAGCTAGCAGCCACAGGGGTCTGTCTGGTGGTCTCCCCCCCAAACCCTGAGCACTCCCAGTCTGTGCTACAGGTCAGAGAGAAAGAGCTTGACCGATCCCGCTGATGACCTAAGCATGGTCACCGATGTTTGGTGAGAGTCCTGACTGATCTGGAATTTACTCAGTCCGCATCTCACAGGGAAGGAAGCCGCTTTAGACTGGTCCTGGGTCTGACACCGTGCTGCCCACTGCCTGCGTTGTCCAGAGGACGACTCTGATGGACGTCTCCACAGGAGCCCGAGCTCCCGCACCCAACAGTCATGGGGACTTTACGAATAACACCCCGGAAACACGGTCATTGGTGCCGCAAATCATTACAGTGCTCCAACAAGCACTTCGATCGTTCGTGTTCTTCAGGTGGGATTTTACACGACGCTCCAGCCAGCTGAGACTGATTGGACTAAATAGATAACTTAATGCAAGTCATTAGAGAAGTGCGTTGTTGTTTTATCCATGTTATCCATTCAGTCCACATTCACAGAGAGCCCACTCCCCGGCTTGGGTTGTTACCTAGTGTGGGAGTCATGGAGGCTCCCCCCTTCAATTTCTGCCTCCAAGACTGGATGATTCTTCTAGCCAGAGGAGGGTGTGCTTACCACTCAGGGAGCCCATCTGGAGAGATGGCTGCTCTGCGTCCTGAAGCTGAATCTGCAGCTCCCGTACACGGTGGAAGGCATCCAGCTTCACACTGCGCTCCTGAGCCAGCCGGCTTCTCATCTGAGGAGAGAGGGCTGCGTGGTGGTTTCTTTAGTTCCCTTGGTTCCCGGGTGACTTTTGAGCGAGAGTGAGGCTCCAAGGCTACCCCATGAGTGAGTGAGGCTCCAAGGCTACCCCATGATGAGCAGTCAGACTTCAGGTCCTGCATAGCCTGAACTCAGGCCTAAGTTTGTCCTCCTCAGAGGGAACAGCTAAAGTAAACTGAATTCAATACAGAGGACCAAAAGCCATCTGTGGAACCCTTACTTTATAATCACTGGGAGCTCTTTTACACCTTTATGCTTCTTTTAAAAAATATTTACTTATTGTTTTACTATTTGCCTATTTGTGTCTATGTCACCAGGATGCCACCGTGCCTGTGTGATTGCCAGTGCTGTGCCCAAACTCTGAGCCCCAAAATCACCAAGAGCCCCGATCCAATGCAAAAGCAGAGTCTTTTATTATTTAATGAGTTAACCTGGCAGGGAACTTATTGGGCAGAGCAAGGGGAGTGTCTAGGGGTCCACAACAGTCTCAAGATAGGTGCACTTCCAGGCTTGGGTGACCTGTCCTGTGTTGATTGGTCAATGGGTCGCTATGGCCCATAGGCCCTCCCAGGGCGGTTGCTATGCTCTATAGTCACTATTACCCTAAAGCACATCCAGAGCCCGCCAGCTAACTTCTGATTGGTTCCTTGCCATGTGGAAGGTATCTGACCTCCTAGTGACTGGGGCAGGTCCAGCAAGGTCAGGCATGTGCCCAGTCAGAGGCCTGCATCGTGCTGGGTCGTTTCTGCAGCCTGTCATGGCTGCTAAAGCAAGGGCCTGGGTGAGGGCCTGGTCCCTCCAGTCAGAGGACAACTGGTGGGAACTGGTTCTTTCCTTTTACCAGTGTGACTCCAAGGGATCAAGCTCAGGTCATCCAATGTGTAGGCAAGCACCTTTATCCACTGTTTTTAACTTCTTTCTTTCCCACTGGATGGATAGGGGAAGTTAGAGCCCAGCCCACAGCAACTACACAGGGACCCAAAGGAGCCCCTGGACAGTTTAAGCGGAGGACAGGGGACCCTCTCCCAGATCTCCATCATGACTTGGCCTTTGTTGGGAAAGCCTTGAGCACCCCACATCCGGTGTCCAAGAAAAGTCTTCTTCCTGTAGCTGAAACACCCTTGCCAGGCAGGGGAAGGGTCCCTCATCTACGTGAATCACAGACATTTCTCTCCTAAAATCTCAGCCACAACAACATGAAGAAGAAGAAATCCATACTAGGGTGGGTAGAATTCTGTCCCCTCAGAACTCACACTCATTTAGAACTTCAGGATTTGACTTCTATTTGACATGGGGTCTTTGTAGATATACTTAAGTAGGGGGGGGTGTCACACTGGATCTCGGTGGGCCTGAAACCCAAAGACTATTGCTCTAGGTCTTTGAAGAATTGATAGGATACAGGCAGAGAGGGACACCTGAAGAAGGACCACTACCACAAGCAAAGTCGGAGGACTAAACCTCCAAAGGGAAGAAGGAAGGCCAAGGATTGTCAGCCACCACCAAAATCTAGGAGAGGGCATAGGACAGTTCTTTGTCTTTTGTTTTTTCTTACAACCTCTGAAAGGAACCAATCTGGTTAAGACCTCATTTTCAGACTTAAGTGTCATAAATTAATGTCCATTGTTAACCATCAAGTTTATGGTGACCTCTCTCCTTTTCTCTCTAATTCTGTGTGTGTGTGTGTGTGTGCGTGCGTGCGTGTGTGTCTGTGTGTGTGTCTGTGTCTCTCTGTGTGTGTGTCTCTGTGTGTGTGTCTGTCTCTCTCTCTCTCTCTGTGTCTCTGTGTGTGTGTGTGTCTGTGTGTGTCTGTGTGTCTGTCTCTCTCTCTCTCTCTGTGTCTCTGTGTGTGTGTGTCTCTGTGTGTGTGTGTCTCTCTGTGTGTGTCTCTGTGTGTGTGTGTGTGTGTGTGTGTGCGTGTGTGTGTGTGTGTCTCGGTGTGCCAGGCCCCCATCCTCAGGGTTGTGAGGAAGCAGCATAAAATACCAGAGCTCCTGAGCAAGTCAGGACTCAGGAAATCTGAGAGGTACTAGCAGAGGGAAGAGGCAAGCTTACTAAGAACCCTTCTTGTATACAATTCCTTGGCCAGACTCACTCACCAGTCAGGGAGAGAGCTGAGTCCAGGTTTATCACCTGTTTCTGGGGCTTGTCTTGCATTCATGGTCCCATCACACCCGTGAACACTAACTCCCATTGGAAGTTGGCCATCAGTTCCTGTTCCAGGATCTGAGCCGCCTCATCTGCTCTCTCAACCTATAAAGCAAGTGTATTGCTACCTCTTTCGCACTGATGTAGAGACTCACATAGGAAAGCCACAGTGTCAAAGTCACCCAACCGGTTACAGCTGGGGGCATGATTCCAAAGCCTGTGCTCTGAGTGACCTTTCCAGGCACCATACAGGCAAGGGTGTTGTCTGAAGTCAGTCATTAGTCATCCACGGAGCTTAGAGGTTAGAGGTCGGCTAAAGAAGCCACTGCTGGCCATAGGCCAGGGGTGAAGGTGGGGGGGGCATCTCGGCGGCCTTTTGCTGGCTGAGAATTTCCTCTTGGGCTGGAGATAGCAAGGGTTATCAGAAACAGAGAGAGGCAGTTCAGAAAGAGCCAGCAGTTTTGGTGGACACGTGTGTTTACTGAAAAATAAAAACCTGCAAATATCTATTTTAACTGCCTTCAGTTATATCTTTGCCATCAAGCAATTAACAACAGTAATTAAGTAATAATAAATAAGATAACAATCAATGTGGGATTAGTTTGAATGGGAAATGTCTCGCACAGGGCACAGGCTTATGCATTTAAACACTTAGTTCCCAGCTTGTGTTTTAGAAGGCTGTGGGACCTTAAGGAAGTGTAATTTTCATGGAGGGAGGCTTCACTGAAGTCAAGTTTCATAGTCTGGTTCTATTTCTCAACCACTCTCTGCTTCCTGATGGGGGAGCCGATGTTACGAGCAGTCTTAAGCTCCTGCCTTCTCTGCCAAGATGGGCTGTATCCCCTAAGACTGCAAGCCAACCGAAGCTTCCCATAAGTGTCAGATATTTTGTGTCAGATTGGGAAATTATAACACAGATAACAAATCTTATATAAGCGGGCTTGAAGGATGTGGGCACTATCCCTCTCCTCACAGCCAGCAGCTGATGGAGCAAAGGGCTGAGCAGCACAGGTTGTTTGTTTTGGGTTTTTTTGGGGGGGTTGTTTGTTTATTTTTCAAGCGGAGTTTTCTCTGTGTTGCCCTGGCTGTCCTGTAACTCACTCTGTAGACCAGGCTGGACTCAAATTCACAAAAATCCTCCTGTCTCTGGCTCCCGAGTGCTGGGATTAAGGGTGTGCACCACAACCTCCAGCTTGGCAGCAGGATTTTATTCAGTTTAATTCTCCTCACAGAACTTCTCCTGGAGCCCTTGAAACCCTTGACCAGTAATAGTTCAATTTAATTTTCAGATTGCTTTTCTTTTCTTACTATTTCTAGCGAATGAATAAAGGCTTTACTCACCTATGGTGTGTGTAAAGCACCTTCTTCGTCGGGTTCTATTGAATTACCTTCTCTAGTCTGTTTATTGAGGCTTGAATTAATCCATACCTGCATTATAACAGCCCTTTCCTGTTTCCCCTGGGGAGGGTGTAGTTATAAAAAATTATGTCTGCAAACCACTTTTGCTTTGCATGTTTATCTCTGCACTTGTAGAAACACCTGAATAAAAACCTCTTATTCCAGCTTTCAGACCGTTGCTCCTTTCCCAGACTTTGGCTAAAAGACCCCAATTCAAATATTAGAGCGGTACGGGGACCTGGTTTTCAGGGCTGTCACAAGGGTACTAGAATTCTGAGCCTTGGACAGTGAAGCTCAGGTGGTCGCCCTCTTTGTGGTGTGCCTTGAACTGGCAGAGCTGGAGAGCCCGCTGTGAGGGTAGCAGAGAGGCCTGGAGAACAGACCCGAGGCAGAGAGCTCCCCCCCTGCGCCCAGCGGGTCTCACCTGCTGCAGGTCTCTGTCCATCCTCCTCCACCGCAGCTCACCCAGCCTTGAAGCCCGCTCGGCCTCTGCTGTTACCAGCCGCAGTTGTTGCTCCTTTTGCTCAGCGTCTTCTAGGAGCTTCTCCATGCCAGCCATCTTTATGACCTCTAGCTGCTGCCGAGTGACAGACTCTTGAGTGGCTCTGTGTTCCAACTCCTTCAGCAGCTGAGCCTGCAGCAAGGGAGGACCAAGGATAGAAGGACAGCGGTCTGCAGCGAGCAACAGAGGTAGCTGAGGCCGGTGACTCAACAGCCTCCTTTCAGCATGGCTGCCTGTGCTGTCCTCGGCTCTTGGGACGACAGCCTGGCTGTTTGGACCTGGCTGGCAAGCAGTGAGAATCCTAGGAGCGTGTCTCACCTGGCACTTCTACTGTGAACCCCAAGACATCAGTCAGAGGGAACTGCACCCACAACCAAGTACAACAAAAGCCAGGCCATGCTAATGCCTCCTCCAGGACATCATCAGGAAAGTGAGTTTCTCAGTACAAACGGTGGTGATGCTACCCATGCTAATTCCCTAGCCACCAAATACTCATATTAACCCCAGCTGCATCTGCATGCCATACAGCCTTTCTCTCTCGTGGGGACCAGCAGTGGATGAGTTCAGCTCTGAGCAGGCAAGGACCGAAACGTTAGCGTGGGAGGCTGCTTCTGCCTTGGGCGCCGTCAACACTCCCAAATTATCTCTGGGAAGCCAGACTCTAGGCAGTTAAAGGAGGAAATGGAGCTGAGCTCGCAGGAGCCAGCCTGAGCTACAAAGTAACACTGTGCTTCAACAGAGCAAAGAAAAAGAGAAAGTGCGAGAAAGAACCAGGAGGAGGGGGAGGAGGAGGAGGTGGGGGAGGATGAGGAGGAGGAGGTGGGAGGATGAGGAGGAGGAGGGGGAGGATGAGGAGGAAGGGGAGGAGCAGGAGGAAGGGGAGGAGCAGGAGGAAACACCTAGGGCCAATTTGGAATTTGTGTTTCAGCTGAATGAAAATGAGGGCATGGCCACTCCTAGGCAGGGTTGAAGAGAAGATTTTTATTGTAGATATGAGGGGGAGATTTTATTGTAGATATGAGGAGAACAGCCAGAGGCATCTGGAAGAGTCCAGAGCAGAGAAAGTAGAGTGATCATGGCCAGCAGACTGGACAGGGCCTTGAGAGGAGAGGGGACTAGAGAGAGTGAGGGAGGAAGAGAAGAGAAAGGGCTCAGGGGCTGGAGGTGTGTGTGCGCGTGTGAGGGTGTGTGTGCGCACACGTGTGTGTATCTGTCTGTGGTGTGTGTGTGTGTGTGCTATGTCTCTGTGTGTGGGTGCGCGCGTGTGTGTGCCTATGTATGTGTGTCTCTGTGTGTATGTGCGTGTATGTGTGTGCATGCGTGCATGTGTGTGTTATGTGTGTGTCTCTGTGTGTGCGTGCGTGAGTGTGCACATGTGTCTCTGTATGTGTGTGTCTCTGTGTGTGCCTGTGCATGCATGTGTGTGTGTGCCTATGTGTGTGTCTCTGTGTGTATGTGTGCGCATGCGTGCATGTGTGTGTGTGGTATGTGTGTGTGTCTGTGTACATGTGCATGCGTGTGTGTGTGTGTGTCTGTGTACATGTGCATGCGTGTGTGTGTGGTATGTGTGTGTGTCTGTGTACATGTGCATGCGTGTGTGTGTGTGTGTGTGTGTGTGTGTGTTGCTGAGATGAGAGGAGCCAGGTCTCTCTAACAGGTACTTGCTATGCTGGGGGAGCCTCCTTTCTATGTTACAGGCACCTCAGCCATCTGTCCTGAGTTTCTTTGGGAACTAACCCCAGTGTTTCTCAAGACGGTGGTGTTCTAGAACCCCGGGGCTCTGGTGTCCCTTCTCATGGCCACACTCACAGTGCCTAACTCCGGGGCTCTGAGTACCTGGGTGTCCTGCTGCTGCCTGAGCTTCCTGCTGTCAGTGTGAGCTTTGGCCAGGGCCTGCCTCACAGCCAGTAGCTGTTGATGAAGTAAACTCACTTCTTGCTCCGCCATGAGCTTGACTCTTACGCATTCTCTTTTGCTGTGAAAAGATTCCTGCAAACATTGCAAACACAGTGAGACCAGACGTTGGCTTCTTTCCTCTGGTTTCAGTCTCAAGCCTTGGCTAACACCTCACGGGGTAGAGCTCTGGCTGGCCATTGCTTGTGTGGATTTAGTTATGGGCAACTCCACAGATAGAGTAAATCCAGATTTCGAGAAAGTGCAACTTTCCAAACCCCTCCCAATATGCGCTTTGTTTTGGATGTGTTTAAAGCAGATTATCACAGGCAACATCCAAAGCTATCAGCGCAAGCCTTAATAAACGCCCCTTCCTGTCTCTTCGCCTTCAGTAGGCATCATTCTGTCATTGCCATGGCTGGTTCTGCTTTCCGTTTCTCCCAAGGCTCTAAGGTTGCCTATTCCCAGGGTAGGAAGTGATCAATTGCCAATTGCCAGATTCTTTAGCATGGCTGGGCCTGCCACCTGCCACCTGCCAGCAGCCTGGCCAGAAGCATCACACATGCACACGCACACGATCACGCACACGCACAGGTTGTAGGGGCGGGGCTCCCTTCAACACTGACCTTCTCTGCCCTGCTCAGCTGACCTCTAAAGCGAGCCTGCTGCACAGCCAGGCGCCAGCGGCCCAGGCTCCGCATTTTGCACACTAGGGCATCCTGGGTGCTGCTGCTGCTGCTGTCGCTGTCCTGCCAGGAAGGCTTACTTTTAGAAGAGGCCTCTCTCGGTCCTTTCCCCAGAAGGGCACATGGTTCCTAAACCAGAAAATGGATACTGACTCTCGAAATGTGCCTTCCAAAAGGGTACGCGACCACGTGGAGCCCCACCCCAGGGGCCCTGTAAAATGGCTGTCTGGGGGAGACTACGCAGGTCAGTGGTGGGCTGGGTGCGGTCACGAACTTTGGCCGCGTTCTCTTCTGTTCCTTCCTCAGGTCTGGCAGAGCCCCAGGTTGTCTTTAGCTGCTTCGTGTTGGCAATCCCTTCGGCTCTCACTTCACCGATGAGCTCACACACTTTCTGGATCAAATTAAGCTGATTCTCGTCCAACGTCTCCTGAAAATTGCAGACTCAGGTCAGCAGTGCGCTTGTGCGGTGTGAAGGGCGGGGTTAAATGCGCCCCGCCCCACCCCTCCCCCACCCCACCCACCCAGACAGGTTTCTTCACACCACATTACAAGGCAGGCGCGTTAGGGGCCCTTAAGTGTTGCCCTTAATCTGCAGGGATTCATCTCCTGGCCACTTACGTGTCCTAGAACATGCCTTGCTTGTCAACACCAAGGCAATAGAAGCCATGGGAGGTGACAGGGAGTCAATCGCCTGGCTAAATGAGTTGAGGTGGAGCAGGTGGAGTTTTGGCTCCCAGGCTGACTCAGAGCAGAATCTAATGAGTGTCACTGTAGATGAGCCACTCATTAGGAATCTCATTAAATATAAAGAAGTGAAGGACAGAGATGGGCTGGCCGCCTCCTTAGGCTCCAGCGGAAACCTGGGTATGAGATGTTCTGTTCTGAATGGCTGTGGCTGACGGCTGGTGTCGATACTTACTTACTTACTTATGTAAGTATCGACTGCACATTCAGTGCTGTGAACTGAGCTCCGATTCCTCCCAAACTCACCCGTTCAACCTCAGATGTTGAGGTTAACATTTTGAGGTTAACATGAGACCGTAGGGGTGAGAGGCTGCACCCTGGGAGAGTAAGGACCTTTCTCTCTACGGGGGCCCAGCAGTTCCAGTCCACCAGGAAGGGAACAATCTGCCCTGTTATCCTGGTCTCTGACTCCAGTATTCCAGAACTGTAAAAAGAATCTTCTGTGCTTCAGCCACCTGATCTACAGCCTTTTACTGCACAGCTTGAGCAGACGAGTCCCAGGGCTGAGATGAGGACATACGGGCGCCCTTTTATCTCTGAACCACTTCCGCAGAGAGGAAGGCAGGAGAGCGTCCAGTTAGAGACTGTCAGGAAGCCTGAGTGTAGTTACCAGTGTGAGCATTGCCATTGCCTCGGGGCCAATGGGTCAGCCAGGGACTCCCTACTTCTGGGTGTTTGGTAGAATTCCTTCAGTCTGGAAGAAGCCGAGAGCCTACTTTTTATCTTATGTTTGCATGATTACTCAGGAAAGGCTGGCCTTCATAGACCTGCAGCACTGGGCCATTTTGAATTTGACCTCTTAATATTTGTAAACATTTGTATTTTGCAAGTAACAAGAAATCTCTAATATTTCCCAGAGGACAAAGGCAGAGCATTGCCAGGGTCTCCTGCTAAGAAGACAACCCTAGGGTCTATTCTGGAACTCCCAGGTATGGGAGGGGAGGGGAGGTTATGGGTTAAATGGAGCTGACCCTAGACAATATCCAGTAATGTAAGGCATTGTGGGTGTGTACTGACATGCACAGGGAGGGTGGACCACGCTTCCTGAAGGCTTGTTTTAGGCACAGGACATCTGTCTCTCTGATGCTCAGTTTCATAGAGTGACTAGCTTCCACACGGTATAACAAGGCAGCCCCATCATTCCTTTTGGGGAGCCCCTTGACTGACAGGCTGGCAGCTCCCTGATTCCAAACGTCGGAGGAAAGCAGACGGGCATGTGGAAGGTGAACCAGATCTCTGAAAACTAGCTCAGATCCCCAACCTGCCCCACAAGCTCTCAGGCTGATGTTCCCTCCGCTCAAGCACAGCTCCGAGGTCCTTCGCTCACCTGCTTGGGTGCCTCACTAAACTGAAATAACAGTGAGAGACCTTGGAAGGAAGATGAAGCTGATCACCTCTTCTTTCCAAGAGCCTCTAGATCTCGACTGTGGAATACACAATCCAGTTTTCCAAAACTGAGTGTGGTCTTTTTTGTTTATTTGTTTGTTTGTTTGTTTTAACATATCGATCCCAGTTCCCTCTCCCTCTCTCCCTCCCTCTTTCTCTCTCTCCCACCCTCCCATGCCCCCCCTCCCATTCCCCCACTCCACAGGGAGGACGATGCCCTCCAGGAGGGGTCATCTAAATCTGTCAAGTCATTTGGAGTAGGGACTAGGCCCTCCCTCCTGCCTCTCGGTTAAGGGAGTCCCCTCCATGGGGAATGCGCTCCCCCAAACTGAGTGTTAATCCTGGAGGAATACCTACAACCCAACTGGTGACATGGCTCACTGGGGAAAGGCGCCGGCCGGCCGCCATACCCGATGGCCTAAGTTTGCTCCCTGGACCCCACACAGTGAAAGTGAAGAACTGACTTCCACAGGTTACCCTCCGACTCCCACACACATGCTAACACACGCACAATAAAACAATGACCCCCCCCCCCCCCCCCGCTAACTCTCTCTTCAGGAAAACCTTCTAACTGGCTAGACACAGTTGTAGCGGCATCTTGGAGGGTGTGGCCACTGCTGTGAGTCCGCTACACATAGTGGTGCACATTTATAATCCCAGAGCAAGGAAGGAGAAAGTACTAGGGACATTGCGACTCTGAGTTTGGCGTGGACTACGTACCAAGTTCCAGGCAAGTCCATACCACACAGCAAGACCATGTCTCAATGAAACAACAAAACCTTCCGGCTTGAAATTTGGGGCGGGGGTTCAAGAATCTCTTGGTACCTCAAAGGCCATCCTGCCATGGGTCCCTTGGTACGCCTCCACGGGGCTTCCCAGATCACAGACGTGAGACACTTGCCTTTATGCGTAAGCAGGTCATGAACAAAGCTTGCACTAATGATCTGTATCCCTCCTGAACTTCTTTTCCAATCTGGTTTTTCAGAGTCAGACTCTCCTCTTCCAGATCTGTGAGCTGGGCTCTCAGAGCGGTGATTTCCATGATCATGTCATGACTGAGCTCTGCAACCTAGTATCAGAAATAATGGGGACGTAGAACGTGATGTGTGGGTGGCAACAGAGGAATTGCAAGCTGCACGACAGTTCCAGCTAAACCAGCACAGTCCCCATTTGCAGTCCCATGAAGGCAAATGGCCTGCGGTGTAGATGGGGAAGGCAGAAAGAACCTCAGGTTGGTTCACAGTCCCGAGTAGGGTCAGATGCTTCTAATGTTCTTACGCCTCCACCTCCAGAGTGCTGAGGTGGAAAGTGATCGCTCACCCTGCATGGAACATTCCTGATGCCATAAATGAACGTGCCCCAAAGACCTGGTACTTAAGCACAGTACTTCTGATAAACTCTTCCACTGTCTTGGCCTTCATCTCCACACTGGCCTTCTCTTGACTCCTCAACAAAATGTCGTTTCATTTTTGAAATTCACTCTAACTGGCATTTCAAAAAAGGAAGAAAGAAACGTACCCACATAATTCTGCCAATCACCACCCTCTCCCCAAACAATACATAACAAAGACAACTTAAGAAAAACCCTAGGGGGAATGCCCCTTAGGAAGACCACACACACAAAATGAAATGATGGAGCTTGAATGTGCCTGCAGGGGCCCCTGTACATGAGGCTGCTGCAGATGACAGCAGCTTCTGGCGGATTAAGACCTACCTGACCAGCACAGTCTTCAGGAGGAACCTGACTGCTTCGAAGCAAGTCCACTTCCTGAGAAGGAGAAGGCAGGGCTCAGTCCTACACACACTCAGGACAGTGTGCATGCAACCCTTCCTGCTGGTGACTGCATGGCCAGGAGCTTGGGCTGTGCTTAGCACCGCCTCAGACTTTGGGAATCTCTCTTGTCTCCCTCCTTCCCTTACGTATACCAGGCCGGCCTTGAACTTAATATACGGCTGAGGGTGACCCTAACCTCTTCCTGCCTCTACCTCCCAAGTCCTGAGGTTGCAAGGCTGCACAACTATGGGTAATTAAATTTTGAGGTTTCTAACAACACATCAAAGGATAACAGGCATGGCAGGCATGGTGGAACATGCTTGTAACCCTAGCTCTGGGAAGGCAGAAACTTGCTGGCTAGCTAGCCGCCCTGCATCGACAAACTCCAAGTCCCAAAGAGAGAATATGTCTCAAGAAATAAGGTGGGTAGTTTCTGAGGAATGCACCTGGACACGCGCGTGCGTGTGAACATCTACAATGATGCAGAGCTCAGCTATGGGGAAGTCATCAAGCGTGGGCAAGTCCAAGACTCACTGTTTGACATCTTAATGCTTCGTTAACTTTATGGACACTGTATCATATTTTTCCTGACTATAAAATAAAATTATATGACAGAGTGACTCTGAGACCCGCTGTGCACTGGGACCTAGTTTTAAGGAGGTCTGTGATAATTTGAAGGTAATTGGGCCCTATAAGAGAGTGACATTATTAGGAGGTGTGGCCTTGTTGGAGGAAGTGTGTCACCGTGGGGGTGGGCTCTGAGGAAGCTTTGCTCAAGCTTCCTTCAGTGTGACACCCAGATCACTTCCTGTTGCTTTTGGGTCAAGATGTAAGACCCTCAGCTCCTTCTCCAGCAGCGTGTCTGCCTGCACGACATCATGTCCCACTATGATAATGACGGACTGACTAAACTTGTAAAAATACAAGTCACCTCAATTAAATGATTTCCTTTATAGGAGTTTCCGTGGTCATGGTGTCTCTACACAGCAACAGAAACCATAACTAAGATAAAGTCTCACCACTCACTGAAATTGACTGATGATATGAAAACTACATATATAGATACACACACACACACACACACACACAGACACAGAGACACATATATAAAATATCCTCTGATAGACCAGGAATAGTTCAAGACTATTAGTGTTTTCTGGGGGAGGGGTAGCAGTTATAGATCTTTCTCAAATAATCACCTCATTTACTGGTCCTGCCTTGTAGCCATGGTAACCTCTACAGTCGTCCAACCCTATTGCTGCTAGCAACTTCACAACTAAGTGTGGCAGGGCCCGAGGAACAAAGGAGACTGTGCACAGGTTCGTCGTAAGAACAACTGTGCTCACCTGTCCCGATGTTCTTCGCCTGGCGACTCTGAGGCCCCGTACCCTTTCTCCTTCACGGCTCTCACTTCCTGGGGCTCCTACCTGCTCCCTCTGGCTGAGCTTCACCCTGGTATGTTGCAGTACATGCTCGTAACACATGGAGTAGGTCTCAAAGTTGCTGCGCTCTCTTGCCATCACGTCGCACCCCAGGGAGAGGAGGCAGGCTTCGAGGTGGTCCCTCCTGAAAGTCACCTGAAAGGGTGGTGACATCTCTCTTGGTGGCTTCACCAGGGCTTCCGGCAGCCACACCATGTTCAGGGACTCTGGCTCGTATACACATTTGCATCTAAACCTCGATTGGCTCAGGTCCTACAACCCCCACCCCTATTCCCCCACCTCCTCCACCCCCCACCTCCCCCTCACTCCCCCCACCTCCCCCATCCCCTGCTGAGCTCTGCTCTGACCTCTGCTGGCCAGGGACAAGAGAAGAAGCAGAGGCCAGCCTGCCATGTTTCTCAAACCTTAAAGGTTATAAATGGAAGGACAAACTATTAGGGTGCAGCGTCTACTTCCACTCTCAGAGAAGACAGACTAGGTGGCCGGCTCTGAACGGATGTCCAGAGACTACTCTGAGTTCTTTGGTGAAGCCTGGAGACCCAGGAGAGCAGCTCCCCAGTCGCTTCCAACCCGGGACCCTAAGCTGCCTGGATAGTACACCGCATCCTGCCCATCATGGCTGCCCTGCCCCTCTCTCCCTACAGCTGCCTCTTGGTCTCTGCCGAACGAGCCACAGGTACTCATGTCACTAGCAAGGTCTGTTATCACCGTGGGAACACAGATGAGGGAGGAGACCCACGTAAGTGTAGAGCAGAGGTTCTCAACCTGTGACTCTCGACCCCTTTGGGGGTCTAACGGCCCTTTCACGAGGGTTGCCTAAGGCTATCAGAAAATACAGATATTCATAATTGGATTCATAACAGTAGCAAAATTATAGCTATGAAGTAGCAATGAAAATAACTTTATGGTTAGGGGTCATCACAACATGAGGAACTGTATTAAAGGGTCACAGTGCTAAGCCATCTCTTTGGCCCATATTTCTATTTTCTTCCTTTTTTTTTCAAGGCAGGGTTTCTCTTGTATCCCTGGCTGTCCTGAAACTTGCTCTGTAGACCAGGCTGGCCTTGAACTAATAGAAATCCACCTATCTCTGCCTCTGCCTCTCCAGTGCTGGCACTAAAGGCGTGCCTGGCCCGTATTTCTATTTTCTAATATAATGTAATCACAATTTGCATGTGTAATTAAAATAATTTCTACATAAAGCGTACATACTAAAAGTTACGCTTTCAAACAGTCATCATCTGCATCAGCCTGGCGTGATGTCATGATAACTGGTCCATGGGATGTGAGAACAACTTCTGTTTGTACGGGAGGGAACCAGCTGTACCCTGGCGAAAGCCCAGAGCCTTAGCACTCCTTCTGCAGGCCTCTTCAGTGGGTGGGGTAAGGCAGGTCACCCTCACCCTGCTACCCTCGGCACCTTTGGGCGATGAGCATCAGGAGGCTGTCGACACCACAGCAAGTGTCCTGGGGTGTTCTTCAGAACCCTGATTTCTTTGTGGGCAGAGGGAACTTCCTGGTTCGACTATAATGAAAACCTGAAGCCATGAGCAGTCAAGACTGGGAGGCCAGCGAGGGTGTGGCCAATGACCTCACCTCAGGCCACACTGGTGGCCAGCCCAGTGACTCACCCTTGATGACCTGGGGAATTCTGCCTGGAGGGAGCACAGACCCGAAAGACCTCCACCAGCTCTCTAGCAGGGCAATGGCCTCTCAGACGAACTTCCTGACACCATAACCCCGCAGATATGGGCTGGGGATGTGGGGAGAGGGGCGGGCAGGGAAGGAACAGGACCTCAAGAAGGGTAGAAGAATCTATTCCAGCAGCTCAGCTCAAACACAGAAATGATCTGAGAGCAGGGGCAGGGTGAGGGAGCGGGAAGGGGTGTGTCTGAGATGCGTGTCCTGGCTGAAGGCGAGGAAGGAATAAATGCTTCAGATCATCCTTTGGTCCTGCACACTGCACTCAGCACTCTGGGAGGAGCCCACGACGCCTTTGAACAGCAGATGCTGAACCCCAGGGCTTCTGCAGGCATCCCCGAGACCCTCAACTACACCCCTACCTTCCAGGTCACTGCTCAGTGTAGAGGCAGCTAGCTCAGGTTTTCCCAGTAGGCACCACCACCCTCCCCTGGACCAGCTCCAGTGCAACAGCAGCAGCGTTTAAACCCGAAACTGACTATGCCCATGGTGTCAGCTGCAATAACAGTAGGTTGCCCTGTGCCCTGATTCCTCAAGAGTGTTGGGTGAGGACCGGCGGGTGCCAGGGCTTATTCTGTTTCCAGTGGCTTTGTAGGAGTGTGCCACCACACCCAACACAATTTGCTTCTTGTCAGGCACAAAAGTATTTTGGAGGTTTCTAAAACACCACTTCAGCTGGTGTGTCCCTCCTGGGACTGACTCCCAAGGGTTCACACAGGGCCACTGCACATCTAACCCTATCCAGAAGCACTACCCCTCCCCCCCCCCCCCCGGCCATCCGTGCCCTGCCCGTCTTCCTTCTGCCAGGTCCTTCTTGTGTTTCAAGATTCGGCCCTAACAACACCTTGGTCAGGAATTCTGGCCTCCATGAGTCCTCTTCTCATAAATAGATAACTATACTAAAACATTTAAGGATCCTCTTTAATGAACTCCAACTCTGCCTCAGAGGAAAAGTATTAGAACCAGTGATGGATGGAGGCTGCCAGATGACCTGATTTTCTCAGGAAATAGAGCAGACAGCATCCCTGGCTTCCAGCAGGATGCCTGAGAAGGGACTGGGGAGCACGGCTGAGGATGGGAGCAGGGAGCACGGCTGAGGACTGGGGAGCACGGCTGAGAAGGGGAGCAGGGAGCACGGCTGAGGACTGGGGAGCACGGCTGAGGACTGGGGAGCACGGCTGAGGACTGGGGAGCACGGCTGAGGACTGGGGAGCACAGCTGAGGATGGGAGCAGGGAGCACGGCTGAGGACTGGGGAGCACAGCTGAGGACTGGGAGCAGGGAGCACGGCTGAGGACTGGGGAGCACGGCTGAGGATGGGAGCAGGGAGCACGGCTGAGGACTGGGGGAGCACGGCTGAGGACTGGGGAGCACAGCTGAGGACTGGGGAGCACGGCTGAGGACTGGGGAGCACAGCTGAGGACTGGGGAGCACAGCTGAGGATGGGAGCAGGGAGCACGGCTGAGGACTGGGGAGCACGGCTGAGGATGGGAGCAGGGAGCACGGCTGAGGACTGGGGAGCACGGCTGAGGATGGGAGCAGGGAGCACGGCTGAGGACTGGGGAGCACAGCTGAGGACTGGGGAGCACGGCTGAGGACTGGGAGCATGGCTAAGAAAGGACTGGGGAGCACGGCTGAGGACTGGGGAGCACGGCTGAGGACTGGGGAGCACGGCTGAGGACTGGGGAGCACGGATGAGGACTGGGGAGCACGGCTGGACAGCAGAAGCACTGCACACGCCCCTGGCCCATGTATGCTCTGGTCTGAGACAGCTGCACAGCCTGGGAGGTCCTGCGTGGGCCGCTTGGGTGGGGCCTTGGGGCCTGGCCTGTCTTCCTGCTACTAAAGGCTTCAGTGAGGACCCCAGAGCAGGCTGAAAGAACAACCAGATGCTGAAAATGCAGATCTATAAACATCTCAGGAGGTCCAAAGAAAGGGCCAAATTGACCAAGAACAAGCCAGATGACGGGACAGCCTCTCAGTGCCTGAGTACGCCATGCAGGTTTCGGGGCACAGCTCACTGCACTAGTGACGCAGCGGCCCAACCCAGCACACTCTCAGGCAGTAATCCAAGAGAAACACTGAGGCCAAGGTCACCATGAGCTGAGCACACAACCTAGACTAAGGAGACTGGCCACAATGGCAAGTGCGTGCGTGCCTGTGAACAGGGGAATGAGCAGGGGTGGCTTGTGTAGGGGAGGGCTGGCAGGCTGGGGACCCCAGGTCACTGCCCAGGCACTGCCCGTGGAAGAAACCAGGAAAGCTGTTTCCCCGTCTGCACGTTCTGCAGGAAAGGGTCGAAGGGCTGCGCACCCACTTGGTTATCCTGAGCAAGCCCCCTGCTGAACCGTGCAGAGACTCCGTCCACCCCAGCGAGGGCTCTAATGGGCCTGGGCTATCTGAGGCTCACTGTCAGGGTCAGAACCATGATGTGTGAGTCTGCGGGGACAGAGGATCTATGGCGAAGATGTCAGGGAAGGCCAAATACAAGTTAGTAACAACTGACCGGACGGCACAAGGCAGTTTGGTTGTGAGCGAGCTCTTGGCTCCTCCGGGTGGGCAGAAGAGGCTGGTGGCCTGCCTGCCAGGCCTGGACTTGAAGGGAGCCGAGTGCCAACAACCCGCCCAAGCATTTCCTTAGTTGCTGATGTACCTGGTAGGGATTTGTCCTGCCTTTGTTTCCTATACAATGTCATCCTTGGCTGGGGGTGGTGGCACACGCCTGTGATGCCAGCAGCTGGGAGGTAGAAGCAAGATGGCTGTTGGAGGCCAGCCAGGGTTACATATTGAGATCCTGTATCAAAATGAAACCAACATTCTGTCCCCCACCCAAAATCAAACATCCTTATCTTCAGTGATGGGTGAACAGCAGGACAGGTGCAGAGAGGTGGCTATGTATATATGTGTGCATGTATGTATGTATGTATGTATGTATGTATGTAATCTATACCCACATATCATAAAACACATTCTTTTAGCGGTCATCAAATATACAACAGTGACCCCATCATGATCTCATGGACAAGTTTCTTTCCATCTCACAAATTGAAAACAGTAGCCACTGAACCCTGATCAGGTTGCCCCTCCTGTCCCTGGTCCCTGGAATCACCGCTCCTACTTTTGCTGCTGTGAGTCTCACTCTTCCTGCACGGGACAAACGTGGAATTAGGAATCCTTTCCTGCCTTCACGGGTGTCCTCACGGCTTATCACGTGACAACACGCATCGGAAGTGCCAGCCCTTTTCTATTTTTAAGGACTTGTGCATTATTTTTATTTATGTATCTGCGTTTGTGTGCCTGCATGATGGGAGACGTCCTTCTGTATATATGTTTCTCTGATTGGTTGATGAATAAAATACTGTTTGGCCAATAGCCAGGGAGAAAACAGACCAGGAGCCAGCTGGGGAGAGGGAGGCAGAGGGGGCCTCCAGGAAGACAGGGCTTGCCAGGCATTCTCTGGTAAGATAAGGCCATGTACAAATACACAGATTAGTAGTTATGGGTTAATAATTAAGAGAGAGCTAACCAATAAGAAGCTGAAGGCCAACAGTTTAATAATTAATATAGCGTCTGTGTGTTTATTTGGGGAAAAGCAGCTGGAGGACCAGGCTGGAAGGAAACTCCAGCAACACCTGCATGAGTTTCTGTACACCACAGACAGCTCAATGCATTTGTAAGTTGCCCAGTGTGGGTGCTGGCAACTGAAGCTGGGTCCTCTGGCAGAGCAGCAAGCGTTCTTAACTCCCCAGTCCCCTCTCCAACCCCACATTTTTCCTCTGTAGAGAGTTGCAGTGTTTTGATTTAAACACCTCTGTCCCTGGAAGCCACAGCTGCTCATCAGCACACAGGACAAAGCTTCCGTGTAACTGAGAGCTACGTGAGTATATGTGCATGGCTGAGTCTGCAGGAAATACATCCCCAACTCTCTACCTCGTAATTAAGGACCGAAGTGTTTGTTACAAAATTTATGGGAACATTTCCAAAAACGTAAGAAAAAAATGTAAACTTGAAAAAAAAAATGAAAAATTTGAGCATATTTTGCCAATACAGATTTTTAAAAAAGTTTTAAATTTTATTTATGTACTAATTTTTATAAAACAGTCTTGCTGGTCTGGAATTCTTGTTTCCTTTGTCTGTCTGTCTGTCTGACTAATTAGTATGTCCATGTGTCTGTGTGGAGGTCAGAGAGCAACCTGCTGGAGTGGGCTCTCCTACCACTCTGTGGGTTCTGTGGATCAAACTCAGGTCATCAGGCTTTGTAGCAAGAACCTTTACTCACTCGGCCATCTCACTGGCCTCTGGCCTGGAAATCTACCCCACCCTTCCATTATCTGTGTGTGTGTGTGTGTGTGTGTGTGTGTGTGTATGGTGTGTGTGTGTTGTTTGTGTGCATGTGGTTGTGTGCACTGTGGGGTGTGTGTGTGCATGTGGTTGTGTGCACGGGTTTGTGTGTGTGTGTATGCGCGCACGCATGCATGACCACGTGTACATACACGTACATATGAGTTTGTCATGGTATTTATGTGAGGGTCAAATGTGGCAACTTTACTCCCACTATGTGGGTCCCACTGATGGAACTCCTGCCGTCCAGGTTTGGCTGCAAGCTCCTCTACCCACTGCTCCATCTTGCTGGCCCCTGGCCTGGAACGTTTAGTCTGTTTGTCCCAGCCTCCTGGAAGTGGTGTTCACATACTTGTGTTTGCTTTCTTGTCTTGCCTTTCCGGGGGATTCTTTTGATTTCAGCAAACACTTCCGGCCAAGGGTAAATACTGTTAAACATTACAGTTTAGGGTGTTACACGAGTTCAGTATCTTTTCTGAAAGGAGATGAATGTAATTATTGGTGCCACTTCCCTTGGAGAAGAAGTTGGGGGTGTGGATGATTTCTTACCTTTTGGCGCTGTGGGCCTTTTACTGACCTTTCCCCCAAACTGTAAACTTTAATAATGTTTCCTAGTTAGGTGTATTATAGATCTTTTTGTTTTCCTCCTTAATTAAAAAAAATACTAACAAGTCAACAACAGGAAGTACTTAAAAAATCAACTTGTCCAAAAGTTCCAAGTTTGTCTTTAGCCATTTGACCCAACTTGGTGTTAGCCAATGATCATTTCCTGACTACTCCAAGATGGACAGACAGACATTAGACTTGTTCATACTACAGTGGTGGTGAGTGGTGGTCATCTGGAGTTCAGCCTCAGTAGGGAGAGTGGAGAGTACCAGGGCAGTGTTAAGTGGCAGCCTTCCTCACACGGGTTTCTGTTTCAGGGGAGCAGAGCCCTTCGTCTGGAATACCTACCTCAGGTCTGTTCTCTTGGCAACTCTCCATGAGTCTTTGCACAAATCTCTCAACTATCTGGGGTCTCACAACTGAAAAGTTTTCTTTCATGACTTGGTGTTTCCAAAGGTCTAGGAAAAATAAAAACAAAAAACAAAACAAAACAAAAACCAGATGAGCACATGCATCACAAAATGCAGACTGGCATCGAGGACGTGACTCCACAGCTCCCAAACGATGCCAGCACAACCATCTGCCACTTTGAAATGCTGGAGGAGGGGAAGGGCAGGGGGCAGACCAGGACATGGAACCCTCTGGAACAAGGGAGAAGAGAAATATCTAACACGGTTCTTAATGAAAATATTTGGGGGAAATCCTCCTGAGAACCAGTGCACAGTACGGTTACTGCAGACAAAACCCAGAAAGAAATGGTGTCTTCCTCCATTAATACCCTGTTTCTGCATGACGGCGTCAGCCAAATGCAACAATCAGAAGTAAAGCGAGAGCACAGCTGTGCGCAGAGGTGAGGCACACACAGACGTGTCAGAGCAAAGTTTCTGCTGGTAGCAGAAGCTGTGGGAAACCCTTCCGATGGAGCGGCATGCAACTGTTCACATGAAGAAACTCTTCCAGTATTGATGGGAGAGTTTGACGGCGTTGCTCAAACACTGGCCACGTTGAGCTATTAAATGAAAATGGCAAAGTTGAGAGCAATGGATACAAAGGGGACGCGCTCAGTCAGGGCTGTGGCTCCAGGAGCTCCCTGTCTCTCCGTCGCCTCCCCTCTCCCTCCTTCGGGACAGCACACCATCCCCCCTTGGCAGCAGCACACCATCTTCCCCATGTTATCAAACCCTCCTCCTGGTTCACCTCCCCCGGCTACCTCCTCTTTTCTTTGCACCGTCCACGGCAGAATTCCCAGAAAGCAATGCTGTTCCTCAAACCCACTTGCCCGCAAGTGTGCGCAAACCGATTTTATTGTAAATGCCCTCAACTTCCTCTAAAGCCAGTGGCTTGACTTGCCTGCCCTCGCGTTTTGCCCAGTTCATAACTTCCGCTGCTGGGGAGGCTTCCCCTCTCGAGGCAACCGAACACCTCAACCTCGCTTTCTTCTTAGCTCACTGTGTCCCGCCCCTCTCCCCATCTCCCTGTGCCCCCCCCCCACTCAGCCTTACTCATTTCTGTGTACTCAGACATTCACCTGCTTCTAATCATCTCACAGCTGATGAGTAACTATAATAATAACAATTCTCTATAATAATCTCAAGTTTGGATTAACTTCTCTTTTATTCCAAAGGTGACTTAACTGACGCATAATCAAGTTACCCGTGTCCCCTCCCTAAATGACTCCATTTGCAATTTGCCCCAAAGATAGAACTTCCACCTTCCCTACTGTTCAGAAGCCTGGGGTCACGAAGGACCTCTGCCTTCTCATGCTCCACGGTGTATCTAACCCATCATCGCTGCCTCGGAAGATACCCAGCTTCCCATCACTTACGTACGTGACGGGGGCTGGCGAAAGGATAAGGAAGGGACCCAAATTCTGTCCTAGGAACACACCTACGGAAGCCGGTTGGGTGTGGCAACACGATTTGTAAGCCCATTGCTGGGAAGATGGAGGCATGCAGACCCCGGGGCGCACTGGCCATCCAGCTTAGCCATTTGGTGAGTGGCAGGCTGGTGACAGATTCTGTTTCAACAAACAGGTGGATGGTTTTCGAGGCATGCCACTTGAGGTTGCTCCCACACGCATGTGTACTCAAGGGTAGATGGTCATACACACACACACACACACACACACACACACACACACACACATTTAAAATAAAGCATAAGCCAGATGATGTCGCTCTGCCCCGGGGCCTAAGGGATCTTAGAAGGCATGAATGTGTTGGGGAAGCCAAGCCACTACGCCCTCCTCTGTTGCACCCTTCCTTCTGTGGCTCACATGGGGTGAGCAGAGAGAAAGAGCAAATGCCCGCTGCCATGTGCCCAGGAATGGCTGTGCCTCTAGGATTTACAGACTGTGCTACTGACTCAGCGGAGGCCTTGATTTTGAAAACGGGATGTCACGTTTCTCCCACAGATGGATACTTTGCATAATAAAGCTATAAATCACACTCCTCACTTCTTAGGATTCGCAGGGCTTTAATAAGCCCAAGCTTTGATGGAACAGACAGAGCTGGTGATTACCATGGGAAACTTTTCAGATAGGAGCTCGAATGCCCTTCCCAGGATGCTGTGGGGCAGAGGCCCATTGAGGTGTTGTATCCATCTCACACTGCTAGCGTGGGACCAGCCTGGGGTTATCCCTGGCTGCCCCTAAGGAGAAGCCTTTCCCTGGGAGCCCCAGGGTTTGCCAGCCTCTTCCTGCATATGAGTTCAAATTAAGACACACACAGCTGGACTTACAGGCCTGAGCCAGGGCGAGAGACGACGTCTTCCAAGGAATTTCTGGCAAAGAGGAGCCAACCTCCACATCTGTCTTGTTCTCGGTGCATGTGTGTGGCCATGGTGTCTTCAACATGAAGCAGCAGGAGCAGATAAGTTCTGCCTCTCTCTTTCTCTCCCTCTGTCCCTCTGTGTGTGTGTGTGTGTGCGCGTGTGTGTGTGCACGTGTGTGTGTGTACGTGTGTGTGTGTGTGGTGTGGTGTGGTGTGGTGTGGTGAGTATAAATTCGGGCGAGAACAGAGGTCAGAGGATAACTTCAGGTGTTGGTCTTTCCTTGCCTTGCATTTTGTTTGTACCAGGATCTCTGTGTATCCCAGGCTAGCTTTGGCCTTTCTGGATGACTGTGCAGCAGCACCCAGCTTTACATGAGTCTGGGAATTCCGGTCTGTGCGGCCAGCTCTCTAACCACTGGGCTATCTTCCCCAGCAATGCAGCCACAGATTTGGCAGAGGCTGGGAAGTGGGAGGGAGGAAGCACCCTGCCGTCCAGTGAGTGATGATCTTTTCCTCTGTCCCTTGCCCCTGACTGAGAGTTTGATTTCCAGTTGCCCAGGTCACTTCCCCTTTCTCCTTCTCTCAGAAGCACTTAGCCCGAAGCAGTGTGGTCTCAGTGGTCTCCGGGAAGGCTGAATCAGGGTGTCTGGACTCACTGTTGGCTCCAGGATTGGGGGCAGGGAGTGGGGGAGAAAACGAGTTCAGCTATCAAGAGCTAGTACCAGCAGCAGGTGTGGAGGCCATGTCCCCACAGCCTCCCTGACAAACTGGAGGCTGTGAGTAAAAAGATTAAGTTCCAAAGACAAAGCAGAAGGGGATGGGGGGGGGGGAGGCAGAGAAAAACCTCCCAGGGTTTGTTGTGTGCATGTGTGTGTGTGTGTGTGTGAGGGGGGGGCGTTGACACCTTATATTTTTGAGACAGGGTCTCCCACTAGGCTGCCTGGACAGTGAGTTCCTTCCTAGTGCGGGTTTACAGTCATGGCTGTTTTTTTTGCATGGGTGCTGAGCATCTGAACTCAAGTCACTCCTAAAGCGTCTCTGGTGTCCCCAGTTCCGCTATGGCAGGTGCAAAGCAAACCCTGGTCTGGCCAAAGCAAAGACCAGGATGGAAAGCCTTGGAGCCTCTGCTAACCCTGCAAGATCACTCTGCTTCTACACATACTCTAACCCTAACTTCCCTGAAAAGCTGCCAGCTCCAGGCCAACTGTGGCATCACTAACTGCTGTTTCTCTGGGGCAGAAGCTTTTTCCACTGCGATGAACTAACTGCAGGTGGGTGGAGATTCCAAGCTTCCAATGCCTTGGAAAGAGAGTGGCACCCAACCACAGACTAAACTGGAGAAACACTTCCTCACAGTACCCACAGCACACAGTGGAGACCTACTTGCTTGCATTAGGGAACTCAGCTGACCCAGACCTCCAGCTGAGACAGACACCCCCTCCCCCACGGACTGAAGGCCAAAACCAAAACAAACAAAACAGTAGTGATCGCCACACCCGTCAGTCCTGGCTGTTACTTTATGGTGTGATAAGGACTGAATCTGAGGTCTGGCACACGCTAGGCAAACACTCTGGACTGAGCTTTAAACTGTTGTAAGGCATGAATCTAAACAGGGGTCTCACTAGAACTGGTCAGTACACCTAGGCAGGGTGATGTGCCAGTGCCAGTTTGACCACGGTTCAGAATAAATCCACTCTGCTCCTCTGCTTCTTTCCTGTTGGCATTTACACAGGCCTGCCCGGCTAGTTGGCTGCCCGCCTCCTTGCCCAGCTCAGCACAGGCACAATGCTCTCCTGTGCCCCGCCCCCACCCCGCTCCGCCCCCACCCCAGGGCGTCATCACAACAACCGTCTGAACCTGGAAGGTGGCTGCACCTGCTCAGGGCTCGTGGCTTTCCTGCTAGGATTCGGAAGGGAGCCACCTGGATGCAGTACACGGCACAAACAAGTGATCTTTGTGTCTGGTAACTGGAGCTCAGTGACACACTCCACTCTCTGGTGACAAGTGGAGCAGCCCCGGGGGAGGGGTCAGCTGGCACATTGCACAGCCGTTCCCAAAGCCGTTTGTGAGGCTCAGGAACCCTGGCATCGAGGGAAGAAAGGAAGGTGATGTCTTAGGTGAGGTTGCCTTCAACACTATGGTGGACACGGCCTCTCGAAGGAAAACCTAGTTTGCTTTGCCAGTTAGTTCCTCCCTAGGTCAAAGGGTCTGGATTTGTCTGTGGGATTGTTAGGAATTAAGAATACATATCTGATGGTCTCCATCAAAAGAGCAAAAGAAAAACCTCTTTGCAAATACTTAATAAGAAGCTTTTTCTTTCTTCCAAAGTTCCCTATCCTGCCGAATGTTTTCCTGCTGTAATCTTACAGTCAGTCCCTTGTATGTGGGGCTAAGGAAACCCCAACTGCACCCATGGCTCCAGCCACAGGGTTCAGGGCAAGTATGCAGGGCACCCAGCCGTTACCAGTCCCAGTTACCACAGGTACCACATCCTGAGTCAAGCATCTCCCAGCACACTGCAGGCTAAGGCAGGGGGACAATGGCTTGAGGCCAGCCTGGGCTACATAGTGAGACCTTGCCTCAAAAGAAGAAAAAAAAAAAAAAAGCAAACACACACAAAGCCTTTTAAGTGGAAAGAAATACACCAAGGGTTAATGGCACTTCTCCTTGGTCAAGGGTGTAGGAGGACATTTTATCTACGATTTGCTCGTTTTTATAGTGCTGGGACCCAAACCAGGACTCTGTATTTACTCTACCACAGAATCTCATCCTCAACCTGTGAAACTTTTATTTTATTTCAGTGTGTGTGTTCTCAGAAGGGGCTCACAGTGTAGCCCAGGCTAGCCTGGAATTCATTATAAAGCTCAGACTGGCCTAAACTCCTGACAACCCTCAACTTCCCCAATAAGGGGATTACCAATGCAAGCCAGTGTTATTGTGAACACGGTACATAGATATGTGTGGGCCAGGATAGAAACACACACCGAGGGAAGCACGCCCCTCACTCTAGAGTCTGGTTGAGGCCATGCTCCCTCTCCAGCTGAGAAATGAGGATTCCAGGAGCTGGGAAGGGATGTCTCAACAGTTAAAACTCACTTACTCAAGTTCAGCTCACAATTGCCTCTAACTCCAGCTCTCTGTGGACACCTGCAGTCGGTCTCTCTCTCTCTCTCTCTCTCTCTCTCTCTCTCTCTCTCTCTCTCACACACACACACACACACACACACACACACACACACACTCAGTAAGAAGCTTACCCCATAGAGACAATGCTCCTTTTATACAGAGAGGACTGTTAAGATGCAGGTGCTAAGTATCTGAGCCTGCGTGGCCTCCAGTGTAGTCTTACTCCTTTCCCAGGCATTTTCTCGGAGTTCCATAAAACAAGCCTAACCCCTTGTTCGTAGTAAAAAGACATCTTACCTTCCCCCTGCAGCCCTTGACCCTAGGGTCTTCCTCTATTAGCGGTGGACCCTATTCAAGCCACAGGAGCCACCCTGTGATCACATGTGGAGAATTCTGGGAGAGGACTCAGAGAGTGAGCTGCCAGAGAGACGCATGTAGCTACCAGGAACGTAGGATGACTGAGCATTCTCCAGTAAGATAATGTCATGTGGAGATACACAGATTAATAGTTATGTGTTAGTAATCAAGAGAGGGCTAGAAAAGAAGAAGCCTGAGCCATCGGACAAACAGCTTATAATTAATATAAGCCTCTGTGTTTTTATTTGGGACTAAAAGGCTGAGGGACCAGGGGGGATAGAAACTTTTGTTCACAGAGCCCTGTCCATGGTGACTGTAAGACACTGAACTGCAACTTTTCCCGTCAGATCCACACCCAGGCTCTCAGCTTGAGTTAGCCTTCTTCCTTGGGGGCTCTTTCTGTTATGCCTCGATCAAACTATGACACAACTCTCTTAATAAACTCCAGCTCTGCTTCAGACATTTCTAGAGAACGAGAGGATCTGTCTTTACTTGAGCAGAGGTCCCTAAAAGATAAGGGAACTCTTCAGGCTTTTGGTGGCAGCATGGTTTGATGTCTATCTGCACCATCTCTGATACTTTGTAATCAGAAGAAAATGTTAACTTTTCCAAGTAGTAAAACAAGCACACTCATTACCTGTTGGGAGGGTGGGCTCCTCCTTGGATTTTTCTGATAGAAGAAGGGTCATCTCTCTACTAACTTTCCTCATCACCTCTTGGATCATATGAATCTCTAAACTTTCCAGAAGTTTCTGGAGCTGGAATAAGCATACATTGAGATGAAAAGCATCACTATGCAATTTAGTTATCTACTGGGCTCCCAAGTTCAATACCAACAGGCAGGCTTCTGGTTTGTTCTCTCCCTCAGCTCCGGTCTCTGGGAAGAATGCCTTTTGGGATCTCAAGTTCTTCTGGGGGATCAATACATATCTCTTTTCTACCACATTTTTTTTTTAATGGCCCTCACCCTGATCGCTTAACTATAACCTCTCCATATCCTACAAAACTCTGAAGTGACCTCATGCCTTTTGACGATCTCTAAATGACACCAGGAATCTCATGAGCCAATTTACATGCCGAGGAGGACTTTATGAGAAGACGTAAAGCTGATACACGAAGATGGCTCGCTCCAATAGCTATGAGCTCCACTCCAGCACGATGCTTGTGGAGCCTATGCTCCCCTGTGGGAGGAACTCAGGGACTCCGGAAGAGCCAGGGTTCTGGAGCACAGGCAGTGTGCTTGGCTCAGAGGCACGCACGGGGTTCACACCGACATTCCCATTGCTTGATGGCTTCGCTGCTCGGACAGCCATGACCCTGCGTCCCCTGTTCAAGCTGGGCAATGGCTGGTGAAGATTCGCGAGTACACTACCCGAGCCACTGAAAAACTGTACTTTCTTCCTGAGACAAACCACTTTGAAATGCTCTGTTCACTATTTCATTGTGTACCAGCTGGATTTTATGTTTAGGATAGTGTTAGTTATACTTCTTATGAGGGCATATGAGTTTGAGGGCAATGAAAATAATGGGACTTAGATTTACAGGCTGGAGACATTGGGGGTTACTTCTTTGCTTACTCCCCCCCCCCATACACCCTTAAGAGCGCCCCTCCCCCATGCCAGCTTGGAGAAAACACCATTTGTGTTTATTGTTTTACCCACCAGGGCAGCAAGGCAGCTTTTCAAAGGCAAACTAAAGAGTGCTCTGTGTACCTGCTGGGCTTTTATTTCAATTTCTGAGGCTCCCTTTGGAGGAAGAATACATTGGCTTCTTATGATAAGTCCTTCAAATTCATCTTCTTTGCCCACCCGCCTGGCTAGCGCCTTCATGCTGGGGTAGAAAATGTCAGCTCTAAGAAATAAAAGAGACAGAAACCACCAAATAAACCTGTTTCCTCTCTGCCCTTCCCTTTCAGTTTCCTGTGACCCAACCCCTGCAGGGACACATCAGCAACGGAGTCGGCCACTCCTTTAGTCAATGTTTGATACCCAGGCCTTTTTCTGCCGAGTACACACAACTTCTGTCTTTATGACATCTCATTTCTAGTGAACCTGACTCAGTAACTTCCGGGATGGACGATTCTGGATGTGCCAAAGAGAAGGTCTGTGAGGTCTGGGGAGTCGGCCTGGACTTACTGAGAAGCAGACACATGGCAGGGACAGTACGCCTTTCCTGCCAGCTAAGCCATCCCAGATGAGGTGTGTAGCCAAAGTCTGGGTAACCTTGTGGACCTAAGGCCCTAGGCCACGTGTGCCACGCCACCCTCTGGCTGTAATACCTCAAGCATCCAGGCTTAGCCTGGGGGGTTGGGGGTGGGAGGCTATGGTGTCCCAAGCAGCTGCAATGGTCTACCCTATGAGCTAAAAAGCTCACTGTCAGCATTGTGGGGTCGCCTGCTTCACTTAAGTTCCAAGTGACAGCAGGGTCTAGGGAGTCAGTGATGGTTCAGGCCAGTTCAGTAGAGTCTAGTTCTTCCCCACAGCTCATGCGGGATACATTTTCCTTACACCTCTGCCGCAGAGACTGTTCCTAGCTGACCCAGTGGAGCTGGGCGCCCTGAGAATCTCTCCTGACTCTCAGTGAAGAAGGTGAAACCCTCGGACCCAGGCTCTAACCACTGACACACGTTGCACAATGTTAATTTAAGGTGTGTTACTTTTGTTTATGCTCCGGGACATTTGTTTAATAATGCAAAGATGCGTTTGATTTAATAAAAGTCAGCTGTGGTCAGGAGGCGGCAGCAACTAGCTGACAGGAAGTTGTAGGGAGGAGCCAGGTGGAGAAGGTTTATAAGGAGGTGGGAGGGTTCCTAGGTGAGCTGCTTGCTATTCAGCCTTTCTGGGGAGCAGGATTCTATCTCAACCTTTGAGTCCTGGGTTCTTTAGCGGAACTTCGGCTCTTTTGGCTTAGCGTGATAGGGTAGCCATAGCTTTAAAGGTAACAGAACAGTTAAAAAGGAAAAAAAAAAAAAAAAAAAAAAAAGACAAGTTTTTTGTTGGCTGTTTTTGTCTCAGCAGTACTCACTCATAGAGCTCTGAGAACTGTTTGTGGAGGGGGGCAGAATTGATCTCCTGGCCTTGAAGCTTGAGTCGGCCCCAGTGTTCCTTCAACACCTCCAGCTGCTTCCACAGGACGAGGAAGGACTTCAGCAGAGCGAGGGGCATTGCTACCTCACAAGGGCCCTCCAACGGCGAGGCCTCTGGGTGACTTTCCAACTGACCTGGGCAGAGTCCCAGACGTGCAGACCAACCTGGCTGAAAACGTGACAGAGACAGAAATCCTCTATCAACCGTGGTTTAAGACGGGATACGTTTTTATATGCACCCATGCAAAGTAACATCCAGGAGAAATGGCTTGTAGGTCTGTAGCGTGCAGACTGTTGTGGAATAACCTTTTGTGCATGTAAAGATGTATCACTAGGTTGGTTTAATGAAAAGATGAACTGCCAAAAGCTAGGCGGGATTTTCCAGGGCAGAGAGAAAGCTGGGGAGAAGGGCAGAGTCACGAGAAGGGCGGGGTCATGAGGAGGAAGCCAGCCAGACTCAAGAGTCACACACATAAGATGGGACAGAGGTAAAAGCCACATGGTAGAACACAGATTAATAAAAATATGGGTAGCCAGGCTGTGGTGGCACACGCCTTTAATCCCAGCACTCGGGAGGCAGAGACAGGCAGGTCTCCGAGTTCAAGGCCAGCCTGGTCTACAGAGCAAGTTCCAGGACAGCCAGTGTTAGGATAAAGCGTGTGGCAAACCTTGGTGGATTCCATGGTGGGTGAGGTTGACCAATGCAGGGGACAAACACGCCAGGCAGACAGCTTAAGTGAGAAGTTCTATTAGAAATGGAAAGTGGGGGGGGGGGAGGGACAGAGAGAGGACAGAAGAGAAGAGGGAGACAGGAAAAGCCCTGTCGGCTCCAGGGGAGCAGGGGGGGACAGAGAGCGTAAATGGGCGGGGTCTGTCTTTTAAAGGGTCCTTTGCACCTGCGTGCTAACTATGCAATCATGGACCCCTGGGCTGACCAGGGTACTGCCTGAGTGCATTCTGCCAAGTGACAAAGGCAGGCCAGCATAATGCCTGAACCCTCACAGCCAGGACTGTTACACAGAGAAACCCTGTCTCAAAAAAACCAAATATGTATGTATGTATGTATGTATATGTGTGTGTGTGTGTGTGTGTGTGTGTGTATGTATGTATGTATGTATGTATGTATGTATGTGTAACAAATATGTGTTAAGTTGTAAGAGCTAGTTAGAAACAAGCCTAAACTATCAGCTGGGCATTTATAATCAATAAGTCTCTGTGTGGTTATTTGGGAGCCAGATGGTGGGACAGAAAATTGTGCCTACGGATAACTGAATCTCCAAGCAGACAGGATAGAAACAGCTCTGTCTGCTTCCTGTTTGCATTTTGAACCGTGGGATTCTATATTCTATTTTTAGCTGTCCAAGATACGGTCTCATGTAGCAGGCCTCAGACTCAGTCGTGTTGCCGAGGACAGCCTTGAACTCTTGAACATCCTGCTTCCATCTCCCAAGTATGGGACTCCACGCTTGGCTTTGAGCCCCAACCTTCAAACACCAGAATCTTCCAAAAGAGAAAAAAGAGAGGCAAGGAGAGAAAGTGTGTAACCATCCCTACCTCCGGTTCCAGGGGGTCTGAAGCCTTCCCATCTCTGTTACATACATACATACAGGCAAACACTCAAGCTGTAATGTAACTTTCCTGTGGGGATTTTACCCATTTTATGAATCAGAAAGCAGAACTTGGGTTCACCCCACCAGCTGACAACTACCTGTAAGTGCAGCTCGGGGGAATTTGATACCTTCTATTCTTTAAACGCAAAATGGAGAACGTTCTGTTTGAATTTACTGTTCCACACTCAAATTTACTTCAAGTAATCCGTCAAGACAGGGTCTTGGTGACCCTGGATCACCTGGCACCCTTTGCAAGGCAGACTGGTCACAAGTGTGTGACGAGGCTCCTGCCTCAGCCTTCAGCTGCCCTTCGAAATTGGGGGTTGTTCATTCCTTCACGGATGTTTCCTTAGATGAGTATTTCCCTGCTGGATGTGGAAGAAATGCAGCTTCAGGCCAGCCAGTGAGTGCTAGGAAGCCCAAAGACGGGGTGTGTGTGTGTGTGTGTGTGTGTGTGTGTGTGTGTGTGTGTGTGTGTGCTGAGTTCAGCTGCTTCCTGGCACAACAGGGAAGTTTTGTTTTGCAAGTCAGATGGCAACTCCTGTGGCCTAGAACTGCAGAACCAGAAACTGGAAGAGTGACCTGGTGTAATTGGAGCCTACATCGGTGTGACTCTCACAGCTAAGGTGTGTCTGCCTGAGAGAGAGCCTGTCAGAGACAGTCGGGAAGAACTGACATCCAGGCCTTGGGGAGTGAGGTGTCCGCAGATGGCGAGAAACCCCTCAGCTGTGCAGCTGGCAAACAGTACATGCGCCTCCAGATGTCTTTCCAGATGTCTTTTCTTTTTTTAATCTTCAGAGCCCTTTCATCAAATGAAATCTGACCCATCAAGACCAAGAAGAATGCCGTAGAGGGGGGCAGCCCACATGCCACATGATTGGTCCCCACCGCTAAAAAAATCACCGCCGTAGAGGAAACGTGGGCCACAACTGTGGAGACTCTGAGTCAATCTGTCGCTGAGGGTTTAGGAGACCGTGACCCTGAGAGATCCGGATACATGTGCCACAGCTGCCCTAGGCACTCAGGGGCTTAGCTCAGGGTGGTAAAGATTCTAGTGTTTCCTGCTCCTATAAATAGCTAGATACTTGGAATTGAAACTAGATCCCAGGTCAGGGGTGCTGCTCAGTGGTGAAGTTGTGTCTGCTTGAAGCCCTAGGCTTGAGCTCAACCGTACTCACATCACAAAGTAAAACCAATCAAAATAAAGTCATTAAGTCAGACTTACTTCTTAATGTGTCTGCATTAAGGGTAGCTACCTCTAAACATTATATTTTTAAATCAACCTTTTTTTTTTTTTTTTTAAACTCGGAAATTAACTGGGTGGCAGTGGCGCATGCCTTTAATCCCAGCACTCAGGCAGTAGAGGCAGGTGGGTCTGAGTTCCAGGCCAGCCTGGTCTACAGAGGGAGTTCCAGGACAGCCAGGGAAACACACAGAGACCCTGTCTTGAAAAACCAAAGCCCAAAACATAAACCTTGGATATTAAATTCTCTCTCTCTCTCTTTCTGTCTGTCTGTCTGCCCATAATATAGCCAGAACAAAGTCTGTATGTCTCAGTGAACTTCTATCCAGTCTGAGTAGCCATTCCAAAAGCTGTGAAGTTCCACACTGGCTTTTAAATTTCCCTAATGAGTATTTTATGCACTTATTCGCCACTAAAACTGAAAAATCCACGACTGAGTTGGAACTAGGAAAACAATAAAAGTAAGAGAGATGACCACAGTGTTAGAGAGGTCGCTGGGAAAGAGGACAGTCACCCACTATTAGTGGGCATGCAAACCCCACTAAGCTCCAAACCCCCAAAGCAGAATTTCCACGGGATCCAGCTGGCATTTCCTCAAAGGACTGTACATCCCACTGCAGAGGTGAGATCCACGCTCGCCTATGTTTGTTGCTGCTCTGCTGGCATAACAAGGAAATTCAATTCTACTCAATGCTCATCGGTGCATGAATGGGTAAGGGAATGTGGTACAAGTACAGAATAAGTAGAATTATTCAGTGTGCAGAAAGTGGATGGAACTGGGAAAGATTTTAAAGTCAGGCAGGCTCAGGAAGGCTAGCATGATGCTCATGTTGTCAGGCCGTCTCCTTTTTACATATGAGTATCTATGTGGAGGGTAGGAGGGCACATGCCTGGACGCCAGAAGGGTTCATGAGAGGGGAAAGGAAACTTTCAGCAGGAAGTCTGCCTACCGTCAAACCTCGGGAGCTCATGTCTGCGCTGTAGTAGGGACCCCCGAGAGCCAAGGAAAAGAAAGACAACAGCCACGCCGGCCATTAGTGTGCTTGAGTGGCAAGTGGTAAGCAGTAGGCTTCTAGAAAACTGAGGTCTGATGAGGAGGCGCTTCCAGGTTTCCAGTCCACGAAGGGATGTTTGGAGTTCTTTTACCCTGTGGGGAATGATCCCTGTACCCCAAACTTGAGAAGATTACGTCGAGGAGACACTGCCAGTCTAGCACCCCTAGGCTAGCTGAGGTTCTCACCTGGGTCTTCTGGCATGACTCCAGTGCTAAAATAAATACCCCGCAAGGGAAGCTCAAGCTGAGCATCTGCCTTGGGAGCATCTGTGGACTCCCTCCAGCCTTTGCTCTATTTTAAACACAACACAAATGGAAGGCAGGGCAGGCGGGCTGGGCTATGTAGCAGGACCCCACCTCAAAAGCATTTTAAAGTTAAAAGAAACATTGTTAATTGGCCAAGAGTGATGGCACAGACCTTTAACCCCAGCATTCAGGAGGCGGGGGGGGGGGGGGGGGGGGGTTCACCTGTGTGGGTTCAAGGCCAGCCTGGTCTATATAGCAAGTTCCAGGTAAGCCAAGGCTGCACAGAGCAGAGGTTCTCAGCCTTCCTAATGCTGTGACCCTTTAATACAGTTCCTCATGCTGTGGTGACTCCAACCATAAGGTTTTAATTGCTACTTCATAACCATAATTTTGCTACTGTTATGAATCATAGTGTAAATATTTGTGACTTCTGGATGGTCTTAGGTGACCCCTGTGAAAGGGTCATTCAACCCTCCCAAAGGGGTCACAGCCCACAGGTTGAGAACCACGGACACGAGAGCCTGTCTCAAAAGCAAACAAAGAACTGTTTTAATTATACATGTGTACGTGCGTCTCTATCTGCAGGTGCCTGAGGAGGCCAGAAGAAGGAGCTGGGCCCTGGAGCAGGAGTTACAGGTGGTTGAGAGTCACCTCCTACGGGTGGGTGCTGGGAACAGAGCTCTGGGCCTCTGCAAGACGAGCAAGGGCTCCTAACAACTGAGCCATCTCTCCGCCCTCCCCTACTACCTTGTGGCGGCTGCATAGTCCTGGCATCCACTGGGAGCAGCTAGCTGTGGGCACGATAGCCCTCTAGTCTGCCTTCCAAAAGAGGAAAGTCTTTCGGATAAGGTAGCACTGGCCAGTCCTGCAGCCCATTTGCTAAGCATACCTGTGTGTTGTCCTGTGTGGCTTGCTGTTCAGGAGAACCCTCCGAGATCACGTGACAGCCACTCAGAAGTACGTCCTCCATTAGTGCCTGCACACCCACCAGCTCCCCATGGGCCACTTGGCGGTCACGGTCACTCAGCCCGCAAAGACACATCTAGAAACAAACAGAAATACTTTCCCACTTTGAAGGGGCCCATGTATCCTTTATACGTGGTTTTGAAGAAAAATATTAAATGCAACTATGCTTATAACCCTCACTCTCTCAACTAACAAAGAAAAAATTCCCCCCAAAATCAGAATACTATTTCTAGCTTAAAGTCCTTCTTGAATGCGTTTGGCCTCTGTGTAAAAGTAGCAAAACTCCCAACCTTACAGCTGCTATGACAAACATGTGGTGGAATCAGTTTCCTTTAAAAGTACAGATTTGTACACAGCCGAGCCCCGGGGAAAAACCAGAAGAAAGATCCTAAATGTGAATTGCTATTCTCTGTTTTTGTTTTGTTTTAAACCCTCTTGCTTTACTGTTAAAATATCTTTTTACTCATGGAGGATTTTAAACATACACAAATGCAAACTAATTCCATCCATCAGTATATAGCCAGTCTTGCCTCACCCCAACTCTCCACTTCATATTTTGAAGGCAAGTTATAGTTAAATTTTTGTCTTGGCTTTAACACACACACACACACACATACACACACACACAGAAAGTTAAATATATTGATGTTTCCTTAACCACGAGAAAACATAATTTTTTCAAAACAATTTAAATAATTTACAGAAGCATCATAATAAATAGAACAATTAAAGAAAATTCTCTCCTCAGTTCTGCTTAAGCGATTCCCACGCCAGGCCAGGTGTCCTACGCCTCTGAGTATTGTCAGTTGTCAGTTTCTCTAAGAGGCTCAGATGGTGACTCCTCTAGGTCACTGCTGTCCTGGGGACTGCAGCTGAGTCTACAGCAAAGGCCAGCAGCTGCTGAGAGCATGCTTTTTCCACAATAAGAAAACATGACTCACCTGGCAACCTCGGGTTACAGCTAGCTTCACAACTAAACAGCCATGTGTCTGACAACTCACCACTGGCTAACACATGAACCTGGTGAAGACCTGCTTTGGAGCCTGTGTTCAGTTCTCTCCAACAAGTGGGAAGACAGATCTACCTGCATATCATACTCTAAGGTGTTTGGGATGCTGCTCATAACTGGAAAAGGTCCCCCGTCTTCCAGGAGCGCCCTCCACGGGAACATTGTAAACGCCTGAATGAAACAAACGACAGACAGGACAATGGTCTCATGCATCCCTCAGATGAAGGCATGCATGAGCAAGATTTCTGCATCCACCTCCAGAGCCCCCTCAGATGGTTCATTTATTGTACTTTCTCTCTGGAGCATGCCCGGTGACACAGACGGAGGAGCAGCAGCCTTACTACTGAGATGGTCTTGGTATAACCAGGAGGCGCCTCGTGAGGAAGGCTGAGGGCCACTGAGCTGGACAGCGAGACCCTGTCTCAAGTGGAACAAAACAAAGGAAGCTCTAGAATAATGCGATACCAAGAGGGTAAACTCAGGTAAATGCGGTACATGTTAGAGACCGTCCAAAGTCCCTTCCTCACCACTGCTCCAACTGTAGGTGTCACCTCAGGCCATTGCTACAAGTGGTGTAGATGACCCCGTCTTCTCTGCGTTACAGAACCAAGGACGTTCTATTTCTTAGGACACCATGTAAACCCTGGACGCAGTGGGGTCCCTCCCCCCCATTCTATACTTCTAGACCTGGTTCCTAGGCTTTCCTCGACACACTGGTGTTTGTAGCAGTGAGCCTGATACCCACGCGCGCCTAATCCAAGCCAACATCCAAAGTCATCAGCAGGCCCAGTGCCACGGCCGGCTCCGTCCTGTGGGTCTAAAAGAGGGTGAGGATTGGACCAAAAGTCACTGACATTTCACATGGAAGCAGGGGCCCTGCCTGAGGTAAATGATGAGTCATTTGTAATGTTTAAGTAGGAGCATTGCACAGTGATTTCAAAGCTATGTCCACGAACTCTTTCCATTAGGCTATAGGGTTTAGTGCTTAGGGCTGGAGATACGCCTGTAATCATAACATTCGGGAGTGCAGACAGGAGAGATAGGTGTTCAAGGTCATGTTTGGCTACTTAATAGATCAACTTGGACTACGTGACACTCTCTATCCAGAGAGAGAGAGAGAGAGCTTATTGGGTGAAGGAGCTTATCACCAGGTCTGATGACCTGAGTTTGACCCCGGATCTGGATGGTGGAAGGAAAGAACTGACCCTTGCAAGTTGTCTTATGACCTTACGCATGCGTGCACACACACACACACACACACACACACACACACAGAGAGAGAGAGAGAGAGAGAGAGGGATAATATAAAACAAGCTAAACTGAGGTGTGCAGAAGGAGGTGACTTCTTTGACCCTTTGAACATGGCTGCACTTAATGGATTACTGTCCGTGACTGGACCGTGGCAGAAGCCAGGGTGTCAGCTCTGAAGCCGGTCATGGGAAGGCCAAGACTTCTACCTCGGGTTCCCCCTCTTGCTCTGGGGAGCCATTTTCCATGTTGTGAGGAAGCCCAGTAGTGAAGACCGAGGGAGGGAACAACCTTGGATGAGGATCTCCTGACAGCCGGATGAAGGAGGCTGCAAACTTCTGCAGTCGTGCTCTGAGATGACCTTCAGCCTCCAGAGAACCCTGAGCCGGGCACGTTGTACCTTGCCTGTTCTCAGCCTCCCGCCTCTCAGGACCCGGGGGCGACAATGGACACTTACTGGCGTGTGTTTGTGCAGCAGAAAGGCAACAAGCTTTGGGAGCCTGACGGTGCCCTGACTCTCAGCGGTCTCATCTCTGGCTTCCCTGAACTTTGACCTCTGTAGAGCTGGTTAATGCGCATCATAATTGCTAGGGTTACATTTGACAACACAGGTTGTAACCAGGGCAATTCAAAGCCCAGGGCCTGACCTGACCTATTTATGCATTGCAATTGCTTCACTATTTATTGACTAGAAAAGATCAAGCCTTTGGGGGTGTTTTGGTTTGTTTTCCCTGACAGCTGTGTGCATCAGGCTGTTGCTCCCAATCATCCCATTGAACATTCCCAGAGAAGACCCTGCCTGGGACTAAGGCCTGGTCCCAAGTCCCCATGGCGCCCTGTGTGAGTGACAGAAGGCCAGTGAAGACGGAGGGCCACTGAAGTGTGAAGACCCTGAAAAACGGAAACCAAAGGGAAACGAAGGGTCAACACTCCTGTACCCACACAACACTCCGGGAACTCACCTGGAGGCTCCTTGGGTCCAGCGGCTGGGGCAGGCTGAACTGTGAAGAAAAGATGCTCCTCCTGAGACAGTTGCTCAGCGGTGGCAAACCATGGCACACACCTTCTGCGACAGACTGGTGGGCAGGAGCATTTCCTGCTGCCAAAAATGTCCTGTCAAAATATGGTGAGACTTTCTGTTTAGTGTGGTTACTTACGCCTTCAAAGCCTAGAACTCCCTTCAAACTTTCTGTGGCAAGAGAATATTTTGAAAGAGGAACAAGGTTTCTCCCTCAACCACAGCACCCAAGCTTCCCTTCCCTCTCTCACGTCTATAGGTGATTTATCAATGGGAGAAATTGATACTTTCTATCAAGAGAGTATTTTGGTAGGAGTGTCCGGAAGGTGCAAAGTTCAGAAGGCACTGGGTATACGGGGTTGTTGGACACCTAAAGTGCAGTTCTTCTGAATGAGGGATTGAGTTTTAAGTTTTACTTAATTTTTACTCCTCCTCACTTGAACTAACCAGCCACCCTGGGCTACCAAACCGGGCACCAATCACATCAATAGGTCCAGAACAAAGACCTCAGCTGTCTGCTCAACTCTTTTAGTTAACAGCTGAAGTAACAGTTCGAATCTATAAAAACCAAAGTTTAGGTTAAGTAAGATCTAGGGGTATGAAAGAAAAACACATTTGTTTTGCTGAAACAAAATTTTGGCTTTCTACATCGAGAACCACAAACCCCGAAGACAAGAGCATAAGATTTATAATGTCAGCAAGAACGAGGGGTGTGTGGAATAATTCAGGGCAGTTTCCTGCCCCAAAGGAAAGAAGATTAGCAAGGAAGCACAGTTTCTAGACGTCAGCTAGCCGTCTTTATTGTATGAAGGGTGCCTAAGAAAAGTGCTAAGGCAGGGTAATTTGGGAGAGAGTATCCCCAGAAGTGATGTCTTCCGTGGAGACCAACTCTCCCCGGCAGCAGGAGGAAAGGAGACTTGCCAGGCTGAAGGAAATGCAGCTGATGGAACTGAGGAGGCTAGCAGAGGCTGGCATGTCAGAGACTTGGGAGTGCCTGAGCTCCATCAGTGAATGTCCATGTGTGTGTGTGGGGGGGGGGGGGGTGGAACAGGAAACCAACCATGAGAGGTGGGACCTGACAGCTCACGGAAGAGGAGAGTGAAGTGACCCCTCCTCTCTAACTTCCAGCACCACCCTTTAGCAAGGTTAGAGCTCAGGCTGCCTCAGAGAAGAAAGAACAAGGGAGGAGGGTGTGGTGTGAGCCCTAAAACTAAGGTCCAGTGTTCGGAGCTGCCTAGACGCCTGGCAGTCTAACCACAGCTTCTCCGTTCTCCCAGGATAAGGTCCCTGTGTCCACCCACGCTCCTTATCAAGGAGAGCTCTTTCCCTGTCCCTGAGCAACAGCTGTTTCCTGCCAGACCTTGGAGCTAGGCAAACAAACTGATCATGTGCCCCCTGCCTGGTAACCTGGGAGGAGCACACCACACCCTCTTATAGTCTCTGTCTCTGCGTGTTCACTGGATGTGGCCTGATGTGGCCTCTCCTTCCTGGGGAGACACAGACTAACAAACTGCAATCGATCTTATCCTGTCCAGTATTTGGTGCCATCTGTTCAGCCATCACAAGCCCCAGAGCAGAATCTTTTCCCCTCACCAATAGTGTGAATAGGAGGCAACTGAAATAACTAACTGGCTTGGAATTCCAGGGTGACCACTTTTAACCATGTGTGACTCAATGGTGTGGCATTGGAGAGGGAAGTAGTTTTGCCATCAGCAGAAGTAGGGACCTATGAACCTAATAGTGGAACACTTGGAGGGTGAATAAAACATGCGTGTGTGTGTGTGTGTGTGTGTGTGTGTGTGTGTGTACACCTGCACGTGCATGTGCCTGTGTGTGTGTGTGCATGTGTGCATTGTGTGCTCATGCCTGCATGTGTGTGTGTGCCTGTGTGTGTGTGTATGTCTGTGTGTATACACCTGCACATGCCTGTGTGTGTATGTATACATGTGTGTACATGTGTGTATTTTGTGCCCATGCCTGTGTGTGTGTACATGTGTGTACGCTCTTGAGTGTGTGTTGACACTGAACATGCTAAGCATGCACTCTACCACTGAGCTAACCCCTAGCTCCATACTCTATTTAGGATGGAGGTTGGGGCTGCCTAAAGGCTACATAAACTTCCCCCTATTTCCTTTAGCTTCCATGTGATTCCTCAGTGGGTCCTGCCAGGGAAAGCACAGCATAGCAGGCGCAGCAGTGATATAGCGTGTCAGGAATCTTCCCAGTACTGAGCCGGGGACTGCCTGAAGTACAATGACAAACCTCACACGGGCCACCACCTCCATCCACACAGAGCCCAGTTCAACAGAAATGCTCCCTCTTAATTGTCCAAGGTCTCTCTATGCATTTGGTACATAGTTAAAATGACGGCATCAGAAAGCAGGCCGTTTGAACAGAAACACTTCAGTGCAGTCAGGAACACAGAAGCAGAGCGAGTGAGGACAGCCTCTTCCGTTGCGTGCTCCTATTGCTGCCTCGCACGCATCTCTACCTCCCCTCCCCTCCCCTCCTCCCTCCTTCAGGGGCCATCTTTGTTCACTCTTTGACACGCTCTCTCTCTCGATTTCTTTTGAAGGTTTATTTTTGAGACTATTCTGTGTATGTTGCAGGGGAGAGGGTATGTACATGTGAATGCTGGAAGCTGGGGTCCAGAGCTGTAACAGGTGGGTGGGTGTGAGCCACCTGCCATGGGTGCTGGGACCTGAACTCTGACCCTACGCAGGAACAAAACATGCTCTTAACTGCTGAGCCATCTCTCCCAGCCCTGATGTGCTGTTTCCTTATAAAGTTTGGGAAGAATTTTGGAACAAACAGTTACCAAAGTGGCTACAATTCTTGGAAAAATTTTAGAGCCCCACTAAGGAACCAAGGTGTTGTGTAATGTTGCCCTCTGCTAGGGCATGACCACTGCCTTCTTGAATTCTTAGTAGCAGTGATTACAAGCAGAAGACCAACACAAGACCAGGCCCATGACCTTTCAGTCATGGTACAGAGGGGCTCATGAGGCAACAGCCCTCTCTCAGTGTATGTAAGTGGTAAACAGTTGTTTGGGGGCATGGTAAGACAGGACAGCTGGTTTTTGATGGTGTGGCTTCCTGTGCCCCTGTAGGCATCACTTTACCCATGCATAAGTGAACTCATTAGCTCGCCAAGCTACAATTGGTGGGATTGTTTCTTGCGTCTGTAAGTCTGTGCTCCATCTGAGGTGGACAGCATTTGCCTCCAAGGAAAAGCTAACAGATCACAAGCCTACCTCCTTCCCCGAGTCCCCAATTCCTCATCTGCATGCCATATGCTGTGAAACAGAGATGGTTTAAACACAAAGATCCATGTGTTAGAAGTGTATCAGGGGACTGCAGTGTAATTATTAAAAGGGCCCACAGGAACATAACAACTGTGATGGACAATCTTCATTGTTAGCTTGATTGACTTAGATTTACCTAGGAGACATACAACTGGGTGTGTCTGGAGAGGTTAAATTAAGAATGTGGGTAGCACCATCTGGTGGGCTGAGTGTAGCTGGAAGCTTTTATTCATTCCACCTGGTACTGCAGTCACGGCCAATGGCTCAGGCACACCAGTAACTAGCTCTCACATTTAAAGTAACCGTTTCTATTAACCTAGGTATCACCATGAAGCCGTGCCTTACTTATAACGCTCTGGCGCCTTCCTCAGGCGGCTACACGGCGTCTCCTTGACTCAGCTTTCTTTCTCTCTGTATCTGTGTTTGGATTTCCCACATAGCTATATTCTGCCTGGCTATTGGCCAAATCAGCTTCTTTATCAATCAATGGTAATAAAACGTATTCACAGCTTACGGAGGGGCATCCCACACCAGCTGAATAAAACAGGAAGCGGATGAAACAAGGAAAGGGCCGGCACGTGTCTCCTGCTCCCTCACACCCCAGCTTCCATGCTTCTCTGGCCATGACAAACTACACCCTTACACTTGAAAGACAAAAAAGTAAAGTTAAGGACAGACTAACCTGGAAAGCTAACCCAGACCAATATCTGTTCCATATGCTAACTTCCCCTCACAAGGCCCTGAGATAACAGGATACCAAGAATTCACACTGCCCCTCCTTTCCGTGAGTCAGCAGGTGGTGAATAGGGTCCTTAGGAAACAAAGAGATAGCTGTACCTCCGGATTGCCCAGACAAAATTAATTAGCACACCCTGAGGCCCTAAGGTCTGTTGACCCTAATAGCAAGACTATCCGGCCTCAAAGGGTCATGCACTCAATGGACAGAGAGGGTCCCACCCCCTCCCTAAGCTTGTGGGTTTTGCCTTTAAAGACACCTGTGCCCCGGGGGATGGGGCTTCTCTCTGGCCTGCATGCTGGAGGAGCCCGTTTGCTCAAACGTTTCCTGTTCATTAAAGCCTCTTGCGTGTTGCAGCAACTGGACTGGCCATTGAGTTCTTGGGGGAACCGACCGAAACTGGGAGACTCCTCATTCTGAGGGTCTTACACACTGTGAGCCCAAGTGAGTCTCTCTGTGTTGAGTGATTTTTGCCAGAGCAATGAAAAACAAACGAATACCCTTCTAGCACCAGATCTTCTTTTCCTTCTTCCCTCTCCGTTTGAGACTTTTCTCCCAAACATCTGTTACTATGCTGGACAATTTTATGTTAACCTTGCATGAGCCAGTCATTTGGGAAGAGGGAACCATTAAGAAGATGCCCACCCCCAGCAGACTGTCCTCTGGGAAAGCCTGGGGTACGGTTTATTTGACTGATGATTGATGTGGGAGGGTCCAGCTCTCGGTGGGTGGGGCCATCCCTGGACTGTCGTCCTGGGCTCTATAAGAAAGCAGACAGAGTAAGCCAGGGGAGCAAGCCAGTAAGCAGCACCCTCCATGGCCTCTGCATCAGTTCCTGCCTCCAGGTTCCTGCCTGGAGTTCCTGTCCTGGCCTCCCTGGATGATGGGCTACAAACTGTAAGCTGAAGTTAACCCTTTCCTCCCTAGCTGCTTTTGGTCACGATGCTTCATGAAATCATGACTAAGACTATTGTTTTCCTATTTTATTCATTCTTTTTGTTGTTATTTTGTTTTGAAATAGGATCCGCGACTGCTCAGGCTGGCTTTGAACTCACTGTGTATGGAATTTCTGATCCTTCTATTTCTTCCTCCCAAGTTCTGAGGTCACAGGTTTACACTACCTCACCTGACTTATTTGTTGTGGGAGACATTGTCTTCCTATGTAGCTCTGGCTATTCTGGTATTCACTACGTAGCCCAGGTTGGCCTCAAATTCATAGCATCTCTCCTCCCTCAGTCTTGTGAGATCAGGCATGTGCAATCACATTTGACTAGCATTTTTCTTTTTTTAGTTTTCTTTTCCGTGGCAAAGTCTCAGTGTTTTACCCTGGCTGTCCTGGAACTTGCTCTGTACCAGGCTGGCCTCGAACTCACAAAGAGCAGCCTATTTCCACCTCCTAGGTGTTGAAATTAAAGGCGTGCACCATTTCTCTGTCTCCCAATCACCCTTAATGTTAGCAGTACATACAGAGTAGAAGACAACTGTTTCAGCCTATTTTACAAGGCGCCTGCCTGTGAAGGGCTTCCTCTCCCTCCTTCTCCCCCTGCTCTCCTGCAAAGAATTCTATTCTGGAACTCAAAGGATGACAGACTTTTGATTAAAGAGACTAATGGTTACTACCTGTGGCTTTGTAGAACTGATTCCATTCCATGATTGGAGAGGAAAGTGGTTAGAGACAATCCACAAATAAATGAGCATGTACTGGGCATGATGGCACACATGTAAACCTAGTACTTATGAGGCTGAGGCAGAAGGATTGTCATGAGTTTGATGGCAGCTTCGACTACAGTAAGAACTTGTCTGAAAAATAAATAAATAACAGTATATGGCTTTGTTCAGTAAAACTTTATTGGTGGACACTGAAATAAGAAATGCATTGGTTTTTTGTTTGTTTGTTTTGAGGGGGCTCTATTTGCTTTATTTTGAAACAAGGTTTCACCTGTGTAGTCTTGGTTAGCCTGGAACTCACTATGCAGACCAGGCTAGCCTTGAACTCAGAAAGACCCACGTTTTTCTGACTCCTGAGTGCTGGGATTAAAGGTGGGCACTTCCATGCCCACCCCATGTAATTTCATATGCTGCTAAATACTATTTTCTTATTGATCTCCCCTAACTATTTAAACATGTAAAATCCACATCCTTAGCCCCAGGGCTACACAAAAACCGGCCTGACTTACACGGAGAAGACTGTCCTGAAGCACCCATTCAGTTCAACCATTTACACCCTAGGAAAATGCTTGCCCTATCTAGCATCACAGATAAACTTGACACTCGGGCACATCATGGACCAGGAGTTAAAAAACTCCTCAATGGACAGAGGTAAATGTTGAACCATAGACAATATGACTCTGATCTATTGGGGGATAGCCACAGATTTCCATCAGGCTTTTCCCTAGTGCCCTTAAGGGCAGGTGGGGGAGGGTAATGTGAATTATGCCAGGCAAAACTCCATCTCCATGTTTCTGTTATGTGGGTAAGAGGGAAATGATAGGCAACTTTACAGGACCATTGTCCCACATCCTTCCTGAGTCTTTGGAAGCATGCTCTCCTCCTTCCAGGAGAGAGTTTGGAACTTCCTTTACAAATCCAGGAGGAGCCTTCACTTTGCAGGAGCTGATCATTTCCTGGGTCAAAGAGCCCTGCTTGCTCAGTTAATTCCGAGATGCTCCAAGGAAATTTACCTGTGTCCTGTCTCTTGAGTATCTAAACGCCTTCCCTCATTTGTGGGATCGGTGTTACCTGAGACGATGGAGAGGGTAACATTTCTCCGTCAGCCTTTCTTTATCCCTCTGTGTCCCCTTCTCAATCATTCTGCAGCCCAGAAACTACCATACTCCACAGGTTTTGAAGCTAAGCATACATAAATCTCTGATTCTAGCATGTGGTTCTACATATGTCCAGCAGGAAGCCTTCTGGGAAGAGAGAAAAAAAAAAAAAAAAAAAAAAAAAAAAGAGCAGGAAGGTGGACCAAATAAAGAATAAAGAATGGCAGGTGTGCCCCCTGGGTGGTTTCCTCTGAGAAAGACATTGGAAGCTGGCATCAGACACACACACTTTGTCCCCCACTGCTCTGGTTACACAGTGCAAGGCACAGTAAGTGTGTAGAAGCAGACTGGTTTCCCTGGACAGAACCCTGTGTGTCTGGAACCCCACAGGACTCGTGCAGGATGAGCCAGCTCCCCCCCCCCCACAGCCCGTAAATTTCTTATGATTTCTATCTTGGGCCAGACGTGGTGGCTCACTCCTGCAATCTCAGTACTTGGAAGGCTGAGCTTTTCCAAAGTTCCAGAAGAGCCCAGGCTAGAGTAAGACCTGTCTCAAAAACAAAAGCCAGACGAAAAGGAAAAAAACAAAAACAAACGCTTTCAGGCTTTCAGAGTTTAGAGGTCAACTCTGATTCAGCAGCTGTCCAGACACCCACAGCCCTCACAACCCGCAAGCTAAACTAAGCTGTAGCCCCCAACGCTGCTCATCAATAAAAAGTTAAAAAAAAAAAATCAACAGGAAGTCTTGCACTGCTAAATTTATATTCTAAATCCAAGAATTGTTGGCAGAAAAAAGCAAACACAAAGTAGAAAAATACATTCATTCAATATAACCCCACCATCTCCCTCTCTATGAAGGCTCCGTGCTAAGGGTGGGAAACATGGGTAATTCTCTGGCACAGCCCTGTGGGGCCCTTTTTGGCTCAACACTCACATTGCAGATGCATTGGAAGAAGTTGCTAAGAATATTGGAGCTAGGTTGCGGTGGGGGTAGGGACATGACTCAGGACTGTAATCCCAGCATTGGAAGACTCATCCAAGTTCAAGGATGACCTGGTAAACAGTTCCAACCATTCACCTGGTTCCAGACCAACAAGGGCTACAAATTAAGACTTTGTTTCAAAACAAAACAAGAGAATAATCAAAGCTGGGCTGGGAAAATAGTTGTACCACTCAGGAGGCTGAGACAGGAGGACAGCAAGTTCAAGACCTGCTTTGGCTGGTTAGTTTCAGGGTTTCCTGAGCTTCATACCAAGATACTAGAGTTCTGCCCTTTGCTCTAATTAAAAACAACAAGCACCCCCCCACACACACACACACAAATCCAGGGGTGATCGGACCTGACTGGTTTTCTTTTTCATAAAACATTTTCTGGAAACATAAATATTAATCCAAACTCAATCCAAATCCATCAGGATCACAATTTATCATCAAAATAAAACTTTAATAATTAGAGCACTTGAGGGTACGGTTCCTGAATGATAAAGGTGGAAGGTGGATCTACTTCAAAACCAATTCCCACAGCTAGTTCTGTAAGCTTTGGGTGAACTTTGAAAGGTTGAGCTGAAAGGCGAAATAAACTCTTCAGAAGTACAGAACTTTTACTCCCTGCAACACAAACTTGATGTTAAAAGCAAGTAATGCTATAGAGTGTTTGTAAACTGTCTTTAAAAACCTCAGGAATACCGGGGCAGATTCCACACAAGCTATAGGAAGACCGTGTGGAAGCCAGTGTGCCCGATCTGAGGGCAGCCTATTTAAGGCTCCTTGTCTAATCTTGCTAACTGTGGCCTCCCTGGGTGGGGCCTCAGTGAGCACCTGCTCAGCAAGCCACTCTCCTTGGTAGGAGCAGCAGCTCTGCCGCCCTTACCGGAGGAGACATCTCATGGCAGCATCGAACTGCATCCAAGTCACCTCCCTTCGGAGGAGGAGGGCCTGGGCCACCTGGCTCGGGTCCTGGGGGCTCGGGAGACCGTCAATCAGTTTCTGCAGTTCTCGAAGCTCAGACCCTGGAAAGTGAGGGACAGCGGAGTCAGACAGTGAAAGCTAGACCGCCACAGCCTTTCACCTCCAGAGCCAACTTGTCATCCAAACGGACTTCCTTGGTTTGTGGATGTGCTAATTATATGTTTTGCAAGGCAAGCAGCTCTAGAAACCAAAGTCTAATTTAGCTTCTTTCCTTCCTCTCTCTGGAAGATAGATACCCACACCCGGTGGTTTAGAAAAACCGTTGAAAGTTCTGAATCTGCCGGACCGTGGCCTCACATCAGAAAGAAAAAGAAATGGCACGGGAAGGGAAGGTCCTCGGGGTACCCACTAGGAACCTGCCGTTACCGTCAGCCATCCGCCACACTCATTTCCATTGTCCTGTCGTTGGAATCGGCCTCCCTTCGCCACTAGTGTGTGGGCTGAGTCAAGGATCATAACGCCAGTAAAAAGATAACGGCACACATAATACACGGACACACACAGATATGTGTGTACACGTCCACGCATAACCTTGTGGGACATTCAGTCGGTTTAGGAGCTTGCCCTGTTTCTCGGAACCCTGTACTACGAGAGAGAGATCCACTGTCCGAGTGCACTGGGCCTTGAGATGACCCTGGAGACAGAAGAAGCTTTCCAAGCCACTCGGGCTGCCCTGATAAAATAGGGGAGCCGGGAGAAACCAGCAAACACATAGGGAGCATGGCAGGCCTGTGTGTTCAGAGCTATCTGAGCATCAGCCTATCTATCCCCAAAGGGCTGTCAGCTTCCTCTGATGGGGACAGCTTTCTGCCCTGTCATGGGAAAGGCTGTGAGGCACAGTTGCTGTTCCTCTGCTGGCAGCCCAGGACAGGCATCACTCAGGCATTGATGAGGTTGCTCCCTCTTGGCGCTGCTCCAGACAAAGCAGCCTTCTTCCTACCTGGCATGGGATGGGTCACCTCAGCATTTGCGCACAAGAAAAGCAGAGGACTCTGGGATCACGAGAAAAGGACAAAGCGGCCATAAGGAAAGGAGGGCTGGAATACACGTGGCATCTACGTGGAAAGGGGACTGTTGCAGATAACGAAACCTATTGCTTTTTAGGACTCAGTTAAAATGTCACAAATTAAAACACAAATAAGGCCGGGTGTGCTGGTGAACATGCACCACCACACCCTTGATCCCAGCACTTGGGAGGCAGAGGCAGGTGGATCTGTGTAAGTGCAGTCATGTGTTGAAGTGTGTCTTAGACTGGGGGGGGACATTACCTCTCCCTTGCCTCCTACTGACTTCCTTCTGCCTCCTTCTTCAGTAGGGAACTGTCTGACTGGGAAGAGGAAGTGGAGATGTGGGCAGGGAAAGCAGCCTGGGGATGAGGGTGGAGGGTGGCCAGAGGACCCGGGAAAGGCAGCTCTGGATATCTTAGACTCTAGGAACAGGATGCAGCTTAGCATGGTTTTAACAAACTCCAACAGCCACTATATTAGTAAGGGCACTTGGGCGTGGCTTTAATCTTGTGTTGCAAGTCTTTGAGACTTGCTTGTGTCCGGTTGAGATCATTAGCCTGAGACACTTCCAGGCTTCTTGCTGAGGCAGCACCAACATCATCCCTGTCCCCTCCCTTCACCGCATTCACGGTCAGCACACCCTCCTAGTCACCAGGCGTCCTTCCCTGTGCCCAGATATGAACATTCAGATTTCCTCTGTGTGCATTAGCACGGTGCAAGCCTACTACCTCCAAGCTCCAGGGTCCCACTCAGGCCATCACACATTTGGTTTTAGAACTATTTGATGTAAAGAGCCAATCACCTCGTTTCTTAGGTTCACCTCACTCTCTAAAGTTCCTGGTGACTGTGTCGCAGTACTTGGCTTTAATTGGTCACTATCAACAGAGCTAGTGACTTAGTTTGTATGAGGCAAGTTACTAAAATAAGATTAGCCTCTGTTTCCAGTGAGTCCTACTAGTAAGATTCTGTTGTTGAGGATGGCGAGGTGGCTCGGCAGTTAGGGATGTTTACTGCTCCTCTAGAGGACCTGAGTTCAGTTCCCAGCACCCATGTTGGGTTGCTCACCAGAGCTACCTGTAAATCCAGTTCTGAGGGATCAAACACCCTCTTCTGACCTCCAAGGGCACCACATATACATGCCATACCCCTGCAACACACACACACACACACACACACACACACACACACACACACACGCTCACACACAGGGGTAGTATGCATGTGTGTGTTAACATATTTGCCTGGGTGTCAGTGTACAATGTAAGTCTGTGCTTACCAAGATCAACCTTGGGTGTTGTTCCTGCGGTGCTGTCTACCTTATTTTTGAGACGGGTCTTCTCACTGCCTTACAGTTCTCCGAGTAGGCTGGATAGGATGGCTGAGGCGCACCAGAGACCCACCAATCTGTGCCTCCCCTGCACAAGCTTTTATTAACGTGATCTCAAGTCTTCATGCTTACCCAGCAAGCACTTTGCTGACAGACCTATCTCTCTGGCCTCCATTGCGCAGTATCTTATCAGTACCAGACACATGAAGATACCGTCTTACAACCCAATGCCCTTCACTGCTCAGTCTCAGCACAGACAGATGGTTCTGAGCTATAAGAACCATCAGCGTCTTCACGGTGGCTGCTTGGGTAGGACATTGTCATGTGAGTCAGGAGGCAAATGAAGAAAAAGGGAATGAAAGTTGAGTGGCCTTAAATACCCTTACATAGATTTCAGTCCAGAGAATATCTCTGTGAGATATTACTCCATCTTATAGATGGGCAAACAGAGATGCAGGGAGCAAAGTAGCTCATATCCAGTGGCAGAGGCAGGGTCTGAGCTGGGTCTCTGGACTCCTGCCTGACTCAGTCAGTACACTTTCTGGAGAGCCTACACATGTGTATTCAATGGACAGAATGTGCACTTGGAGACGGTATGTAACAGGATTTTTCCTGGTCCTTCCTGTCACTGCCTGGGTTTCCAACATTAACCTTTTCTTACAACTGCCACCCAACAGGCCTGGTGATTCTAACAGTGGCTGTCATTTGCTTACCAATGCCCTCGGGTCCTCCCCAGTCATTCCTCAAGGGGCCAGGACTTAGAGGAGAGTCGAAGCATGCTGGGCAATTGCCAAGCTTGGCAAAGCTGAAAAGGTAGGCCACGATGTCGTGGAGAGGAGCTACGAGCTGGAGAGTCCGTTTCAGGGCTCTGAAAGCTGCCTGCGGGTAGAAGCAACAGAAGAAAATGGTTTCGGGAACCTTCCTAAGAGGCCTGTGCAATGAGGCGAGGGACTAGGGAAGCTGGGTCGTGCATACAGGGGTCCCTCAGCATCACAGGGCTTGGCCCGTGGATGCTACAGTGCCATCGTGAGCACGCAGCTGCTCATCCCTTGTGTGACACGGGACAGTATGTCTGCTTCTCCTTTGTAGAGCCTCCTGTGAACTCCTAGTCATCTTAAGTTACTTATAATATCTATACATGAATAGTGTTTTCCGCAACTGTTTTTGACCAGTGGTTGATGGATGCAGACTCTGTGGTCCTGAGAACACAGGTCATGCGAAAGCAAACATTTTCACAGTGCACCCAGGGTAACAAGGGAGAAAAAGAAAACAACAAACCTACTCATGAGTAGCCCCGCTCTTAGGCAAAGACACCAGGGTGGGGGTAAAAGCGCCATGTTTCCGTGTGTGTAAAGTCAGCACAGCCGAACACAGCAGCCTGCTTATTTGACTACCCGTGAACCACAAGGGTCACAGCAGGGACTGTCACCCAGGCAGTGTTCTCTGAGCATCTACAACTGAGGCATGGGTGTTTGTAGCCGTGAAGAAAATTCAGAATATCTCCCAAATGCCATGTTCAGCCTCAGCACACGTTTCCACGACCATTTTCTAAGGGATCTCAATGCTATTCTTGATCATCAAGTCAGAGAGCTGCGGCCTGCCAGGTGTGCTGGTACACGCCGCTAATCCAGCCCGTGGAAGGGACCTCAGCATTAGTGACACGGGTCCCAGGCCAGCCTGGCCTAGACAGTGAGCTCCAGCCCAGTCACGGCTTTCCAGTGTGATTCCCAGAGACCCATGAAAACCCAGCAGGCCGCTCGACACTTACTGCCCTTCCACTCCTGGGAAGCCCAAGCAGGGGAACCTCGTGCTCAAGGCCAACCTGGGCTACGTTCTGAGGCTGTTTCAAAAAACGAACCGTCTTCTGTTAGCTTCGGGATAATACAAGTGGGGTTTGGTTGAAGGGCCGGAAGGAACTACCAAAGTAGTGTTCATCAATGGCCTGGACAAAACAGAACTTATGAAATACGGGGTCTCAAGAGAAAGAGGAAACGTAACAGGCAGGCAGGCAGGCAGGCAGGCAAAGGCATCAGGAGTTGTGAAAGGTCTCAGTGGTCAGGTATCACGGAAGAATCACTCACTGCGATTAACCTTGGGACCTAAAAGAGACCAGTTTCCACTCTGTACACACACCCACAATCCACCAACCTCTTCTGGAAGAGTTTTGAACATGAACAGCACTTCGGAAGGATGGGGAATAAACCATAAGTTGAGGAAGACTCTTCCATCAGCTGACAGCAAACTCTGAGGTCGAGGCTGAAAATTCCTGCCGTGTGAGAAAAAACGGCCCATAGCACAGCCAAGATCCCACCAAGCCAGAGAGGCCTGCCCTGTGTGAGGGACCCAGTGCCCAGGCCCAGCCCAGGGAGCAGCCTGCCCCTCCCGGGAGGCCAGAAGGCCTTATAAATGTCATATAAATCATTCATCAGGAGAAAGAGCATAGGGGGACGATTTTAGCCTGAGTCGTGTGGGAGGGAGGCCGTCGTGGGTCCAGAGGGAGGAAAAGGCGGCCAGCCTCATACTGGGTGCTACATATTTTATGTTGCTTAACGTCTTCACGATCTATTTTTGTCTCCGTTTCACAGCTGAGGGAATGGAGGCATTGAGGGTGATGAAGTTCCTGCCTGCCGGCTCCTGAGACACAGCTGCCTAGCTCTGGGGTCCCCTTAGACTCCAGCCAGCTTCCCTGCCCTCCCAGCTTCCATTCGATAAGGAAACAATGACAGACAGCAGCCTGGGGAAGGGCGCTGACTCAGAAGATGCAGATTATTACAAGAGAGAACCTGGGGGACACTACCAGCCCTGGGATGGGATAGAGAGCGCTGGACAGTGACTGGGAGTGGGGCAGGGAAGGGAAGGAAACCAGAGGGGGGGGGTGTGTAGCCTGTCACTTCAGGCTGTGGAACTCCTAACAGCCTAACGCCCAGAGTTAATGCCTTTACGTTACTATTATTATTTAAGTGTATTCATTTATTTAACACCCCAACCACTTTCCCTCTCCTCCCTGCCTCTCATTCCTCTCCCCCTTCCTGCCCTGGAATCATCCACCCCTCCTCTGTTTCTGTTCAGAAAGAGCCAGGCCTCCCATGGGAGTCAACAAAGCATGACAATTCAAGTTGAGGTAGGACCGAGCTCCTCCCCTTGTATGAAGGCTGGGCAAGGCAACCCAGGATGAGGGACAGGTTCCTGAAAGCTAGGTCAAGGGTCAGGGACAGGCCCTTCTGCCTCCACTAGGAGTCCCACAAGTAGGTCAAGCTACTCAACTGTCACACATACGTAGAGGGCCCAGGTTGGTCCCAAGCAGGCTCCCTAGCTGTCACTGCAAGCCAGGGAGGTCAAGATCATGACAAGAGAACCCACAGAAACAACTAACCTAGGCTCATAGGAGCTCACAGACTCTGGGCCTTTATTATTTGTTTCATGATTTATTTTATTGTATGCATGTGTTTTGCCTGAATGTGCCAATGTGTACCACATGCATGCCTGTTGCCCACAGAGGCACCATGCCTCACGGACTTCACCTCCTAGAACATACTATGGACATCACCGATCCATCTCTCCAGCTCAAATACTGAGCATTTCTTCATTGGGGTGTTCATCAAACATGTACTTCATTTTGCTCCATATCACAGCCTGCTGTTCTAACCTGTCTATCTCTCCTTGCTGGAGGGGACCACATCAGTTTTACTGCTCTACGGCTGGTACCAAGACTGCTGGATGTCCACATTCAGGCAGTGCTCCGAGGGTTATATAGTCGTGTAATTTCCACAAAGCGGCTGTTTGGAATGACAGTGACTCTACTTGTCACGCAGTGAGTGCTCAACTAACACTGCCCTCTCTGTTTTCACTATCTGCTCCGCCGTCAGCCCGCCCTTCAAAGCGCTGGAGTGACATGGAGAGCCTTCCTTGGAATGAGGAGAACAGAAGCCCCAAGGGACCTTGTGGGAAGCCGGCTCCCTTTCTAGCTCCTCTCTGACGAAGACTTGGCTTTGGGTGGGGGTGAGGGGCTCTGCTAAACTACAGTACATTAGAGCCTTTAAATGACTAAGCTGCATCTTGAAACTTTAACACTACTCATGGGGCTCAACACATTGCCAGTCAATTCTCTCATAGACAACATCTCGGAATCCTCAGCAGGGACACTAATGAGTTGTTGGCACTGGCATGTAAAACAAAGGCTATGTCTTATCTTCGGTGTAGCCCAGTCTCTCGTCTTATGACTGAAACAACGGTCTCTTCTTCTACCCCTCAAGCCTCCTCACTATTCTTTCTTTGCTTGAGCTGCTTCCTATCTAGCATTTCCCAAGCAGTCACAGGAACGGCCTCTTTGTTCCAGACAGCCCTTGTCTTGTGGCCTTGCTCTAGATCTCTGAGCACGGAGAACGCAGCATTGTTTGACCTCAGGGAACTACTTCAGTGTCCTCATCCTGAGAAGAGACTCCAGTCCAGAGACTGAAGACGTGTGATTTTCCCCAAGACCTTCGGGCATCATGTGACTGAGATGTAAAGTCCAGGTGGCGAATTCTCCGACTAAGGATTCCCGCTGCACCTGTGTTTGCCTGGATGCCGTGTCTTGGATTGAGTTTAAGTATGTTCATAACGGACTCCTATGAAGCCCTTTCCCCAAACTTCACGTAAGTTCTGCTGCTTTCGTAGGAATTCCAGCACTGAGAGAATGAAAGGCAAGGGCTGGGTGTGGGGTGTGACTCACAGGTTAAGGGGGCTGTGGCCCTGCCGGAGGGAGGGCCTGGCTTTGGCTTCCAGGACCCACAGGGCAGCTCACAACCACCTGGAAGGCCTGTTCCAGCGAAACCGTGTACCCCTCCTGACGTCTGTGGGCACCTGCACTCATGAGGTGTGCTTACATACGCACAGGCACACACACAGTTACATAAAAATAAAAGTGAATATCTAAAAGGGCAAGGCACTCAGAGTAGAGGGCATAGGAAGCAGAAGGTGAGGGCTGTGCAGAGGCCACAAAGCCGCACCGCTCACTGCTCTGGGTGGCCCTCACTTTCTGGTCCCAGACTCTGTCCTAAGGTCATCACACTTAACTAAGCAGTCTCCCCGAGAGGCCAGGGTCTCCGCTTAGAAGCCAGGTCCCTACTCTTTAGGAAATGCCATCACCCAGGAGGCATCCGTGCTGGCTTTGATGTCACTGTAACAAAGATTACACCATAAAGAAATAGAGCCACAAGCCACACAGGTCTTCACACACTCCCCTCCGCACAGGCTACTGCAATTTAAGCACACCAGAACCAAAAACTGACTGCACTGTACATTTCACCCTAAACAAAAAACGTAGTGGATTCAGGCAAGGGGGAAGGGGCGGGAGGAGGTGTGGGAGGGAGGGCTGTGTTTGGAATGCAAAGTGAAGTTTTAAAAAAAAAATGGTAAATAAAAAGGAAGGAAGGAAGGTAGTGGATTCATGAATAGGCTTCGAGAAAGAACTTTGAAAGTTCGATGCCGAGCGTAGATTGGTCGGCTTGCCGAGAGGGTAGAAAACCGATGGACAGATGTCTTAGAGGATCAGCCTGAGATGGTTCTCAGGACAGATAGATGCTGCAGATGTCCAGCAAAGCCTCCCACGGGAGCCTCCAGAGATGTCTCCACCCCCTCGGCTCTGAAAAGCACACTTACAAGTCCTGAGGTCTCAAGGAAAGCGCTGGGCGGCTTGAAAACTAAGAACACTGATTTTAACCACGACCAGAGAACCTTGTAAACACCCAAGCAAGCCGGGGGTCCCTGTCAGCCAGTTAAGGGATGAAGGGCTTTAACGCCTTCCCTTCTCTGGCCTTTACTGCCCACCCCACTTCCTTGGCAAACTCCACACTCCCATTACTTTTATTTTTAATTCCTCTCTGTAGCCCTGGGACAGAGTTAAACATCCCCTCCTTTGTCCCCTCATAAACTCAGTGAGACACCTCTACTTTCTCTGCCGTTAGGTGACTGTTGAGCTTTCCTCTGGAGACAATGGACTGACTGACCACCTTTGTGCCTCTATCTTGGTGCAAAAGGCCTGGAACTAAGCAAGGCCTTAACAAATGATGCTTGGTGGACATGTGTAGGGACGTGACAACCAGCCCTAACCTGATGATACTGTGCTATTGCCTGCCCGGAAATGAACTGCTCTATCCCAGCCATTGGAGCGCTCAGACCTGAGTAATAATTTACACAGGTCCCCTGTGATGACTAAAGAGACTTAATACGGAGCCAGGCATATCTTAAGAGCCATTGGCCTTTTGTTCCGGAATTCTGGGAAGATCTTGGTGGCCTGCAGTGGAGATAAGATGGGGATAATGAGCTGTGAGGCATTAACAGCTGCTTTTGCTTCTATAAATCTGTTTATCAGTGTGACAGAGGGATGAAGTGTGTGTGTGTGTGTATCTGTGAGTGTGTATGGGAAAGAAAACCATGTTTCTGCCCAGCTGTGTGGACTCCCTGGGTAGTTGTAATATACACCTTTCTGATATCTGCCTTAAAAAACCCCACCTCAGTCCCCTTCTACACAGCATACTGTTTGGCTCTAAGGCTGCCACCCTCCCTCCCGATAGCAGTAAGAATAAATCCATTAATCTAAATTCGAGTCTAAGCCTTTGGTCTTCCCCAGTGAATTTGAACACATGTGTGAATGAATTAGTGGATGCATGGTCTGAAGCCTTTCATCTGTCCCATCTGTGGTCATATTTTAAATATTACTGCTACTCAAACTCCATACTATCTAGGAAATGACTATGGGGTGTGGCAAGCTCCTTGGGCACTGTATAACCTATCACACATGCCCCTCTTCTCTACGGTCAAGGCAGTGTGTTAGTGACTGCACAGGTACAGTAACTTCTCCATCGGGGAGGCTGACCCCAGGTAGACTGCACTAAGAACACTTGGTAATCTATGCAGAACGATGAGGAAGCTTGGGAACAGCTCCCATCTCTTCAGTCTCTCTGGATAGCCTACCAGAGGAGAAAACGCTGATTTACTCACAATGCTGGCTAATTACTATTTTCTTCTAAATATTTCTTCTCCCCTGGGTAGACTATCTGAAGCCAGGGCAGCTAAAAGCCAAGCTCCCCCGTTTGTTTACTTACTTTGGACATTAGAAAGGGCTGTGACTGGTGAGACTCTGCGGCCTTCCCAAGAGAAAACAAAACCCCATTGATTGCAAACCGCAGTCACACGGCGCCACAAACAAAGGACTCCTTCAAAGACACAGATGCTCTCACTCTTGGAGAGCTGATGTTTCCTTCTGACCTTCCAAGCCAGAAAGTCAAAATACAGGGCGATAAAGCCAGAAGGTCAGCTTTCTGCTACTGTAACGCGTACCTAATGCAACCTATTTGTAAAAAGAAAATGTGTATTGCCCTGCGTGGCCCTGATGTTTTAGGTGAGGCAGTGAGTCGTAGAGGGGAATAGCACTCAGGGTGGCAATACTGCTCACTTTGGGGCTGAAAAGCTAAGGAGAGGAAGGGATGGTGATAGAGAGCAAACCAGCACCTCCCAACCCCCTTTGAGGACTGAAAGCCTCCCGCCCTAAGAGTGTGTACCCCTGCCTAGCATCTCTTTATCCCTGCACCGTGGGCGACAGCGGAACACCAAGGGCTCTGTACTTAACATGTCTCCTGGTGGAGGGAGGGCCGATGTGGTAGAAAAACAGGCTTACCTGGGGTCAGCCTTGAACTCCCCACTGGAGTCCTTCAAGTCCTTCTCTTCATTTGGTTGTCCCATCATGAAGAAGGTGTCTCTGACGGTAGGAAAATCGTCTAGCAGAGCTCTCAGGCTATTGCAGTATGCCATGATCTGACCCCGAAGGGCACAGCAACACATGCGGTAGTTCAGCCTGGAGGTCGGAGGGAGACAGGGCACCCTGGAGAACCCAAGCTCTTTTCCTCCCAGGCAAGTTCCAGAATCTACCTCCCCGGGGGACTTTGCAAAGAGACTAGAACATTCTCTGTTGAGAAGACATCACCGCCTAGGTCAGGCTGGCATTGTCTGGCGGCAGAACCATGGACCTCTCCAACGCGGCCCTGGCCTCACTTCTGACGCCCTGCCCCGTGGGAGTCTTACTTGGTGCTATCCATCCACTACAGCTGTGGTTCATTTACACACAAACCACCAGGCTGGGTTTCTGGGTAACGCTGCTGCCGGCAAGGGTACCCGGTCAGAGGAACCAGAGGACATTATTCACATAGACTCTACTTACTTCTGGCAATATTCAACTATTAGTTCCCTCTTGACGTTTTCAGCGTCATCCTGTTGATGAGAGATAAATAAATACATAGTAAACCAGCATTCGAATGAATGCATGGCCAAATTCAAGCGGGAATCAGCCACGGGACTTTCTTTCTGAGGGTAAATGCGTTGTGAGACCGTTGTGTGGGTCTCTTCCATTCACTCCCACTTTGCTGAGCACACCAACAGTGCCAGGCCCTGGCCACTTTCCGCCTGTCTGTCTGAGTCGTGTCTCAGGGCTGTGTTTGCCCCCCTCTCTCTAGGAAAAAGAGCAGGTTTGCTCTAAAAGAGGTGCCCTGCCCAGCTTTGTGGTCGCTGACAGAAACCCACTGAGCGGGGGTAGGGTGGCTCTTCCACTCTGTCCCAGTGGGACTTGGGAGGCAAAGGGCATTGGCACAGCAAGACCCGTGTACTGCCTGCTCTGCTTCGAGGACTAGGCTCTGTCTGTGAGCGCAGTCGCACACCTCAGCCAGCATCCATGGGATGGGGAAGCACTAACTTGTTATCTGGCCAGTGGGCTAAAATCCTGCTCTAATACTGCCGAGTTCCTGCTGGTCTGGTGGGTGTTGGGTCACCCTGGAGCTCTGTCACACGGTCACTATTTCTTTTGAGAATTGTTTGTTTTGGGGAGAAAGGCACGGATTCTCCCCCAAATAAACAATTATCAAAAAATCGTGCCTGCCCCTGCTTCATCTGGCTGTCATTTCATTTCATCTGCACGCCTGCGTTAGGCTGACCGAGTCTTCGCTTACCTGTCCCAGGGAGGGACAAACCCTTTTCTTCTATATCATTTCCTTCCAAATAACTGTGAATCACCAAAAACTTAATGAATAATGCGACACTACGGACAAAATTGGGAATTTAAACGGTCAAAGGTTTGAGTTTTGTGATATTTTTCTAAATGATCGGACTAATGTTTGGGGGGCTTAAACAGGAACACACCAGTAGCTTTTGATAAACAGAGACGTCATGTGAGCACCGGCCTGCGTTGCCCAAGCCATCCTTCCCCTGCAGCTCACCCAGCACTCAGACTGGTCCCTTTAGAAAATGACACAGCATGACAAAAACACAGTCTTGGAAAAATGTACGCTCCTTAGGACATGGCTGAGTCTGCGTGAAAGGGCGCTGTCCTGCCTGGGTTCCGTGCAGTGTTTTCTGTAGCCCTACCGGAATGGCTTAAAGCAACGGATGATGCCAAATTCAGAATGCTCATTTGCTCAAGCGAGAGAGAGAGAGAGAGAGAGAGAGAGAGAGAGAGAGAGAGAGAGAGAGAGAGAGCGCTTCAGGAAGACCGTCTCCTTTCATACTCACAGGGTTCTCCGTCTGTTTCCTGTGCAGAAAGGTGTTCAGCATCGTGTCCCGCAAACCCACCTTTTCTAGTTGAATAGACACGAAGGCTTCTGGAACCCTGACAGAGGAAGAGAGACAGCTGAGTTGAGGGCAGAGATCGGCAGGTGTGTGGCCCTGATAACTCACACGTTGGGCGCTATTGCAGGAAGTCGGGCTGTTCCGTCCTCACAGCGACCACCTTCTTAGGTGCATCTGGTGACTCACTGGCGCTGTGCTTCCCTGGAGACACCATTGTGCCTAAAGCATGCGTCAGCAGTCGACCCCCAGACACCATAGCCCGGGCAGCGTGCCCTCTCAACGTTAGACACTGATCTGAAATCTTCCATCCACGCTGGGAGTGTGCTTTGAAGATTGAAGACACTTGACCTCTGACCATGTGTCCCATCCGCAGCATCTCCAATGGAAGTTATTTTGCCTGTCATCATTTTTTCCTTCCATATTTGCCAAACTAAATCAGAATGCCCTTGGTACCTAACGAAACATCCAGAGTGGCCATAATTATTAGAGAAAATGTCTGCGTCTTTCTCCATTACACTGGGGATAGATCAAGGCATATTAGGCACCCTTGGTGGTAGACACACCTCCCTGGACACTGGGATTCTCATTGAACTCACCCTCGCATTTTTCTGAACAACGGTAAAATCTTGGTTAGGATGGTGAAAGCAGTTTTGAGTTTTCAGTCTTATGTGGTTACAGAAAGTCTGGAGAGGCCTTTTTATCTCCCTGCTTGTGACGGGAGAAAGAGGCAGGAAGGAGGAAAGGGAAGAAAGGGAACTGAAGAGAGGAGAGGAAAAAGGAAGAGGAAGACAACTAAAATCAGGCCGAGCTGACGCTCCATCCTAGAGGACTGCCTGACGGAGTGCGCTACGATTCTTCACATGCCATCGTAAAAGAAGAAAGCTCACACGACTCAAAACCCTCCCACTAGACGGTACCTTCTGGTCGTCTTAAGTGCTGGAGAGTGAGTAAGGGTGTCCGGAGCTGTTGGAGTTGGGGCTGAGAGCAAACAGTCCACGCCACTCGCAGCTCTGGAGCCTCTTCTGGTCGGACTCATTCTGCCACGATGCCTCAGAGCTGCATCCCTTTCCTAAACCATTTGAAACCCAAGTGAGCTCGGTTTGTCAGATGTATAGGCCCTGCAGGCTGCTGGACTACAGTGGACCCCACACCGATGTGGAGGGAGGAGGAGACTGGAGAGGAGAGGAGAGGAGGGGAGGGGAGGGGAGGAAAGGGGAAGGGAGGAGGAGAGGAGGAGGTAGGGATTTGCACCCTGAAGGGTGGCACAAAGTAGGGCAATTTCTGAAATATGAGTACATTTTTGTAAAATGCTCTCGGAAAAATCCTCCACCTTACAAAGCAGTTGAGTGGAATTCTGTGTGTGGTCCAGCGTCTACAGACGATCCGCTAATGGATCACACAGTTACAAGATCTGGAAGATTCCCCCAAGTACGTCTGGGCTATATCTGCCTTCTTTGGCAATGTAATGGTAGCAAGGGGAAATGGGAATGAGGGAGGGTGGGAGAGTACTCAGAGAGAGCTGGGGAAGGGATCAGCATCCCGGCTGGTGCTCAGTTAGGACCCATCTACTTTCTTCAGTCTAACCAGAAGCTGTGTCTCTACCCAGACACCAGCTCATGAGGGCAGGGAAAGATCCCTTTAGCCTGTGCTTCCACCATATGGCTCCCCGGCAGCGGGGTCACAGGAAGCACCGAGTCCATTACTCATACCCTGACTTTTTGTTGTTGTTGTTGGGTTTTTTTGTTTTGTCTTTGAGACAGAGCTTTACATAGCTCATGCCTTCCTAACTTTGGTCCTGTAGCTTCTACTGTCATGAGTAGACCTTCTTAGTCAGCAGAGAAACATCAAACATCTTCCTCTTTTTTTTTTTTTTTTTTTTTTTTGGTTTTTCAAGACAGGGTTTCTCTGTATTGTTTTCAAGCCTGTCCTGGAACTCGCTCTGTAGACCAGGCTGGCCTCGAACTCACAGAGATCCGTCTGCCTCCTGAGTGCTGGGATTAAAGGTTTAAAGGTGTGTGCCACCAATACCAGATTAAACATCTTCATTTTTAATCTGTATGCATCTGCTTTGTTCCTCTGCATTCAGATCTATCAAATTTGACTCTCTCTCTCTACAAAATAGTATTTTATTTTTTTATTGAGGAATGGTTGACATTTTATAAATATAATTTTAAATTATAAGGTTAGGTAAGTTCTGATACGTTTTTCTTTTTTTATGTACTCAACTCTGAAATCATCACCACCATTTTAATTTGCAGCCCCCCACACCCATCCTTCTCTCCCTACCCCCCTTCTCCAATCACACCTCTGCTTTTGCCAATTATAGACTAGAATGAGGTGCCAAGAATTTTACGCGCATCCCTGCAGAATGCGGTCCTTTTCGCTGGCTTCATCTATATCGCTGTGGGTGTCAATCATTTATTCCTTTGTACTGCTGTGTAGTGTGCCACGATACGGATATGCCAAAGTGTGTTTATGTATTAATCCATTGACGGGACCCTTGGGCTCTTTCCTGTTCTTGAATACAACTGCAACGGACATTTGTACACAAATTCCTGTGCGGCCATGGGCTTTCATTTCTCTTGATTAAATACTGGACACTGAATGCTCAGTTCATAAGGTAGGTACATATTTAACCTTTAAAGAAATTGATGAATAATTTTCCAAGTGGGTGCACCGTTTGCACCCTGCCCCCCCCATCAGCCATTCACAAAGGTTTCAGATCTTCCATCTCCTCGCCAGCACTGAAGGTGCCCAGTCAGTCTTGTCCATTTCAGCCGTTCTATTGGGTGTGCAGTATTTCTCAATGGGGTTTTAACTCCCTTTCTCTAGCGGACCCTGGTGTTGAGCATCTTTTCACCTCTTATCTGCAGGCTGTACTGTTGGTGGCTCACTGCCTCCCGAAAGGCCCTTTTCATTAGCATTGGTGGCCGTGCATACTTTTGTTCTCTGTCTTCCTTCCTCCCTTCCTTCCTTCCTCCCTCCCTTCCTCCCTTCCTTCCTCCCTCCCTTCCTTTCTTCCTCCCTTCCTTCCTCCCTCACTCTGTCTCTTGATCATGGTAACAGGCTCCTTCCTGTCCCACAGTTGTAGAAGATTTATAAATGTATTTGTGCATACATTTTATGAAGAAGCAACCATAAAATTTACTTTAGCAGAGTTCAAAGAGGACTGGGTGTTTTCTGGAAGACACTGGGGCAAAGCAATGTGCAGAGGTTCCTCCATCTTGTATTCTCGCTGAGGCCATTTCAGGTTTAACTAGAGTTTGATGTCCCTGACGGAGAATCCCATGGAAAATTACCCAACTCTGTTCTAGCAGCCTGGGGTCAAGATGCCCCAGCTAACTCAGCTTCTGTTAAAAGCTTGTTTGTGCAGACGGCTCCCTGCAGCTGTTGAGGGAGATAACAGGATGTGATTTTTGTTTTTGAAAGCCCCCTGGAGCTACACCGGGTCTCTAAATACCTGAGTATAGTCCCAGCTGGCTGATATGAAGACTTTCAACTATCTACAGCTGTGTCTGAGTGGTCATCTCAGGGGGCTCCCTGTAACGATAATAACTGAGTTGAATCATGGAGGATGAGCAACATCCTCCAGACTGGTGGGATGGGGGGGGGGGTGTGAGGAGGAAGGAGGGTTGGGTGTGGTAGTGTGGGAACAAAATATTCTGGGGAAACATGAAAAGAGGCACAGAGACACAGGAGTGTGTACAAAATGTCTAGGACTCTTAAGATAGAGTTTAGAAAAATGGCAGGAGAAGAAGAGGGCTTGGGAGGGAGAGGGAAGATCTTGTGTACCCACCTGAGGATACTGGGTCTTGTTCTTTGGGCTCCAAAGAGCCACTACAGGTTTCCAGTCACTGAGGCATGATTGTGTGTGGATGTTCACAGCACTATTACTTCTAATGGCCAAAAAGAAAAGGCAATCCATTGACGAATGGATGAACAAAATGCAGTGTCTCTGAATGAAGTATAATAGTTGCTATAACACACAGACTCTGAAAACATCATGTTAAGTGAAAAAAGCCAAACACACAAAAGGCCACATGTATGTATATGAACGGTAAACCCAGAGACAGGAAGTACTTTAGTGTGGTGATTTCCAGGGACCGAAGGGAGGGGATTGGGAGTGGCCACTTAGGTGCAGGGTTTCCTTAGAACGTGATATAAATATTTTAAAAATAGAAAGTGAAGACCACACACACTAACAAACACTCACACACACTCACAGACACACACTCACACACACTCATACACACTCACACACGCACTCATACACACTCACACACACACAGAGAATCAGACACTTTTTTGAAATTTTTATTTTTGTTTATTTCCATATGTGCCTGTGTTTATTGTGTCTGTCCACAAGTGTGTGTGTGTGTGTGTGTGTGTGTGTGCTCGAGCATGTGCACTTGAGCACACCTGAAGAGATCATGTGTGTGGGTGTCTGAGTGTGATGGAAAATTATTAACTAAGAGGTATAAATTAGGGCTTATGGCAAGAAGGGAAAACTAGAGAGAAGAGGAACTCCAGCCAGTAGATAACTTCCTACGGGATCAGAGCCCACATGCTGTTCTCAGGAGACAGAGAAGAAAGCAGGAGCCCACCACCAGCTGTGTCAACCTCATTATCTTGAGAACAAGGCCACTGAGCCTTGCTTAGAGAGAGGGGGGGGAAGAGAGAGAGAGAGAGAGAGAGAGAGAGAGAGAGAGAGAGAGGGAGAGAGACTCCCTACAGGTGTGCCAATCAGTCTTGCCTAAAAAGATGAGTTACTATTCACTTTGATCCATGATGACCTTGTAAGGAAACTGTACTCTGTGAAATCTCTGTAACCTTGGAAACCTTGTGAGCTTTGCAATTGTAAGCAGGGGCCTTACTCTTCCAACAGAGTGAGGTCCCAGTCGGTTGGGTTCTTAGCAATAAAAACCTTTTGCTTTTGCAGTCAGGAGTCACTTCCTTGGAGACCGAGGGGTCTCCTGGTAAGCACAACCCTGAGGATGCCATATGTGTGGTGTCTGAGGGGGCTACAAGGAATCAGAGCCCTTGGAACTGGAGCTACAGGCAGTTGTGAACCAAAGGTATGGTTCTAGGAACAGAGCCCGTGTTGTCTAGAAGAGCAGCAAGGGCTCTTTACTGCTAGGCCATCTGTCCAGCCCCCAAATTAGCCACTTTAAAGGAGTAATTAAGAGTAATTTTGTGTTTTATAAATTACATCTCTACACCAAAAAAGACCCCCCCAAAAAGGGGGTGGGGTGGGGGGAGCAGGCACAGTTCTGTGAGAAAAGAATCAGTAAGATGGCTCAAGGCACTTGCCACTGAGGGCCTGAGTTCTGTCCAGGACCCACATGGTGGGAGGAGAGAACATATCCTACAAGTTACTCTCTGGTCCCTACTACACATGAGTTGTGACATGTTCACTACTCCCTCAGCACTAGCTACAATGTTAAAAAAAAAAAAAAAAAAAAAAAAAAAAAAAAGGATCAAATGTGTCTACCTACATTTTCCAGAAGAATTATAGGAAGGATAAACAAGAAAACAATGGAATCCTTTATCTACAAAGGGGAAGGGTAGAACCCTGGTACATTTTGTCCTGGATGAGTCTTGCCAGTCAGTATTTTAGAGTAATCTACAAAGGAAACATTATTACCACTCACAAACAGCAAAGACGGGAAGGGAGGGAATGGGGCCTGATATACATATATTTTCATATTGCCTGGGAGTCTTGACTCAACACTCTAGAGGTCTTGTTATCGCCTACATGGCTGAAATAACCCGAGGCCCTTAACCCTTGCAACAGGCCTCTGAAGCAAAGTTGATGGCCTTCACCCTCCACCCTGATCTTCCACCGGCCTTTTACCTGCTCCTTTCTCCCAGAGGCCTGCCATGGACACTGGAATTTCCTCCTGCAGCGGCCAAGGGAACCCTAATCTTAAATACGGATCTACCTTTTAATAGTGGATAGGACCCTTTGCGGAAGTGGCTTTGCCCCAGGCCCTCAGGGAGGGGTACTGAAGAATCCAGGCAGACAGGCCGTGTGGGGTCTTCTGGAGTTAGATGTGGTGTTAGCAAACTCAGCAGCCGTGAGTTAGGCCCTCAGGGTCTAGGAAACAGCTGTGTCTCCTGAGGGTCAGAATGCCTCATTGTGGTGAAATATCCCTGAAGCTACACTTAAGTTCTTCCCATTAAGTCAGAAACTCCAGGACACTTTCTAAGCTGCCTCGTGTGTGTGCTAATGCACAGTTTGTGTCTTTTTGGTGCCCCCCCCCCCGGGGACTTTTCAAGAGGATCATAGGAAGAAATCCCCTAAAGCAGAGATGAGATCTGCCATGATTCGGGAGGGGTGTCACTTTACCTCATAAATATGCTGACCACTTCATAAATATTCATTATAACTTTAAAAAAGTCGAAACACAGACCCCAAGGGCTTCTAAGCCCCCTCCCACCACCATGCTGCCAACCCCACTTTTCAGTTGAACCCAATCTGATCGCTGTCTAGAAGGAACAGCCCTCTGTTTTGTTCTGTTCCATAAACTTCTGCTTAAACTCCCCGTGCCCCTGGGCTGAATCCTGAGGAGACAGGAGCTGAGGAGAACTCTCCCCCAGTCGGGTTCTCACCTAATTCCTTCCAACAGGACCTCCCTTCCTGCCCATTTTCCACATGCCTGTCCAAGCCTCCGTGAAGGTCACATGACCAATCAGGCCCTCGCAGTAAGTCTTTCCTAAGGGAGATTATGGAGAGCCTCAGAACAGCTGGGCAGGCAGAGACGTGCAAGAATGTAGCTGGGAAACCTACATGCCAGAGGATGTGCACGGCACCGTGGGGACAACAGCTCCCGAGCCCAGCTCTCTTTAGACTCTGCCCCAAGTGTGTCTTCACCCGGTTGCTTGTTCATATCCTTTTGAGCAGACCTTGTAATAAACTGTGAAGTGTGCTTCCCTCCATTCTGTGAGAGCTCCAGGAACCCAAGGAGTTCTGGGAGCTCCAAGTTGTAGGCAGCCAATCAGAAGCTCCAGAGGCCTAGACTTGAGCTTGGATCTGAAATGGGAGCCGCGTTGGCGTTGAAGCCCTTTGCCCTATGGGATCTCCTGGTGTCACAACGGAAAGGAATATGAACAGTCCCAGATGGTGTCTTGCACAGAAGTTATTGCTTGCTTGCTGTCGGGGAGAAATCTCCACAGCTTTTGGGGCCACGGATGTAGGCTGTGTGTTTGAGTGTACAGTGTGAGAAACTGTGTCTGGTTTCCCTATACAGCTCAGAGAGGAAAGGTGACGGAGGAGGGAGGAAAAGAAGATGGGGCAGAGGAGGGGGAGGAAAGAGGGGGGAGGGGGAGGGAGGAGCGGGAGGGGGAAGATGAGGCACTCCATCACACACACACCGACCTTGGCAACGCCAGGACTGTCTACTCCAGGGGTGGCGTAGGACACCTGTTGAATGGCCACCATCAAAGCATTCCTCTGAGCCGTTTGGCATGCCAGGGTCACCTGCATGTTGTCCACTCCTGAATGGAGCACGAGCTACAGGGAGAAAAGTGGACACGGTAGAGTCTCCTCCCAGAGGCAGGAGAAGCAGACGTGGGGCTCACGGCTTCTGCAAACTGGCAACACACCCAGCACTGGAACTGGAGGGCGCACTGGATTGTTGCTCAGCTGCCAGACTGAGCCTGCACCTCACCGGGCAGCAGTGCGTCCCAGGCTGGCAGCCCCCAGGTCTGACCTGCTGTGAACACACCATGCTACTCCCCTGCGGTCACCGGAGGGCTCTGATAAGCTGCAGGGGTTCAGAAGCAGGGCTCTCGAAAGGCAGCATTAGATTGAAGTCATCAAGAAAAATATCTACACACACACACACACACACACACACACACACACAGAGAGAGAGAGAGAGAGAGAGAGAGAGAGAAATTTAAGGGGAAAGGTGAAAAATAGCACCAGGTTTTAAAAGATAAGATGAAACCTCCACTAACAAGTGTTTACTTTTTTTTTTCATCTCTGACAGAAGTTATCATATGTGGGCTGCGATCCTTGTAGCTCAAGGCAGGCTCATACAATGCCATCATTATCAATAATAAAGGACAGCTTTTCTTTTGTTTGAGACAGGCTCTCATGTAACCCAGGCTGGCCTCAAATTCAAACTTGCTATGTAGTTGAGGCTGACTTTGAACTCCCGATCCTCCTGCCTCCACAACCCCCCTGTCCCAATGCTGGGATTACAGGTGTGTGTCATGATGCCAGGTGAGGCTTGGGGGAAAGCTTTTCTTATGAAGGATGCCAATTTACATGAATTTTTAAAAAGAAGGTTAAATTGCTTTGCTTTGTTTTAGCCTCTTTTTCAAACATTAGTTAACATCTATTCTAAAGAAATGCACAAAATCACTTACCTTGAGGACGGCGTCTTTGGTATAAAAACTGAACTTGCCAATTTGGTTATCACCCAGCTCATCGATGGCCAAGGGGAGGGCACTGGGGGTGTACCTGCAAGGAGACGGGCGGAGCTGTCCTGTCCTGATGTCAGGACATGCCCTTCTGATGGCTCAGGACAGCGGCTGGCCAGCTCTGGGAGGTCAACGGTAGCAGCAAGCTGGCCTTGTGGTGACCACTCCATACTGGAGGGGGGGTGCTCTCCATCACTCCGTTGTTCTTACGTTCGTGACTACACCTGTTCAGACCCCCCCCCCCATTAACTGCATCCTTTACACACCCCTAAAAGGCATGGACTTCTTGGCCTCCAACCCATTCTCTGCACAGTATTCCTGCCTTGGGGCACGGCCCTTTGTAAGATGTGGTTTTCTGACAAGTGACTTAGTATCTGTCAGCCTGTTTTCTCACCCGGGAATGGGACTGTTAGCTGTTGCAGGGTTAGGGCAACTGTGAAATTCACATGCACTCGAACGTGCTTTGTAAAGTGTCATCCCAAAGTGACAACTTTAGGAAATTAACACATGATGGGAGGGTGTACATATGATTCTCTTATTGGTTTAAATAAAGCGCTGATTGGTCAGCAGCCAGGCAGAAAGTATAGGCTGGTTACCAGGCTAGGAGAATGCTGGGAAGAGAAAGGCAGAGTGAGCAGCCAGGGAGATACCAGGTAGCCACAGGGGGAGTAGAAGGTCCAGGCATTCTCTGGTAGGTCAGGACCATGTGGAAATACTTAATAGAAGTGGGTTAATAATTAAGAGGCCCAAGTCATCAGCCAAACAGTCTATAATTAGTATAAGACTGTGTGGTTATTTGAGGCTGAAGGGCCGGGGAACCAGGCAGAACAGAAACTCTGTCTACAAGCATACACAAAAGTAATTGAGATGCAGTCTCTCTGAATGCATGAATCATCCCTTCCAGAAGGTTCTCCTTCCCTTGAAGCCTTCGCACTGCCGGTCTCGGGTGAAATAGAGCAAGAGAAGAATTTCTCCCAAAGAATTATTTGGCAATGTCTGGAGATATCTTCAATTTTCAGAAGTAGGTAGGCTGAAGAGGAGGATGGAGAGGAGGAGGGAGAGGAGGGAGAGGAGGGAGACAGAGGCTGCTGTTGGCATCTCTCCCGTAGGTGTCAAGAATGCCACTAAATAACCTAAGGCGCACGCGGGACAGGAGCCTCGCTTTACCCAGGAAAGATGACTGCAGCCCTAATTTTCAGGTGCCAAGAAATCGCCATAACACCTTGTCGTGCTAACCCTCATTCCTGTCCATACTCTGAGGAGTCCGCTAGCCTGATGACACATCTCAGTCAAATTTTGACTGTATTAGCAGCACAAAGGTTCTTCCCTCTGTGCAGTCCCCTTTGCTTTCCTCAGGGTGGAGCCAGTACCAGCAATCTCCAGAGGCCCGGGAGAAAGGACAGGCTGTCTCTGGAAAGAAGTGGGGACAGGAGAAGCTGTCCTCTGACAGAGGCAGAGAGGCAGTCAGGAGAAGCTGTCCTCTGACAGAGGCAGAGAGGCAGTCAGGAGAAGCTGTCCTCTGACAGAGGCAGAGAGAGAGGCAGTCAGGAGAAGCTGTCCTCTGACAGAGGCAGAGAGAGAGGCAGTCAGGAGAAGCTGTCCTCTGACAGAGGCAGAGAGAGAGGCAGTCAGGAGAAGCTGTCCTCTGACAGAGGCAGAGAGGCAGTCAGGAGAAGCTGTCCTCTGACAGAGGCAGAGAGAGAGGCAGTCAGGAGAAGCTGTCCTCTGACAGAGGCAGAGAGGCAGTCAGGAGAAGCTGCCTCTGACAGAGGCAGAGAGTCAGTAGCTGAGTACATTGTTTCTACAACCAAGAAGAGAAGCTGGCTTCCTTGTCAGGGAAAGCGAGAGGGGAGGCCAGCCCTCACAGCCTTTCCACCTGGGAGGGCGTGGCCGACCTGAGATGCTCATTCTCTGACTTGGTTCTCCTAGGTCTCCATGATTTCGTGTGTTTCTATTTGTTTATTTTCTCCTCTCCTCCCTCCCCATTTTCATGTGCGTGTGGTGGTAGTAGTCATGCATATATGTATGCAAGTTTACGTGTATACGAGTACATATGTGTATGGGGATGGATTCATGGTGAGGCCCGAAGTCGGGGTTACCTTCATTGCCTTTCTACCTTATTCAGTGAGGCAAGCTCTCTGGTCAGATGCAGCGCTCACAGACACAGCAATTCTGTGAACCAGCTCGCTCTGGGCACCACGTGTCTCCACCTTCTGCGGCTGAATTACAGGTGGGCCACCATGCGTGTGAGGTATTTACATGGGTTCTGGGGATCCGAACTACGGTGCTCAAGCTTGCACACCAAGCTCTTTAACCACTGAGGCTGTGTTTTCTAATCCAGCTATACCCTTGACTGAGATATTGGTTCTCCCCCTTACTAAGGAAGGAAGGAAGGGAGGGAGGGGAGAGGGGGGGGGGGAGAGAGAGAGAGAGAGAGAGAGAGAGAGAGAGAGAGAGAGAGAGAGAGAAGGAAAGAACAGAGAAAGACACTGGCATGATGGCAGATTACATCCAAGGAAGGGGCCTTAGGAACACTGCTCTGCTTTCGTGTGTTGCCGGGTTACTTCGCATCCTAACTGTATTCTCACCTCTGGGACACTCACCTGTCCACTCGACTGCTGTCCTCCAGCAAAGACGTCATGAAGACAGGAGGGGGCCGGTCCACCTTGTCCTTGTGTGACGCAAACTCAAAGGGAACAGGCCTCAGATACAGATGGAATTCTTCAAAACCCATCTCCTGTGCCAGCTCCTTATATAGCCTGGAAGGGGGCAGGGGCAAGGGTACATTTGTTAGTGGATTTTCCTGAAAGACGATTAGTTAAGCCACGAGAAAGTGAACACACTAAATCAGACCAGAGCGAGCCCGGTATTATGGGCAGGGCATGGTCTAGAAAGGTCTTGTGCACCGCCTCCCATTAGGTCAGGCTTACAATGGAATGTTAAGGCAGGGATGCCCTTGGGTGCCACCTGAACTCTTACATCCTGCAGAGTGGCTGCTCTGCTTGGAACCCTCGTGAGGCCATCTGTATTTCCTTCTGAGCAGTGTTGGCGGTCTCCTCCTGGAGCTCTCCACTCCTGAGCCCTGAGCCCCTCCCTGGAGAGCTCCCCTACTTCCCCGTGCCCCTCCCACATTGCCCACGCTCCTGCCCCATGGCTGCCCTTTCCAGGCTTCCTTGGCTTCCTGTTAAGTTTAGATGTGACTTGGGGTTCTAGCCCTGGTCCTCTTCTCATCCTACTACAATCCAGTCCCTACAGCCATTCCTCAAGTAAGAACCAGTGACCCCCAGCCCTGTCCTGATTCACCTCTGAGCTCCATTCAGATGTCCTTGTCAGCTCAGCCTGGGATACCTACAGTTCCCTCCCTTTCTCCTGATACCTCCGGTCTATGCCAGTTCTCACCCTGGGCTCATTCGGCACCTGGATCAGTGTGCCGGGGCAGTCACAAAATATCGCGGACACACACCAAATGCCCGGTGTGTTAAAACAACAGAAATCCGTTGTCTCTCAGCTCTGAGAACAAGATGTGAACAAGCTGGTCCCTCCTAGGGTTGTGAAAGGGGGCTCTGCTCCATCCTATTCTTCCTAGGCTGTAGATGGTGACTTCCTCTCCCCATCTTTCCCTGAGTAGTCTGTGTTGAAGCTACTCTTAGGAATGCAGCAGTCTACTGGGTTGGGATCTGACCCAATAGCTCCAGTTTAACTGATGAACCCACCTTGAGGTGCCAGCCTGTGATCACATGAGTTTTAGAAGGACCTGGTTCCGTTCATAGCACCATCTCCCGCGATTAGTTCCCCACTCACTTAGAAAGAATGAAATATCCCTTTTCCTGTGCTCCCAGAGTATCATTATTATAATATATTATGGGTAATTTTTACATTATTAGCTCCCGAGAGCAGAGGCTCATAAATTGTAGAGAGCAGTGTCCTAGGGTCAGTAAGTTGACTAATGGCTCGGTTTCTGTTTCTAGTACTTTCTAAGGTAGAGATCTGGGGCTAATTTCTTAATTTTCTGACCTTCTGCTTCCTTGCTAGCGCAGTATTTGCACCCATCTCATCGGGAGAGTATAAGAATCTAAGGGAATCGTACACATAGAGTCCCAGAAAGGCTGTGATGTGACTGTGCAGGTCCTTTGGTGGCTGTGGGTGGCTGGACTGTCTGTGTCTGCAGGGTCTCCCATGGGAACCAGAGCAGCACTGTGTGCATTTGAAACAAACCCTCTAGTTCTATTCTCCTTCTGAGAACGTTTTAGTTAGCATTGTCTCCTGCTAAAAACTCGAAACGGACTCCATTAGCAGCTCTCTGCTTTGACCTCCTGAGCCCCCATCCCCTCTGGAGACCCAGATGTTGCCACCGACACATTCTCGTGTCTCCAGCCCTCTGCGAGGCAGCTTCTCTCCCCAGACCACCTATGAGCAGATGCTAGAGCATGCTCTGTTGCCCATCTGTCTTCTGTCTTAGGCAGACTAAGATGTGGACCCCATGACCTTATCAATATCCAGAACTATCAGAAACAGATCTCTATTTTTTTTTTTTAATAAATGATCCAGTCTCAGGTAGTCTGTTATAATGGCACAAGCAGGCTAAGATACCAGGTCACAGGATATTCCTGTTAAACGCCAGGCAGGGATTTTGTGTCAGAAAACTGACAAGCCAATATTAAGCATCCAAGCATAAGGACATGCACTGGATGGGAAGAGCATGTGGGTACCACTAGACTCCTGGCCAGTTGGACCATCAGAGAGGCTCGGAGGAGGGGAGGGAACAAGGGGACTGTTTCAGTGTAGCTGTCTAGGGAGCAACGGGCAAGGCTTGCGACAGTGAGCCCGGACTCTCATATTTAGTCCCCAAGTCCTTCCATGATGCATCTGTCCCCACTGACCGAGCCAAGTGTGCACCCTCCACATTCACTTCTATCAGCCGGTGACGGAGGGTCAGGAGTTCCAGAAGTTTGGAAAACGTCTCCAGGAGCAACGTGTGTAAATTTTGGCCTTGCTTGTGGTCTTTGTCCACCGCGGACCTGAGTGCAAGCAGACCCACCTCCTCCACGAGAAAGGGATCTCCCATCACTTTGTCTGAAAAGAGCTGAAAGAGAACGGAGGAATTTGGAGACTCAAAAAGGGGAAACTTCATATGTATTAAAAAGTAAAAGCACCTTCAGTGGCTCAGACCCTGAGGTATCATTTCCTGCCCCCCCACCGTTCCCCCCCCCCCCCGCACCAATAGATAGGTAACCACTACTTAATAGGGCTGCCCAGGGGTTGTGGGAGCAGATATGCACAGAAGTATTTTCATTATGGTGGTAAATGTTGTTATTATAAATGTTTTGAGTCTAAACACAAAAACTGGGGGAGGAGGGATGAAATAGAAATAAGTCGCCAATTAAAAATATATGTAAAAATTGGAGAGATGGCTCAGTAGTTAAGAGCACTGGCTGCTCTTCCAGAGGACCTGGGTTCGATTCCCAGCACCCACATGGTGGCTCACAACTATCTGTAACTCGGGTACAAGGGGATCCAATGTCTTCTTTGGCTTCTGTTGGCACCATAGGCTTGTGGTACACAGACTTACATGCAGGCAAGAGACTCACATACATAAAATAAAAAAACGTAAAAAATATTTGGGTGGCCAATGACAGTTATCCCATTATTTATTAATTTTCTTATTTATTCTCCTGGCATATATAACATCCTGGCTGCAGTTTCCAACACCCATTACTCCCCCCAGTCCTTTATAATCATGTCTATAAGCCTCTGTGACTGCACTTTCAAAATGTCCAAGTATTTTCACACAGACGAACTCATTTTAATTTTCACCAGATCCCCAAGGAAGCGCAGACGATACTATTCTTCTTCGGAAGTGAGAAATCTAAAACAACCTTTAAACTTTGTGTGTGTTGTGTGGGGGGCACGGGGAATTAAACCTAGGGCCTCATACTAGGCGAGCACTCTAATATGGAGTTACTTTTTATTTTTACTTTGAAACAAAATCTCATTAAGTTGCCCCAGTTGGCATCGAATTTGTAATCCTCCTGCTTCAGCCTCCGGAGTATCTGAGATTGTGAGCCTGGGCTGTGATGTTTAAACTTTACAAGGTCATCCGGTAGTACCAAGAGTGGCGTTAGCTTCCCAGGTCCATGTTCCGAAGCTTCACGGGACCCTCACCTGCCGAGCAACATGCCCTCACTCCCAGGCGGCCCTGTGAGATCTGGGAAACATGCAAGTGATCCGTGATGCCCTCTGCCTGAGTGAACAGATAGCTGTCACATCTCCACTATCCTCTGATTGCCCCTTTCCATGAGGACCTAGTTTGATGACCCTTTATCTACTTTTCAGATTGACTCCACAAGTGGTACCTACTACATATCCTAACTACATATCTACCGAAGGGGAGATGTGACTCCAGGCTCTGCAAGTCTCTGCTGTGACGGCCACGACAGCTATTAAATTCCTGCACCTCTTCAGAGGGTAGCATTGCATCCATTTCCTAACCCAACCTAGAAATACTCAGTATTTCTAGGCTCATTGCAAACACATTTCCAAAAACAATAGCTAAAAAATGTGATGTCAGCAGGAGACTAGAAAAGCACCCTAGACAGTCACTGCAATTTATAAGGGGCTTTATAAAATATTGAATATGGCACTACAAGACTCTGTGAGAATACTAAATGGAAGTCAGATAAATGGCTCATAACTCCAGGAAAATTCCAATTTCTGCCTCACACATCATTCCATGTACACTAATTACAGAGGACAGCGAAAGAGCCAAGTGTTTAAAAATTAAGTCAAACCCTTAAAATTGGGATAAAATGAGACGCATAAAACATCCAAAGGGTGATTTTCTTCCCGCATTTAGGAAGATAGACAAACTCACAAAGGAAACACTCAACAGATGTAACTATACAAAAATAAGTGATTCTGTTTAAAGAAGACACATGGGAAAATATTGAAAATATGATAGGCAAAAGATCAAAGTTCTACATAATTAAAGTTCATATAAGCGGATAGAAGTGAAATTATTTGCTCAGATAAGTGAACCAAAAAGAATCACACACACAAAAAAAAGTTATTGCTGGTGACCAAATGTGTTAAAAACAATCTCAGCAAGAGCTGGAGAGATGGCTCAGAGAATGAGCACTTACTGCTTCTGCAGGGGACCTGGGTTTGGTTCCCAACACCCTTATCAGACAGCACAACCAGCTATCGGTCCAGTCAGGGACGCTGAGGCCCTCTTCTGGTCTCTGCATGCACCTGCATGCAGTGGTGCACATAAATTCACACAGGCACACACATGCATACACACACATTAAATATATATGTAAGACTATACAGAGAGAACACACACACACCATTAGTTCACACATTGTATTTCTAATGCTAATACTGCATTGTACTAGAGCAGGAGCATGTCTCTAACACATTAGTTGGTTATTATAGACATTGGCATAATTCTTTTGGAAAGCAATCTGCCAATCTGTATCTAAGATTTAAATTTCATTTAATCAATTCTGCCTTCAATAATTTAGCATTTTGTTGTAGTATGTTTATTTACTTTCTTATTTTTATTTACTTGGTTTTTGAGACAGGGTTTCTGACTGTCCTAGAACTATCTCTTGAAGTATACCAGGCTGGTCTCAAACTCAGACATCTGCCTGCTTCCGCCTCCCAAGTTCTGGAATTAAAGGTGTGTGTACCACCGCCTAGCTTGCCTTTGGTGTTTTTAATAATATAGAAAAACTAGAAACAATTTGAATGATCATCCACAGGAGAATGTTAGAGATGTTGTGATTTTTTTCATCTAAGAGGATTATATGGTCACAAAAGTGGGTACTAATGGGTTTGGTGGCACATGCATTTAATTCCAGCTCTCAGGAGGCAGAAGCAGGGGGGTCTCTGTGTGCTGGAGGTCAGCCTGGTCTACTGAATGAGTTCCAAGGCTACAGAGAAATCCTTGTCTCAAAAAACAAAACAAAACAGATCAGTAGAGCCTTGGATGGTGGTGCACTCCTTTAATTCTAGCACTCAGGAGGCAGAGGTAGGTGGATCTCTCCAAGTTCCAGGCCAGGCTGGTCTATAATGCAAGCTCCAGTGCAGCCAGGTATAGAAAGTGAGACCCTGTCTCAAGACAAACAAAAGAAAGAAAGAAAAAGACTAGTAGAAATGGAAGATGATAATGTTTGACAAATATGATTACATGATGGGAGATGGTATTCTATAAATGTGTTTCTCTTATTGGTTAATGAATAAAGCATTGTTGGCCAATAGGAAGGCAAGATAGGCGGGACTAGGAGACAAGGAGGATTCTGGGAGATGTAGTAGAGGAGAGTCAAGATGTAGGGACTTGAGAGAAGAGTCCAGACCCTCTCTCTGGTAAGATAAGACTGTGTGGAAACAGTTAGATTGATAGAAATGGGTTAATAGTTAAGACAGAGCTAGCCAAGAAGAAATGCTAGTAGCTGGTCAAAAGCTTTATATCAAATACAGCGTCTCTGTGTGTTATTTGGGGCTGACGTGGCTGTGGGACCAGGCTGGTGGGAAAATTGCTCATAACAATTACATCCTATGCATATGAAGATTCCTTGAATTCTGAATAATAATAACCACACGTGGCTTTATTGACCTATTTATTACTTTTGCAGTCCTTGGGAATGAACACAGGTTCTTGCACATGCTAGATATTCACTCTGCCACTGAGATGCACTAAGATGCACAGCCAGGCCTCTCCTTGCCTTTTAAAATTGTGTTTTCCTTATATGCATTTGAGAGAGGATCTCGCTGAGTAGTTCAAACTGACTTGGAACTCACTGTGGTCCAGGCAGGCTTTGAGTTTCGATCCTCCTGCCCCAGCCACCCAAGCAGCAAGGATTAATGCCTGTACTACTAGGACCAGCCTTCGAATAGCTTTAAATGAAAATTAATAAAATTAAGATTAATTGTCTCTTTAAAATGATTTTAAGGCTGGAAAGACGGCTCAGTGATCATGGGTACTTCCTGCTCCTCCAGAAGACCAAAATTCAGTTCCCAGTACCCACACTGGGCATCATGGTGACCCAAGGAGCAGATGTCTTAGTAGGTGATACCCTGAAATCACCTCCATCATATCAAAAGTGGTCACAGAACAAGATTAATTCAGAAGCCCCAGCTCAGTCTTCAAAGCCGAAAAGAAAAGAGCTAAAATACAAGTACAGAGAGCACATAAGTCATCAGCCACAGCCAGAGCCACTGACCACTATGGCTGCCCAGTGTACCTCCATCTTGTCCCCAATACACAAACACACCGTGTATCATTAAAGCACCAATGAGAAAGAAAAGATATTTTCCACATACCTACACAATCCTCCATTTAATTTAAATTATACTAACATCCTTATATACTGGCTAGAAGCTTTGTCCGAAACAAAAATCACACAAAAATAATTGGCAACGTTTGTGACTGTGTTCTTTCTCTGGCCAAATAGAGGGGAATATCAT